CCTTGAGGCCATCGACTCCATCGAGCCCCCCAAGCGTCCCACGGACAAGCCCCTCCGTCTGCCCCTTCAGGACGTCTACAAGATCGGTGGTATCGGAACAGTTCCCGTCGGCCGTATCGAGACTGGTGTCCTCAAGCCCGGTATGGTCGTTACCTTCGCTCCCTCCAACGTCACCACTGAAGTCAAGTCCGTCGAGATGCACCACGAGCAGCTCGCTGAGGGCCAGCCCGGTGACAACGTTGGTTTCAACGTGAAGAACGTTTCCGTCAAGGAAATCCGCCGTGGCAACGTTGCCGGTGACTCCAAGAACGACCCCCCCATGGGCGCCGCTTCTTTCACCGCTCAGGTCATCGTCATGAACCACCCCGGCCAGGTCGGTGCCGGCTACGCCCCCGTCCTCGACTGCCACACTGCCCACATTGCCTGCAAGTTCGCCGAGCTCCTCGAGAAGATCGACCGCCGTACCGGTAAGGCCACCGAGACTGCCCCCAAGTTCATCAAGTCCGGTGACTCCGCCATCGTCAAGATGATTCCCTCCAAGCCCATGTGCGTTGAGGCTTTCACCGACTACCCTCCCCTGGGTCGTTTCGCCGTCCGTGACATGCGCCAGACCGTCGCTGTCGGTGTCATCAAGGCCGTTGAGAAGTCCACCGCCGCCGCCGGCAAGGTCACCAAGTCCGCTGCCAAGGCCGCCAAGAAATAAGCGATACCCATCATCAACACCTGATGTTCTGGGGTTCCTCGTGAGGTTTCTCCAGGTGGGCACCACTATGCGCTCACTTCTACGACGAAACGATCAATGTTGCTATGCATGAGCACTCGACTATGAATCGAGGCACGTTAATTGAGAAGCTGGGAATAAGGGTTCCATCAGAACTTCTCCGGGAATGCAAAACAAAAGGGAACAAAAAAAACTAGATAGAAGTGAATTGACGACTTCGACAACCAAACATCGTGTCTCTCCATTTGCATATGTGAAGCTGTGTCAATTATCGCGAGGCTGTACACAGAGCCTTGTCGAGTGTACTCCCTGTATCCTGTTCATGTTCCATCGGCCGCCCATTTCCACAGGTTGTCATGTGCTGTATTCAAGCATCGATTAGTGGCTGTTAGCGCTGAAGAGAGCTGCTTACAGGCGTCAGGCGTGCTGTAAGGTCTGGCCGTCGGAGTGGAGTGCCGAGCAATGCTGACTCCATCACGACAATTGTTTGTGTTAGATTCTTCTACTATTTGTTCTTTCACGATCATTGTCATACTTGTTCGACATCGAAGACGTTATCTTGCTTTGAGCCTGTTACATTAATTGTACATTTTTCGTGATGACACCAAGTCTATACACCAAATTGTCTACATATGCTTACATGGTACCGTAAGAGAGGAATCGTTGCTTTCATTCAAACCAAACGCCGTTGGAGTATCCTGTGCCCTCCCGTAACTTGATGCTGCATCTCTTCGTGGATGAGAACTGCAACTGAGATTGTCATCATATACTTTGGTCGAGCTTGAGCTACGACTTCTTCGATTCGTCGGTATTGAGAGAACGAGAGTCGTCGGATGGTACATCGGGAACGACCTCGGCGGCTGGCTCTGTTGAAGGACCATCTTTCTGGTCGGTATCTTGCAAATGCTCAGATTCCGCGTTCTGAGTAGCTTCATGGACTTCGGCCTCATGAACTTCGGCCTCATGAACTTCGGTCTCATGAACTTCGGCCTCGTGATCTTCAACGTTTAATGGCGGCAATTGATCCTCTACAGCCTCGTCCTCGAGTGCATCCACATTGGGCAGCTTTCTCATGAGCTGAGAGCCATTGTGCCAGGAGAAGTAATCGCCCGCAGCTAGCCCGCCGACTAGAGACAAGAATCGTGACGCCTCGGCCTTGTCGAGAGTCAAGGGTGTTGCATCTTTGCTTCGTGGGGGCCCAGCTTGGAGAGACAGCTCTTGTCTATGGCCACCGTGTCGGCCTGCGTCGATGCTGCTGTAGCACAGAGTGTGGCCGTGAAACTCGAGCTCAACGGCCTGGTGGATCTCGGATCCCATAAATAAGTATGGTGCCTCGATCTTGGCTTTAGAAGGCTTGCCGCTTGCCTTTGGACTGGTGGCCCACGCCTTGGGGATGGAAAACCTGGCTTTGCTGGGCGTTCTCACAAGACCCTGGGTCAGATCGAACTCGCATTTGGACATAAAGTCCTTGACAAACTCCTGGTTTGGATCGAGAGGCAGAAGATGGTGTTGCGTCAGACGAACATCCACACTTTCACCAGGCAGTAAAACATCGCGGATATGTTTCGCTGCAACGCCAACAAGGGTTGAACCAGGGGGGAGGGAGAGGTCGGCAATGTCGGTGCCGGGACCCACTGGCAGTCGAAGCTGCATTGAGGAGGGTACTGAGTCAAATGTGGTGGGAGTTTGTGTGGGATCTGGAGAGAAGTTGAGAATAATGGTTGTGCACTGTACGATAGGTTTGTCCTCTTCCGACAGGGGCGTAAAAGATGCTGGATGGGGAAGGACAGGTGAAAGAAGTCGGTGGTGCTTTGCCATTGCAGCCGCCGATCGCGAGCTTTTGCCGTGAAGCACATGTCCAAAAGACGCAGTAACCTGGCAGCCCTGCTCGATTCCCTTCAGCTTTTTGGGAGTAGAGACTGGAAAGGAAACATCTTTGGCGAATTGCGCTGAAATATCGTCTCCTGTAGCTGCAGACTGGCCAACCGGGACGACGTATCTGGACCACTGCTGGAGCTTGTTCTTCCAGGACATGCTTCTGTTTTCTCTTTGATGGCTGATAAAAGTTCCGTCCTGAGGTTTCTTGCTTTCTGATGGTGCGATGATATGGACGCTGCTTTGCTGCTCCTCGGTTGGCTGCTCTAAGAGAAGTCGCAACGCAACATCGGCAGGGGTTTCAGTATTTTTGGCGTCCTCACCCGAGGAAGAGAGGTCTTGCTTCTCTAACCAGGAGATTTCGAGTTCCTACATTTTTCCTTTCGTCAGCCTGGAAGAAGCCCGGTAGAATTCATATCAAACATACCTTATCTTTTTCATTGTACTCGATATGTGTCTTGGTGATGCGTTCAAGTTCTTGAAGTAAACTATCGTCCAGGTTGTGCTCTTGGAAGTGATCTGAAGGGATCTTTTGAGACCGAATCGACTTGACCACTTCGTCAAGGTGAGTTAGGATGACAGGGATGGTCGACTTTCGGGCGTAGATGTTGATTCGGCAATCATCAAAATTTGTGGTAATTTTCTCCCTGTTAGACTGGTATAAGAAGTCTTGGGACAGCTGCTCGAGTACCACGCTATTGGGAGCTATGACGGGGACTGTCAGTTAGGTATCACGCCTGGCCCTGTAAGTAACGATCCAGACTTACGGGCGATGAGTTCAAAGACGCGTGGCTCTAGCCAGAGAAGAGTCCTGCCCAGACCCTCCACCTGCTCTTGAACTTCCAAATTCCACAGAAGTTGCATGATCATGATCACTTGCCGCTGCTTCGGCCGGAGAGGCCCCCAATGGTCCGGCTTTGCAGCCACCCATGGGCCCTGTTTGACGATCCAGGGATAAGTGACCGGCTTCCCCAAACCTTGTTGGGACATTTCCAGACGCTTCTGGATGAAGTATCTGGTAAGCTGATTATGGTTGAAGCCTTCCAGCAGCGTGTTTGCCAGGGTGTCGAAGTCTTGCATTGGCAAGATTGTCTTGTCGACGGGCCGTAGGTTGTCGATATTCGTCAGCGCCTCTTCCATTGCTTCTTGGCCATTCTCGTCCGCCTGGTCAACCATGCCGTCCCTTTCGGAGTCAAGCTCGACTGTGGCTTCTGTCGCCTCTTGTTGAACTCTTCGCACGGACCTCTTGGGCCTCTTCATCTCGTTGGGGTTCTTCAGCATGATGGCGTCGATGTGTTCTCCAAGAGCGGCAACGGGGACGCTCCTGGATTGCACGAGCTCGTCACGGTAATCTTTCCTATACCTCGGCCTCCTCTTGTGCCTAGGACGGCTGACTTCTGTAGAAACGGCATCTGCGGACGCCTGCTCTAGGTCATGGGGCTTCTCGAATAGCAACTCTTCGGCGGGAGCCTCTTCTGCGAAAAGCTCCTCTTCTGCATGTTCGTCCGCAAGCTCTTCTGGGAGCTCTTCCGGAGGTTCAGCGACTGCGACGTCCTCCAAATTCTGCGCAGCTTTCACCTCTCTCTCCGTCTGCTTTTCGGTAGGGGATGCTGCCAGTCCCCAATCAGGGACATCCTCTTTTTGACGGCGCCATGGTTTTCGGCTCGATCGCCCCTTGGACGCCTTGGTGGTCGGTTTTTTGGTCGACTTGTCAAACTCGCGTTTGCTTATTCTCCCCGAAATCAGCGCCTCAATCTTCTCTTTGCTATGAATGACGGGATCGGAGCTGTAGCATCGTTGTTGGCTCCATTCTCGTCGGCTGTGTAAGCTGAGGCTGCTCAGCGTCGTTCTGGCGAGGGGTATCGACGAGGCGAGTCGGTTAGCGAGACAGGCATGCGGCACGTTCGCCGCTCTGGAAAGCATTGATAGATTGAATTGGACGTGCCATAAACGAGCGACACGACTTTGTGGTAAAAGCAAGGATTTATAGAGAGCTCTTCGCTTTCGGCCGGCTGAACGACGCTCTAATCAGCAGTGCAAGAGGTCCTGAAATTTTGTGATAAGCGGTTATCGATAACCGATAAGGCGCATTCACCGAGGCCAATTTACTCGACAATGCAATTAGACGCGTCTCGGCCTCTTGCGGCGCGTCTCCCCTCCAAAGGCTGCACAGAGCCCCTCGTCCACATCCCAGAAGCTGCCGGTCATCTGTTGGATTTCACCAGCAGAACTCGTTCCGCAGTTGTTTTGTTTGTGTATCGCTCAGACTTCCATCGCTTGCGCCTTCGACCATGCCACCCTCCCAAAGGAGACGCCGTGCAGTGGGTTTCAATTCCAGCAGCTCTTCTTTCCCCTCCGTCTAACGATCAGATGTTTAGGTTGAGGATGAGGACATGGAAGAGGATGCTCGTCCACGACAGCGTCAACACAGAGAAGCTTCAGATGCTGAACAAGACGAAGAAGCGTCCGACGACGAAGCAGAAACGAATGGTGCCTCCTCCAGTGTCGACGAACAGATGGCCAAGAAGCTGGTTCGATATGCCATCTCTTGCGAATATTCAAGAACGGCGATACGGAGGGATGGAATCAAGGAGCGAGGTACTACATCCGAAGCGGCGGCCACCTGCATGGAGAAGGCGGGAAACTGGAGAAGACAGTCGGCTAATCGAGCTACGATATAGTTCTTGGAAAGCAGGGCCGTTCATTCAGAAGAGTCTTTGCGCTGGCACAGACACAATTGAGGACAATCTGGGGCATGGAGCTGCGCGAGCTGCCCGTTCGAGAGAAAACGACGCTGCATGAAAAGAGACAAGGTATTTACTGCTCTTCCGAACTTGGTGGCTATCGAAGCTTCCCGGAAACTGTATAAATAGCTGACTGTGACGATTCGCAGCCATGAAATCAAACGCACAGCCGAAGTCCGGATCAGGCGCCTACATCCTAACTTCGACATTACCGGATGAATTCCGAAGCGCCTCGATCCTAGCGCCATCCAAAGTCCCGAGCGCTGAGCAGGAAGCGACCTATGCTGCGTTTTACACAATGGTGGTGTCATTCATATGGCTGAATGGCGGAGAGCTCAGCGAGCAGAAGCTGCAGAGGTATCTCACGAGGCTCAACGCCGATCGGATGGTGTCGAGAGAGCGAACAGAAGTCGTCCTCAAGCGGATGGAGAAACAGGGGTACGTGATGAAGAAGGTCGACCGGCCGCCGGTCGGCTACGATGGCGACCAAACCATCAGCTGGCACGTCGGCCCTCGAGCAAAAGAAGAAATAGGATTGGACGGCGTCATGGGGCTGGTGCGCGAGGTCTACGGCCACCCCGATGATGATTCCTTTGACAAGAAGCTCCGGTCGAGTCTCGGAATTAAGAGTAGACCACTCGCGGAGGAGGATCACGGTGATGTTGGCATGACGAACGGAATGTAGTGTAGGCGACGATACCAGGCGGCGTTTGTGATTAAAGGAGCCCAGAAGCGTCTCTTGTTTTCTTGATTCCCTTGCCTTCCCTTGTTCATGTCTTCAGATTTCAGACAGTGCCTGTCTCATCAATGGCTCCGGGCCTCTGAAGCCATGGCTGTATTAAAGAGGGTATCTCTCGTTGTATATGTCCGTGTGCCTGTCCCATGACGCCGTTCTGATGTGCAAACAGTTATGCGATGTATATACAATTTTCAATTCACCAAAAACACTCGCCGTCCGTGGTCACGTCTCTGTCGCAACTCGCTTTGAAATCGACTATCAATCCTCTCGGGGCGGCGGAGGACCGCATGGTTGGATCATTTTCTGCAAGATGAGGTCAGCCAAATTCCAGGCCTTTCCCGCCTTTGTTTGTCCATCGCATCAAGGCAGGCGGGTTACATACCCTGATCAGTTGCGCCCGCATCTTTGTCAATGGCTCGTTCTCAGCCAGCGAGATGTATGTGAGGAGCGGTCGGTGGCCGACGATGGAGGAGTAGGTGTCGCGCTGGATATTGGTCCGCCACTCCCAGCTAGACGTGTCAGGATGGCCGGTTCCGACGTACTTGGCCTGAAGCCGTTCGAGTTCTTGTTGGTTGCGAAGCTTGTCGGCCTAGAAAGCAGGGGAGACAGAGTTTAGCAGACGCGATTGGGCGTTGTACAGGCAATATTCCGCAAAGTGCTTGCTTACCATGATTCCAATTAGAGGATATGGTTAGGAGTCGTGTTGATTATAAAGATCAATATCTTCGAGAAGCTTTCGAATAAAGCGAGCGACGGTTGGGTGCAGCAAGAAAACCACTTTGGATCAACAGGCGCAGCTAGAGTTGGCAGCAATAGACCGAGCTGCGCGAACCGGTGAGTGGGATATCTTCGGCTGAATATGGGCAGATCCCCGGCAAGCTTCGGTTCTGCAAGATGAGGTCAGCGATTGGCCGATGTGTTGACACATGCCATTTTGAGCACCATGCAGCTCTGCGCCATCTTTAACTTGATGCTGTACCTTTTCAAGAGCATTCACCTGCTAGACCTCAGAACGAAACTTTATCTTACCCAACAAATACAGGGCTTTTCCTCGGTTTCAAACTCATCCCAACTCCTCTGTCTTTACCGTATTTTACCTCAGCTACTACCGCAAGGAATCACGTCTTTATTGCTCGTGGTATACCCTGGACCTTTGGTTGGACCAACTACACGACTTTCTCTTTTTCAGCTTACTCAGAAATACCTTAGCCTTCACCTGCCACTATCGGGACTCAGAGTGAACGCAAGCGCGTCTCATCGAAGAGATCGAAGAGAGAGCGATTCCAAAACACGGCGTCCTTTTATTATTCTACCATTCTTTACAAGTATTCATCAAAACATTGTTCTGAAAAGCCGGTCTTTCCATTCAACCCGCTGAGGGTAGTTTTCACAGCCATGGCTCAGCCAGCCACCACCCCAGAGCATTGGACAGAGCTCATCGCCGCCAGAAGGCAGAGGAGACTTCTCACGGAACAAGTCGAAGCGTTGAAGCGCTCTTGCACAAGCGAGTGTGGCAAGAGACACGTGTCGGAGTGCCCAAAATGCTGGCCTCTGGTCATTGACAAGATGCGCCAGAGGTATATCGAGAGTCCAGACCGCGAATGGTTCACGTATAGGAAAGCGTTCCACCAGGAGCTGGAAGGACTCTTTGCAGACGCGAAGGAGCACAGGATAAGCATCCGGCAAATCGAGGCGCGAATAGAGTCCGAAAAAGAAGCGTGGTATCGATGGATCCTGCGGAAGCACGGCGAGTTCCTCGTCACCTGCGACGATGACTATGTTCACGATGAGCTGAGGGGCATGCTGGACGACCCGGACCGGTCGCGCGACGAAGTCGTGGAGATGATGTGGCGCGGGATCGGGAAGCCGCCCGACTGGGCCGAGCGCGTGGACGCTTTTGCAGCCAAGGTTGCTGCCGCGGGAGGGAACCCGGCCGCCCTGAAGAAGCTCTACGTGGAGGAGTTCTTCATGAACAAGGAGACGGGCGAGCCTCTGCAAGACTCTAAACCGTACTTGGACGAGTACATGGCCAACGAGAACATGGGTATCGAGGAGATTCTTGGAAAGATCATGAAGGATGCGCAAGAGAGCAAGAATCTGCGGCCGCAGCGAGACATGCACACGGCGCGGCTGGACGATCTTCGTAGAGCCAAGATGGCCGATGAGTTGAACAAGAAGCAACAGGCTAAGAGCCAGGCGCAAGCAGCACAGGAGCGGGTAGTGGGCGAGGATCTCTACAATTTACCGCCATGTCTGGTATGCAAGAAGACTCTGGATACGCACGACGTCTTTTCCTGCCCCATATGCCAGGCTGTCACTCAGATGGGGGGCAAGAAGGAGCTCACGGTTTTCTGTTCCGAGGAGTGCCATGCAGCTGGATTCGTATGTATTCTCATTCCCCTTCTTCAGATTGCGATGATTACGAAGAGTGGCAGCTGCTAACTTTGTGTCTTCTGCAGGACGACCACACCAACGAGGCGCATGCCTGCGCAAGCGGAGACAACTGCGTGCAGGATCGCAGCGATGGACAACAGGACGAGGACGTTGAAATGGATGACGGGACTGCTCAGGATGGCTTCATCTGCAGAGAGTGCCTGGAGCTGAAGCGAGTGACGGCGTTTTGCTCAGAGCGCTGCGCGTTTGAAAACATCGTCAGCCACTACAAGAAGGAGCACGAGGCCAAGGCAGATGCCGATGAAGTTTCCAGCCTGGTCCGCCCGATGCTGGAGACGCTTGAGTCGATTCTCCGGCGAGAGAATCCCGGGCTGCACATGGAGTGGTTGTTTTAGGGCTTGATACGCGGGCGTTTTCTGTTCACAGCTGTATGATTACGGAGTACAGACGGGTGTTGTTGTCACGGGGTGTTACTGAGTTCTTTGGAATCGGATATTGCGTTCTCTTCGGTGCCATATGTCAGATACCGACTTAGGTAGAGATCATCTATTGAAGTCTAGGGATTGATAAACGGGCGTTCTTGTTCTGGGAATATGCCTGCATCTTGAGAGGACAGCGCCGCGTATGGAGGTCACCATGCTAGCTATATAAGTACCTATAATTAGCGTGGCTAGCAACGGGTTCTATGGTCTAACGGTTATGACTCCGGATTTTGATTCCGGCAGCGAGGGTTCGACTCCCTCTAGAACCTAACCCGTTATTCTTTTTTTTTTCTCGGCTTTTTGAGCGTCATCATCGCTTCATTCCCTCTTTTTTGTCTCTCCTGTTCAATATTATATCTTCTGAATTTGATTTTTGCAGCCTTCTTCCACTGTCATTCTGTCATTCGTCCACAGGCACGAGCTCGTCACTTAATGTCTCAACGTGTAAGGTACGGTAGGTCATTTAAAAAGTCATTGAAAACATGTCTAGAATTCCCTTCATCTCACCGATCTAATGGGTATCTAAGATGGGTATCTACATAAACATTTTTACATCTTCAAGTTCTCAGTCTCGCGACTGTTCTCCTTTTCGCTCGAGCTTCCCTTCTCACTCGAGTCATCCACCTCTCTGCCCGCGACACCGTCGCTTGCGGAGTCGACCAGTCCATACTGGATGGCATAGGCTTCGATTTCCTGTCGAGACAGGTACGGCAGCTCCTTGGCAGCCTTGACATACGAGATGTTCTCTGCGTTGCCCTTGGCGAAGATAATGTCAATCTCTTCCAGAGATCGGTTTGCAGTCTATACGGAGTTGTTAGCGAGTGAACATGGAGCGGAAATTCAATATCAGGAAAGCCACATACCTCTGGGTAGAAGAAGTACAAGACGGGGAAGAAGCATCCGTTGACGACGGCAAAGAACAAGTAGGTTCCCCAGCCGATGCGGTCAATCATGACGGGCGTGATCATAACAATGAAGAAGTTGAAGAGCCAGTTGGTGCACGTCGAAACAGCGTTGGCCTTTGCGCGCGTCTTGATGGGGCTGATCTCGGCGGGATAGAGCCAAGGGAGCGGCAGCCAGGTCGCTCCAAACGAGGCAATGTACGTGAACAAGCCGACGGCAGCACCCTTGGCGGCGGAGGGGGTTCCCGGGATGAGGCACGCAAAGGTCAGCACCATGGAGAGCATCTGGCCGGCCGTGCCCCAGAGGAAGAGCTTGCGGCGTCCGACGCGCTCGATGATGAACCACGAGACGGTGGCAAAGGCAGAGTAGACGATCATGTTGACGCCGCCCAGCAGCATGGCCATGTTGTGCGTCTCGCCGATGGAGTTCTGGAAGAGAATGGGGAAGTAGTAGATGACGGCGTTACAGCCGCCGACCTGCTGCATGAACTGGGACGAGGCGCCGAGCAACATGCGGCGGAAGTGCTGCGTCTTGCCATTGGTGAAGAGGGCCTTGACGGGCGTGCTCTTCTGGCCGGCGAAGCCAGAGGCGCGGATGGAGTCGAGGATCATGTCCCGCTCGGCCTTGGTCTCCTCGCTGTCGATTTCATAGCCGCGGAGGGCGGCAATGGTGCGCTCAGCCTCCTCGTACCTCTCGTGGGTGAGGAGCCAGCGCGGGCTGTCAGGGAGCCAGATCATGACAGTGCTGAAGATGAGGGCGAAGATGATCTGGAAGGCAATGGGGAACCGCCAGACGAGGTCATCGGGCCCGTAGGACGCGCCGTAGTCGATCCAGTACGCAATCAGCGAGCCAAAGGCGATGATGCCACCCTCGATGCAAATCAGGAGGCCACGGTTGGACGTCTTGCTGCACTCGGCCTGGTACGTCGGGACGGTGGACGTGTTCATGCCGTTGCCGACGCCCGTGACGATACGTCCGATGATGAACTGCGCCAGCTGGGCGTGGCCCTTCTGGGGGGTGACCTGGATGATGGTGCCAAAGATCATGATGATGCCGCCGATGATGATGGCCCGCCTGCGGCCGAGCAAGTCGCCCATGGCGAGGATAAAGCAAGCTCCGATCAAGCAGCCGATTTCGTAGATGGCCGTCACCAGGCCCTGCATGGTGGCGTCTCTCGTCTCGGGGAAGTAGTCGTTGAAGACGGGAGACGAGATGATGCCGCTCATGACGCCCTGGTCATAGCCGAAGAGGAGGAAGGCAGTGGTCGCAATGGTCGAGACGGCCAGTGACAGTGGCCGCCCCGAGAGGCCAGCAAATGTAGGAGGAGCCATGACGGAGATTTCTTTATCTCGAAACTATGGCCAGCATAGAGGAGTCGAACAAACTCTGAATAACGGGGGCCCGAAAACCTGGAGAGAAACCTGGGGTTGAGCATCATCTTTATATACACGTTCCATTCCTTTCGTCCCTTGCTTTGTGTTGCCAACAACCTCTCTGCTGAGACCCTACTCGGACCAAGATGCTCGATTAGTTCGCCAGCGCAGTTGCTCTTTATCCACATGACATCATATACACTGGGCTGGGGCAGGGGACTTGCTTCTGTGTTGACGCCAGATGGCCAGATTCCTGGTCCGAGGCACACGAGAAATTGACCAGGGGAGGTGGGCCGCGATGCCGATCAGATGGAGCCGCAAACGGCAAGCCAACAGGGTGCGACTTTATTGCCGTTTAAACGTGCGATCTTCGAGTTTCAATGTTTCACCTGTTTTCGTGCGGGCAAATGGCGGTGGGTTCGCGACTCCAGAAAAAGCTGCGCAAGGCTGGGGTTTTGTGGTGCTTGTGGTGCTTGTGATGGAGGCCGATATACATGAACGTTGAATCACCACCACCACCTTTGCCCGCTCTCACATGCAAGGAGTTGCCTAGGCGGCCTCTTATCAACCATGATGTTATGGGATTCATGCGGAAAGCAGCCGAGCATCGGCAGTTCATAATTGCTTTATAACGACCTGGACTGATATGGATGTCAGATGCAACCCAAGATATGATATGTCGATACAATACTCCGTACGCAAACCCCGAGTTTGCAAGGACCGAAAGCTCCTCCGGACATCCAAATGCGGTTCCAGTTTTCGACTCCTCAAGTCAGCACTTGGCGGCCCATTTAAGCGAGTCATTCGCGACTCGTGAAGACCGATATGCATACCGGGATGCCCCATTGTGTTGATTCAGGCGACCGCTGGGAGAGGGAAGCCGAGTGTCGATCGGCACATGCAAGTCGGCGTAGGAACCCCGAGATATGGGGGCCGGCGAGGCTGTCTGACAGCTGATAGGCAGTGCGCTCTCATGGGGTCCTGGAAAGGCTGTGATAAAATGGCTCAGCAGCGTGAAGGGCTCCTGGTCCCTCAGGTGTGGTGTTGCATTCCATCTCGGCAAACCCCAGGTGGGAAGACGAGAGCTGGGGAAGTGTCAAATGCTCTCCGCGATTTCTTGTCACGATCCATTTCAGCTTGAGATGCGATCTTATCGCAATCAGCAGTGACTTTCCTATAATACATACATGTCTGCTCTAACTTTTGTTGTTGGTTTGAGTATATTCATATCCAGGCGAATCTCATCAACCTCATCCCGCGACTTCACTAACAAGGCAGCGAGATACGCGTACCCACTCAGCAACGCCGCCGACTCAAGGGCCAAAATGAATAAGTCACCGCCAGAATACTATCCATCACCTCTCTAGGCATTATTTTCTCATCCTCTGGTTTGCCAAGAACAACAATGGCCCGATGTTTTCTCACGCGATAAAAAACTCTGCAACTTCGCCCAGTCACATCCAGCGATTTGCCATGAAAGGTTCCCCGTACCGTTGCATTATGACATCGTTGTGGACCTGCACCAAGTGGCCATCTTTGCCTCATGGGAGACTGGAGAGCCGTTCGCCTCGACCCACGATCCACAAATACTCCGGAACAGAACCTCGAGATCGACAGGATGCAATTCGCCATAGTGCGGCTATCGTAGGAAAACTCTTATCTATTTGTCTGGCGTTTAACTAGATTCGCTCAGCTTTCATGTGGTTTTTGCCAACAATGGCGGCAATGGAGGGTTGGTTTCCAGGCACAATAGCGCCACCCGCCAACCTGCTACCCTACAATACAGCCTTGGAAGCAAATTCTAGAATAGAATTGAAACCATCACACCCGTCTCAGACAAGCATGGCAAATCTCACATGCCATATTGCGTAAAGATTGACTTCATATTTTTTTGTTGTTTTACAAATATGTACAATGAACGCTGCGAGCCTGAATACGCCGGTGTCGTTTGCGTCGTCCTCTTTTGCCTCTGTAATGCAAACTCATGCGCTGGCGATACCCCAGCAGGCTCTGGTCAGGATGACGGAGCATCGCAGTGGTGATGGAGAGGGCAAAATCGCAAAGACGCAACAAAAATCAAGAAACAGAAAAGCAGAGGCGAAAGTACAGGACCGAGACAGTGGGTTGATATGACGCACATCGAAAGAAGCCAGCTCACACCGAAAGGCCCCTTTAAAACTGCTAACTGACCTCTCCTCCGTCTTGGAAGCGCCATGCCACGCCAGGTCTCGCCTTTGCCATGATGATACCAATCGCTTGGACTGACAGATGTACGCAGTTGTGACTTTTTCGAGCAGTGCATAGTGGTATCATGGCCTCATGGATGCACTCTAGGACGCATTTTACGACGACAAAGCAGTGACAGCTCCGTCACCATGCGTTGCGGTCCCAGTTGGGGTCTATCACATTATCCATGTCAGTCTTTTCCAGACGGAACGTCACTCATGATAATACATAAGAACATACCCTGAACGAATGCGGCCAACACCTTGCTGCCCGTCTGCAGCAGCGGATGTCCGACGACAATCTTGAGAAACTTCTCGAGGCCCGCCCGCCGGTTCTCAATGACATCGTCGCTGAAGCGGTTGGTGAAGACCTTGCCGGGCAGGGGCGGGATCGTCACGCGGGCGCTCTCGCGCTCGAGGATGTCGCGGAAGTACTCAAAGTCCGAGTATCGCCTGCGCACGCTGCTCTGCCGCAGCTTGAAGGCCGGGATGTTGGTGCGGCAGAGGATCTCGTAGTCGGTGTACATGGACCGGCCCATGCCGTGCGTTCGAGGGTTCCGTACCTATATTCGGAGCAAGGACAGACGTGAGCATTAGTACAGATCACTCACTAACTCTGAAGAGCGCTGCAACGGGTGTAGCATCGTGATGGAGTCTAGCGACGTCCCCCCTCGTCATCTGTCTTCTCCCCCCTTCAGACCTCGTGACTGTCCGTCACCTTTCCTGCTTCTCGTCGTCCATCCCTTCGCTGAACCCGCCAGGCTACCAGTGCTGCGGCTTGTTCCGTTTCCTCACCTCAATCTCGAGAAAGTTCTCTGGCGGCCCGTAGATCTCGTCAAAGCTCTGCTGCCTCGTGTCCGGCATGGACTGCAAGATGGGCCGGTGCAGATCCGGCGACTTGCGGGATGCCGCCCGCGCGGCCTCCTGGTTGTCCGACAGTTTGGCGGTGGTGTCGAGGTCGATCGCTTACGGGCTCGGGGGGTGATGCGCGCGCGCGCAAAAGGGAGAGAGAAGATTCGATGCGCTTCTTCTGGTGGGAGCTGCTGGAGGGTTCGCGGAAAGCTTGCGATGGTCTGAGATGGGAGAGAAAGGAACGATGAGCAAGCTGAAGTCAAGCAACGAGACTTTGGTTCCCCTTTGTTACCTTGAAGGCGCGCAAATGGGTTCCGTCAAGCTGGTCGAGAAATGCGCTCGGTCGGTCGTGTGATGACGATGCCTTGGGCGGAAAAAGGTGGAGAGTGACGAGATTGGATGCCAAATCAAATCGAACAGCACCGTCCAGGTTCTGGCAATATATGGCCCTCCCACTGGTTGCACAGTCGCCGGGCAAGCTGATCGAGGTGGGGTTTGCAGTTGCTGCTGTTCACGTGGGGAGAGCTCGGGAGCTTCCCCACCATTCCATGGATGCTTCTAGGGGCAGCTTCCAGTGCAGATTGGCTCATTTGACTGCGCCGACTCCTTATCGCTACAGCAGACGGGGGGCTTCTGATACGAGGCCTGACTGTTTGCTGCTCGGCTATCATCAGGAGATGGGCGTCATGAAGAGTGTTGGTATTGGGGTTTCAAAATCTATTATTATGTCCTACTCCCTTGGATAGGTAGTCCTAAGCTTCATGTTGTCTGTCATGCGGGTATCAACACCATTGTAGGGGCTTTCTGACGAACCCCATGTCCTTTCGGCGACACTGCATAGGAGTAGGCATCACAAGGCGAGATCTCCATCTGAGACCGGCAGCCAGGGTGCCCGATGGGAGAAGCATACATCGTTATTATCCCGCTTCTGCTCGTTCCACTTGCTTGCTACCTGGGCAGCAGAACGCAGGTTATAGATTTGATTTACATTCTTCAAATATGGTGCCAATGCCATCGTATCGACTATTTCCGAGACTAATCGACCGGAAAGCCATGGGCAGAAAGCGAACAGCATCGCTGCAGCCATCGCCCCAAGCAAAAGTAGCCTCCGTGCAACCTGGCACACATCGTCTCCAACCAATCTCATGTCGTGAAAGTTGTGCACAGCGCATCTCTTGATAAGCCGCTAATGTGAAATGAGCCCCTGACAAAACACAGATAATGACGAAAAGTCGCCTCACCTTGAGCTCCCAAACTCCATATTCGATCAAGAAGTCCCATCTGTATCCAGAGTCCACGGAGAATGGGCGATACCTCATCTGAACGATGGGCAATCGAGATTCCCCGCTGCGCGGGACATGTGGGAGAGCCCGCAAAGCCAAAGCTAACGCGGAACCATGTTATCCTCCTCACATGCGTCATGTTTCGCTAATCATCTCATTTTCACCACTGCCATCCTTACTTTTTGGTGGTAGCGAATTTCTGGTGGATTGCTCGAATTTGCTCGTCGACGTTGACATTCTGCAGGTGGTTGAGGTGAGCTTGGCTCTTCCCCTCCAGATGCCCGTCAAAACTTTGAATGGCTGCCTTCTTTCGTCGAGCTTGTTCGTCCTCTGAGAGGGCGTTTCCTGTCGCAGGGTCGAAGACGTCACTCCTCTGACTGGCAAGTCGCTTCAGGTTGTTGGCCACGTCCACGTGGGCCATGTTGGATGTAGCATAACGCGACTCGGCCTTGGCCTTTTGCTCTTTCCAGCTTGGATCCAAAAGCTCGACTAAGTAGAGCGAAAAGGTAAGCCAATGTAAAAAAACAAATTATCAAGTGAGAGCATTGGCAAGACTTACTTCGCATGTGAGCTTCGAGCTCGTTCAGGGGAATCTGCTGCTTGCAGTTGGGACACAGCGCCATCTGCATTCCTTGCTTGTTCGCCGCCTTCTGGGCCGCTCGAGGCACGTAGTTCTCCTTGATCTTCATCGGACCCAGACCACCCCGAGCCTCTGTTTGTGCCTGCTGCGCGCGAGCTTGGGCAGCGGATCTCTCCTGAATTCTCCGCGCCTCCTCCTCTTCCCGAGCAGACTGCTGTGATTGTTGTGACTCGGCGCCATGAACACCCACTGGTGATGGCACGTGCTCATGCTGCTGCTGCTGCGGAGCGTAACCCGTATGTACAGGGAGGGGAAAGGAGGCTGGCTGAGGTGCTGTAGCGACTCCGTTCTGCAGTTCGTCCTCCTCGCCAGGCATGGCCTCTTCTATCCGTAGATTGGCACTGATGGAGGCCTTGTTCCTGTCCTCCAGGGAAGCGTATTGGAGATCGCCCAGGGTGGTGGGTGGCGGGAGGTTGGCGCTTTCATCGGCGTCGGAAAAGGTAATGGTCTCGACAATGACAAAGTCACCCCAATCAATGCGAGCAAATTCGGCCTTGGCCACCTCTTCCTCGGCCTCCTTCTTCTTCCTCTCGGCCTCCTGAAACTTGGCATACTCCGCCCTCTCCTTCGCTCGCTTCAACACGTGGAACTTATCCTCGATGTTGCGCTGGAGCTGTGCCACGCGCTCTTCCTGCAGCTTGCCGCCCTCGCCGTCGAGCCCGCTCGCCCGCAAGAGCAACGTGTACTGGTCGACGATGTGCTGGAAGAAGTTGTGGAACGTGTGGTTGGGGATGAGGAACTGGAACTGGGGGTTGCCGGCTTCGCGCTGCGCCAGCTGCGTCATGAACTGCCGTCCGTTCTTGGCCACGAAAAGCGCCGTCAGCCGGATCACGTCCAAATCCTTCTGGTTGATGTGAGGCATTCGAGCACAAAACTGAAAGTCGGGCGGCTTAGGCGGCCCCTTTGGCTTTTCGGGAACGGGCGCTGCGCTTTCTCCAGCCCGACCGGCCGCAATGTCGGTGCCGCGACCGGCTCTGATCTCGCTCAGTCGCCACTGGTAGTAATCGTGGTACGCATCTTCGCGGCTCAGGAAGCTGAATTTGGGGTTCTGACGTTCCTTTTCTCGGATGCGGTCTTCGAAGACCGAGCCGTTTCGCGCGACGTATCCGGCGGTTTTCTCGAGAATGTTCCTAATCTCACGAGGCGGCAGCACCACGCCAGCGGGAGCTTTGATATCGTCCAGCGCGTTCGGCGCACTTGCGTTGGCAGCTTCCGCAGCCATTTCCGCAGGTGACGGGGGCAGTATCAGACCAAGTTTTGACGTGATGTAGCTGCAGCTGCTGCTTTATGGAGGAGGTTGAAAGGAAAAAGCTCGAAGGAACCTAGAAGTGATGATGTTGGCCGTGATGGCGATGGTGATGCAGCCCCGGCTGGAAATTTCCTGGCGCCTTGCACACGAGCACCCAATTGAGTCGGCTGCCGGAGTTATAATAATCCGACCGCTGTTCGAATGTTGCGCCACAATCCACAATCGATGGATGGTGCATGAATGAAGGGACAGAGATGCAATACGAGCTGCCTCGTATTTTGCATCCGTAAATTACTCTTCATAGTAGATAATCTCTTCAACACTAACGGCAGGCTGAACGAAAATTTACACAAGATTCCTCTGCATTTCTGCGGCAGACCATCTTGCATGTAGCGTTGTACTATTTGCAGCCACGTCGCCCAAGTTTCAGGTACCAACACCTGGAGTGGCTTGTTGGGAGCACATGTCAATTGGCCTGGCACTGACTCGGGAGTAACAATGGACGGGCAATGATACAGTGGCCTCTTACAGGGAGCCTCGACCTCGCTACGAACCGAACTGAGCTCCCTTTTCATCTTAGTGCGGCTGAAGGGTCTTTATCCGGGCCATTGCTCCGTGACGAACAAGAAAGACATGGCTGTCATGGCTGTGATGCTGAGTACAATCAAACACGAAAAGCAGTAGACGGAGTGCAGTTTCAAGTATTGACCCCGAATTGGAGTATCACCATAGTATACCTCGTATTGACGTATATACGTAGCTGTACACATTCTCATCCGCAAGCAACAGGCATTAGAAAAGGTAAGACGCATATTCACGTTCCCGGAACCTCAAATTTCTGGAGTAGCCTTGTCAATCGCTTATTGGGCCATCCCTTGAGCGCTAGTGGCCATTGGTTCATCGCTAGAGCAAGGGGGGCCCCTCTCCAAAACACGAGGCTGCAACGGGGTTCTTCTCTGTAGCGTTTGCATTGGCAGTACTCGTCGTGTACTCGCTCGTTGTATGGCGCCAGAGCCGCGCCAGTCGGTACCAGCACCCGCAGACGCAAGTACAGGTATGGCGGTGCACCGACAGTGGCGCCAAGGCTGAGGGTTCCTCCCTGGAAAGGCCACTGTAGCTACATTACCATGCTGGAAGCGTGAAGCTGAACTCACTCCCACCCCTGACTGGTTTGGTTTGCCCATCACGACGACCACTTTGCGGCTTCTTCCCCCATTCTGCCTCTTATTTTCTCTTCCCTTCTGCCTGTGCGCTGCGACTCCCGACCAGCGGCTGTCGTTTCTTTTTCTTGTGCCCGGCCGAATCTGGGCGAGTCTCTTGCCCATTGTTCCTTTTGTCAGCTCCTCCCATGAGGCATCCTTATTAATTTCCACACCTCGTCTCCTTCGTTCGATACGCTCATTTACCGGTCCCAATTGGACATTCTTCCAACCCCCTTCGAGCGCTCGGTCCTCGCTATTCTCCAGTCGCACGAACCGGCCGATTGATACCATCGCCCACGCCTTCTCTCCCCGACAATCCCCGCCAGACTCTTCGCCATGGCGAAAGCGACGGCGCGGGGCCGCAGCCCTCAACCTCCCTTCGTCGCAGAAAAGGCGGCTTCAGTCGCATCAGCCAAGCCCAAGGCGGCCAGGAAGAACAGCTCGTACAAGTCTGATGGCGTCGCCGACAACGACGTCTTTCTGCTGCCCGGGGCCGACTATGTGGCGGCCTTGGGAGTGACCGTCTTGGCGACCATTGTCCGCCTGTTCAAGATCTACACGCCCACCAGTGTGGTGTTTGACGAAGTCCAGTGAGTCTCTTCTGTCCGCTGTGCTGCGAGTTGCCCCAATCCGCTGGCATTGTGCTGACTGCTCCCCTTCCCATAGCTTCGGTGGCTTTGCTTCCAAGTACATCAAGGGCAGGTTCTTCATGGATGTGCACCCTCCCTTGGCCAAGATGCTCATTGCCCTCACTGGATGGCTTGCGGGTTTCGACGGCAACTTCGACTTCAAGGATATCGGCAAGGATTATCTCGAGCCTGGCGTTCCCTATGTCGCCATGCGCATGTTCCCCGCCGTTTGCGGCATCCTGCTCGCCCCCTTCATGTTCTTCACCCTCAAGGCCGTTGGCTGCCGAACGACCACCGCTATCCTTGGTGCCAGCTTCATCATCTTCGGTGAGTATATACTGCCCCTACTTTGAAACAGCCCCTTTGTTTGTCTTGTGCGTGGCTGGCCGACGATATTGAGGAAAATAAGTTCTGACCTGAGCCTTGTTGCAGAAAACGGCCTTCTTACTCAGGCCCGTCTTATCCTTCTGGATTCTCCATTGGTCGCTGCTACGGCCCTCACGGCCATGTCATTCAACTGCTTCACCAATCAGCATGAGCTGGGACCAGAGAAGGCATTTTCGCTGAGCTGGTGGTTCTGGCTTGCCATGACTGGTCTCGGCCTCGGCATTACCTCTAGCATCAAATGGGTTGGCCTCTTCACCATTGCCTGGGTTGGATCCTTGACCCTTGTACAGCTGTGGGTGCTCCTCGGCGACAGCAAGCATGTCTCCATGGTACGTTCAAGAATTGGGCCTGGTCGCTCTTCTCTATCACTCCGAGTTCTATTGCTCATCGGCTAACCCAACTTCCTCTCCGCAGCGTCTCTGGTTCAAGCACTTCATGGCCAGAGTTTTCTGCCTCATCATCATTCCCCTGACTTTCTACCTGTCCATGTTCGCCATCCACTTCCTCTGCCTGACCAACCCCGGCGAGGGTGATGGATTCATGAGCTCCGAGTTCCAGGCCACGCTGAACAGCAAGGGGATGAAGGACGTTCCTGCTGACGTCGTCTTCGGAAGCCGAGTCACCATCCGCCATGTTAACACTCAGGGTGGCTATCTCCACTCCCATCCTCTCATGTATCCTACCGGTAGCTTGCAGCAGCAGATCACTCTGTATCCCCACAAGGACGAGAACAACATCTGGATCTTGGAAAACCAGACTCAGCCGCTTGGTATTGATGGCCAGCCGATCAACGGAACCGAGGCATGGGACGCTTTGCCAGAGGTGCACCACATCGTTGACGGCTCCGTTATCCGCCTCTATCACAAGCCTACATTCCGACGCCTCCACTCGCACGATGTCCGACCCCCGGTCACCGAGGCCGACTGGCAAAACGAGGTCTCTGCTTACGGATACGAGGGCTTTGAGGGCGACGCCAACGATCTCTTCCGAGTTGAGATTGTCAAGAAGCAGTCCAAGGGGCCCCTGGCCAAGGAGCGCCTCCGCACAATCGAGACCAAGTTCCGACTGATCCACGTCATGACTGGATGCGCCCTGTTCTCTCACAAGGTCAAGCTGCCTGAGTGGGCCTCGGAGCAGCAAGAGGTTACGTGCGCTCGCGGAGCCAGCTTGCCCAACAGCATCTGGTATATCGAGTACAACGAGCACCCTCTCCTCGGCGAGGAGGTCGAAAAGGTCAACTATGCCAACCCTGGCTTCTTTGGCAAGTTTTGGGAGCTGCACAAGGTTATGTGGAGGACAAACGCCGGCTTGACTGACTCCCACGCTTGGGACTCTCGACCCCCTTCATGGCCTATTCTTCGTCGCGGCATCAACTTCTGGGGCAAGCATCACATGCAAGTCTATCTTCTGGGCAACCCTTTCATCTGGTGGTCTAGCACGGCCGCCGTCGCCATTTGGGTCATCTTTAAGGGCGTGGCGATCCTCCGATGGCAGCGCGGATGCAACGACTACGCCAGCAGCACATTCAAGCGCTTCGATTATGAGATTGGCACCTCCGTTCTGGGCTGGGCCCTGCATTACTTCCCCTTCTACCTGATGGAGCGCCAGTTGTTCCTACACCATTACTTCCCGGCACTCTACTTCGCCATCCTCGCCCTCTGCCAGATGTTCGACTTCGTCACGGCAAGAATCCCCGCCGCCCTTGGTTACCGTAGCACTGTCATCAACCGCGTCGGCACCGTGTCACTCCTTGTCATTTCTGCAGCTGTCTTCACCCTCTTTGCCCCTCTCGCCTATGGTATCCCTTGGACCAAGGCAGAGTGCAACCGCGTCAAGCTCTTTGACAAGTGGGACTTTGACTGCAACACCTTCCTCGATGATGTAAGTACTTTCCAGATGGTCCACGAACGTCCAACTTCCCAGACGTGGGTGAGTGGCGATGAAGAACTTGAACAACCATGACTGACGCTTTCGGTGATTAGTACAAGAGCTATACCCTGACATCTCTTCCGCCCTCGAGCATTGCTCCTTCACCGGCTGCTGCCAATATTCCAGTCGTGAACCAGGACCAAAAGCCCCTGGCAAAGCAGCCAGAGCCTGTTATCTCTCAGGCAGCCGTCCCTCAAGAGCCCCAGATCCTCTCTAAGGAAGAGAAGATTGAGTACCGAGACCAGGACGGAAACCTGCTGAACGATGAGCAGGTCCAGGCGCTTCTAGGCAAGGTCGAGTTCAAGACCAAGTACGAGACCAAGACGCGCGTCGTCGACGCGCAGGGACACGAAATTCCCATGCCCGAAGGCGGTTGGCCCGACGACATGGTTGCCGGCGTGGCCCCTCCTCACCCTGATGTCGAGGGCGTCGACAAGGAGACCCCCAAGGTTGAGAGCGCTGAAGTCCCCGTGGAGGCTGCCCCCAGTCGTGATGGTGAAGTGGAGGCCGAGAACTCCAAGCCGAAGCCCGCTAGCGAAGGACAGGAAGCCACCATTCAGGAGGAACTGTAAAGAGAGCTGGGGTTCGAAGCCTGGTCGTTTTGGCCAGCTCTGTTCATGAGATTTGATATTTTCACACAACGAAAAGGGGAAAAAACACAAAACACTCACCTCACATTCAGAGACGGCGTCTCAATAATCTTTGTAATAACGCGTCAAATCAACTGCTTATCGTCACACAACCAACTATTCAGGGGCGGCGTCTGCTTACAGGGCACCCCGGATCTCAACCATTCTGGTATGGAACGATCGAGGGCTCAGGGACGAATGGGGCGCTATAGGGGAGGTTTTTGTTTGGGCAGCGAAAGGGAAGAATCTTGTCGACTGAATCTACTTGAGAAGAAAAGCACCTGAAAAGCGATCTGAAAAAAGCAATGGAAGAAGTGAAAAGGGACAGCGAAGGAGTGCCGAAAGAGAGAGGGGGAAAGGAAGGGAGAAGTTGCAGGCTCTATGTGAATGTCATCCGTCATGTAACGTCTGATGTACAACAGTTCTTCTGCAGAATAGTCTCCTTGTTATAAACACGTTACGTCTTTGTCATGACAAGAAAAAATCAACGCTTCCTCATCTGGTGCATGTCTACATATCTCACTATCCTGTTATCCTTTGGCGGGCGTTTCCTCACTTGTAAGTGGGTTGCCAACAGGAGAAGCATTTCGGCGGCAGAAAGTATAGCCGCCCGCCTGCACCTGACAATTCTAACTTTTGCCTGGATCCTTCCCATCTCAACTGGTGGACTCCAGCATGACAGCTAGACTCGGAATTTTCTCTTCCATCATTTCATGAGTCAATTGTTCAATCTGGACAGCTCATCACATCATTCTGTCCTCGAGCGAATGACTGGATCTGGTTGGCTGTCTGGTCATAGTTCTGGCTGATATCACCCCTACATAATACACGACTCCTCCCGCCAAGCAGCCAGACATGTCGGACGCAGACTCGCAGCAGATCCCGCCAATCGAGATCGGCTCATTTATTGCCCTACGGCCCGACAAGAGCGAGTTCATCGGCAGTGCCAGCGGTGTCTTCTTCGCAAACACCGTCTTTCGGGCTTTTGCAACTGCAACGTCGACCTCAGGCGGTGCTGCGGCGAAGCGCTCTCAGGGAGATGTAGATGGCCTCGGCGCTACAGCGACGCCGGACCCGGGATCTGCGCATGAGTATGTCATGGCGGAGGAGAAGGCTCAGGAGCAGGCAGTTGAAGACGACGATTCTCTGGGAGTAGGAGGCGTGGGCGCTGAGGAAGCGAGCAAGAGCCCGGGAACACGATCGTACGGCATTGCAGCGCCTGGACTGGGAGTTCCGCCTCCCCCGGCTGTGGCCAAGCGGCTCCTCGTGGAATACTTCAGGAGATGGCATCCCTTCCTTCCCTTTCTACATGGACCTACGTTTTTTGACAAGGTGAATCGCTTCTACGGGCTGGAGGGAGGCTCCCCGGAACCGATGAGCCAGCGGAACAAGGTGTATCAGGCCATCATCTTCCAATGCGTCTTCAACATTGCAGACTCGAATCACAACCAGAAGCAGGAGCGGGAGCTGCCGGAAGAGTCGCGCATCAAGTCTCCTGTTGCGCTGACAAGCCTGCTCGGCATCCTCTCCAGTGGCCATGATATCCCTTCTTTGCAAGCCCTCCTGGCCGTGGAGCTGTATCTGATGACACAGATGTCCCTACGAGCAGCGTCGACGGTTCACGGAGCAATGACGCGCATCCTATACCATTGCGGACTGCACCGATGCCCCTTTCGATATGTTCAGCTACCGCGCGATATTTGCGATATGAGGAAGAGGATCTTTTGGTCTGCGTACGTGATTGACCGTCATCTGAGTCAGGTGCTGGGACACCCCCTGGCGCTCAACGATGAGGAAATCGACGTTTGTCTGCCGGGGGCACCAGAGGTTCACAACCCGGCCAGGCCATTTCAAAATGTCCCGCAAACGCGCTCTCCGGCGACGGAGGATGACGTTCATGCCTATGCACCGGTCGACCATCCTACTTTTGGGTCCATTTCCTCCGCAGGAGACCTTACCGACGGGAGCACCATTGGCACCCACGAAGAGAACATCAATACGGACCAGCTTGTCTATCGGCCACAGAGCTTGGGCGAGTCTATTCTCGGCTTCCTCGTGACATATTCGCGGCTGCTTGGCCAGGCTCTGGACCTATTCCACAAGTCCATCCACAGCCGGTCCATCACCTGGGACAAGGTGCTAGAGATGACGTCCAAGATTCACGCGTGGTGGAACACGCTTCCGCCGTCTTTTCAGGGGGAAGGTCTGACGTCTATCTTTGTCGAGCCGCAGTCCCACCATGGCCCTCCCTTTGCGATCTTGTACCACCAACTCATCCTCATCATGAACCGGCCTTTCCTCTCTCTCCCGACGAACCGGACAGACTTCCAGTTTAGTCTCCAAACAGCTGTGAATGCCAGCCGAGCCATTGTCAAGAAGCTCAAGCTGCGGCAAGGGGACTCACCCTTGGTGGCTTGGCCAGGGATGTTGTCGGCTGCCTGGATGGCCGGGCTAGTCATTGCGTATGCCGGGTTGTTGAAGCTGTATCCAATGGAGAAGACTGTCCTGTACGTTTCAATCTGCTGTTGATCCTCACCAACCAGTCGGATCGAATATCCGATCATGACCCTCGCCACCCTCCCCCCCCTTGAATATTATAATCGTCGCCCATCTGGCTAATATGTTATCATTACAGGGATCTCAACTGCGCCATAAGACTGCTCGGCATGATGAGTCGAAACTGGACCAGCGCCCACCACTGCCGCGTAACACTCAAAATGCTGCTGGACAGATTGACATCGAAGCCGTTCATGGACAAAATCAATCCAGCATTGTCGGCAGATCCCTCCCTCAGCATATTGACGGATTGGAGCCAGCCCGTCTTTTCAACGTACCAGAATCTCCTCGAAGGGAGCCGCAGCAAGCGCCGCCGGATGGAACAGAACAACGCCAGCGGCAATAATACGAACATGAATACCGGCAACAATGGCATCGGCAATACCAATACCAACAGCAACCCTGGCTTCATGGGCAATGCTATGAGTGGCTACCCTGCCAGCCATTTCGTTGGACCCGACGCCGGATTCGTGGGCGGTGACAGTTTCTGGGACTACCCAAGCTTCCAGCCCGTGTTGGAGTATACAGGTCCAGATTTCGGATTCGACGCAGATCACCTCTCTCAGCAGGGGGAATGGGAGCGGTTCCTGAGCGAGAATATGAACCCGGAATCTTCAGGACTTTTGTTCAACAATGTCGGATGGGACTCATACGTTCAGAATTTAGGCGACAGATTGAATTTGTAAGTGGCGCCGTGGTCTCTTATACTTTTCTTTTCGTCCCTCTTCCCTGTGATACCTTGACTGCTTTGGGTGATGTGGACTTTGAGTAGATTTGGATGTATCGAAGTCCAACGCATGTGAATAACAATCAAACACACAACGGCAATCTGCGCGACTGCAATTGCAGAGTGGAAAGACGGTATTTTTTCATTGAAAAGCCGAACAAGCGAACGCAAGTTATTGAAACACCCGAATACGTAGCAAATGGCTGGTAATGTACATATAACCCAAGAGTAAAAAGAGAAACAACCCAACAGGTGTTACCACACAAACTGCCGTCTAAAGTCTTGAGACAGATCAAACATTTGGCCTGTCCCCAATTCCCTTGAAAATGGTGTGCCAGAAGCTAAAGCAGGTTCTACGGCAGTTGGAAGAGCTGTAGCAGTTGGTTCCATGGGAAGTGTCTGATATGCCTCGGCACTAGCTCTCGAACTGGACCTCCTCTCGGCCTGACTCCTTGAGAGCGGATCTGGGAGGACGGGATACGACTCGAATGACCTGTGGTCGGTGTCCTCTGAGGTGCTTCCGCTGGCCTGCAACGCATCTGCGCTGCGCCCGAGGACTTCGCCTGCCCAGCGCTTCACCTCGTCTGCCGTGTTCAGGGGGAAGCTCTCCCAGTGAGCGATTGTGCCCGTCTTCTTGGCCTCTATTCGGCCTGCCGCGTCGGTCGTCGTTGTTGTTGCCATGGCGGCAGTATTCAAGACATCTGCCCTCCTGGCGGGCTCGTGCTTGAATGCGTCTTGCAATAGGCTGTCATCCGATACCTGGAGCAGCTGCAGCAGGACTGCCTCGGTAACTGCGAGACGATGCTCAAGGGCCTCGATGTAACCCTTGGCAGGACCACTGGAATAAGAGCTCCGCGTTAGAAGGAACACGTTTTCCGTGTGTAGGCTCACTGAGGCTGCTTACCGCTTGTATAGCTTTGGCCACACGCACTCCCGCTTCATATCACGGCATCGCGAACAAGTCGGTCTGCAAGAAAGGTGGTCAACGGGGAGCACTCTCAAGCGGTCTGGTCTGGTGGAATCTCACCGTTTCTCATCGCACTGCCGTCAGGGTCAGTTTTTTCTCATCAAGAGTCAACAAACAAGAAACAAATGACTGAAAGCTCTCTTTGTCTCTCACCTTCTGCTTCCGAGATCTACACCCGTCGCAGGCTGCGCGGCCACGGACCGGAGCCATGTGAGCGTCTTCCGCAGAGTGGGGCCGGATGTTACGATAGTCGGGTTCAAACAACTCATGCAAGGTACTTCAACTCATGATCCCGCCGCGGAGTCGGGCTGGTGTCTGGGCCCCTTCGAGCTTTGCTTTCTCTCTTCTCTCAAAAGAATAAGAGGATAAAAGAGCCAGATCTGAAATGAATCGAATACCTGGTACGGGGTGCTGGGAAGCTGTGGGATTGAGGAGCACTACTGATTGGCAGCAAGCCGGCAGAAAAGGGAAAGTTCGCCTGGGGGCGGCTAAAAGATGTGCCGATGGCAAAGAGCCGGCACAGTTGGAACTGGAAGTTACATCACCGTGATACTTGCCCTCTTATTCCACTGTTTCGCTTGTGAACAACGGAAGGAGCTGCTCGTGATATCACATGAGCACACAAATTTCAGAGAATCTAATTATGAAGAGGTGAAACAAAGAATCAATCTTCCTCCTTCACATCCGCGAAGAAAGGAATCTCATGTTTTCCATCATGGCGTCAGCAATTGAAAAGCGCCGTAGTCCTTCATTCCGTTACCAGTGGTTCCACTATCTATGACCAGTCTATCCGGAGACTCGCGGGGTAATACCGTTGGAGCACCGAGGCAAAAGCAACTACAGTCTGTCAATATGCGGAGAGACGGATCTGCCGATAGTGCTAAGTTGATCTTGTCCATGACGGCTTTGGCAAGGTAGGTACGCCAAGTACGTGCCAGTGACCCTACCTTGCTGCATGCTGGTCAAAGTGCGTGCATGCATTTACACGCAGATTCAACGACTAATCGAGGGAAATCTTCAGGTTTGGTCCCATTGCCTACGCCGTCCCCCGGCTGCAAGTGCGATAGAAGCTGGTACGCTATCTCGATTTCCTCGGCACGCCATTGATCGAATCCTGCACACTTTCGTGCTGTTACTCCATGCTCGCCATCATGATGGCAGGGAACCAGTATGGGGAGCTCATGCAGCTTCCCTTGCGTGGGGTGAACACTAGAGGCATCCCCGTTCTTCTACATTCACATTGAGATTCATTCTTTCAGCGACATCCCACGGCATATCAGCATCGGAATTTGCAGCCATTGCTCATCTGTGGTCATACCGTCTTCATTGTCCATTATTCAGCCACCATTGCAATGGTAAACACTTCCACGCCGTTCCCCTCAACCTGACTCCCTTTACGGTGCTGACGCAGTCTCCCCATCCCATCTCCATTTATGGCGTTCAGTCGTCCGGCCCATCTTCCTCGCTGCTTCATCTTCGCCGCCCTATGGATACCCTCCGTCGCACCATCTATGGCACCTGCTTGTTCTCCAGCTCACATCCCTCCTCTCTATGGTGATCATGGATATCCGCGGCTACGGTGTCTTATCGAAACTTGCTAGCAACACGGCTTCTCCACGCAAGGAGTCACTAAGCTGACGACTGTATTGCCGTCATGGACTCTCGGCTTTGCTCGCCAGCCCTTTTATGTCTGTGGGCATGACCATAGCGCCCATCTCGCTCCCAGGCTGCTTGATGACTATCCTGCCCACGTCCTCAAGGACATCCTTCTTGACATGTGCCCACCCCCTCTGGCAATGTACAACTGCATACATTCCGAATTATCCAAAAAAGCCTACTTTCACTGATATTTCATCATCCAGGAATCTCCTCTTCTCGAAAGTTCATCAGCGGGGCCCCGCGTCAAGTCCCGAATGTCGTTGTCTCACATTCTCGAGTTCTTCCCCTGACTTTTTCCTGAGAAAGCAAACCGTCATACCATACGGCAACTCGTTTCCAGTCATGACAGACGTCAGCCCAGACACTTTGCTTCAGTCACATTTCTCAGAGCAAACAAGCATACAAACACTATCAAAATACCTATGATTTGATTCTAATACATCTATGTCATTAGGTATATGGATTCCCTCAAAGGGGAAACCGCTATCGACGGCAACGCCCCTTCTCCGCCTCACAAACTCTTCGTGGCCCTTGTGTTCTATAGCGGCAGTGAATCGGCGGGTTGACCCAAACGGACATTCCCAAAATGCGTTGTGTGCTGCGCCCGCTCAAAATGATAACAGTTAAAAGCAATATCTTGGTCAAGAAGGCGAGAAAAGATGGTAAGAAACGAAAAAAATCACCAAGAAACAAGACAAGAGCCAAATCCGAAGAGGACGAAGAAGTCGTCAAGAGAAGAAAAAGAAGAAGAAAAATGTTCTGCAGACGAAGGAGAAGAAGGAAGAACGCAAACCCCGGCCAAATGATGCTCTAGCCCACATTTTGCTGGTTCTTCCCAAAGGCCCTGTATCCATCGATCAAGTCCAACCCAAAAACGCCAATCATACTTGACCTGTTGTTTTTTGTGTCCTTCTCAGCATTCAAATCGTTTGCCTCCATTGCCAAATATGCTCGCCAATCTAACTTCCTTCCCCTCCCCTTTTTTACCCCCCTTTCCCTCCAGCCAATCCTTGCCTAATTTCCGGGCATCTGGTCGGGTGTAGGGCCATGAAGTCAACTCGAGGTTGATCAATATACATAAACATTAAGCCATGATAGGCGACGAAAGCATTACAAAATATATAGTTGCGAAATAGGGGGAATCTTTCAAAATCCGCTGTGGGTGATTTTTGGTGTCTTCTTTGCCGCTTTCTCGATGTTTCAGTTCTCGATGACGGTAGTCGTAGACATGCGCTTGGTAGCCTCAGATCCGGAGCTGCTGATGGCGTCCAGAGTCAAAGATTGCAAAGAGTAGCGGAGAGGCTTGGTGCCGTCCGTCTGGTCGGGAGGCGTGTGAGGCTCGTCCGTGGACACGCGGCGTCCCAGCTCGAACTCGCTGCCGTCATCGTCCTCAATCTCTGAGGGCGGAGCTGTGTCGAAGCTGGTGTCAACAACCGATGCTTCCTCTTCTTTTTCTGTAGATGCATCCTCATCCTTGGCCGCAGATGCTCCCTCTTCCTTTTCTGTAGATGCACCCTCTTCCTTGTCTGTAGATGCATCGGCAACGGAGTCGGTGGACACATCGGCCGGGGCGTCTACAACCCGCTCCTGGCTAGGCTGACGGCTGTGCGTGTGTGTCTCTCCATGAGAAACAGGAACGACGCCACCTCCCAGGCGGGCCCAGAACATCTGCTCTCTGAGGCGGACGCTTTCCTCCCAAGCAGCTTTTTCGTTCTCCGCATCATCGGCCCGCCAGTATCCATCCTTGACCATACGAAGGAATCCCAGGAATTGGCAGGTGGATCGAACGCGGACAGTGCAGTAGCCGCAGAGAGGGTACCGCTGGGCCGAATCAGCCTCGCTTGTACGGAAGCGGTAGTTGCGCAAGTACTCTGCGTCTTTGCGAGATTCGCCGCACAAGGCGCAAGGATAAAACTGCGGCTTGGGAACGGGAAGGAAGCTCGGCGTCGTGGGGGGCGCAGGGATGGGCTCAACCACCAGTGAGCCGTCGGCCACGGCTGACAGGACAGTGCGGCGAGCCAGCCATGACAGTCCTGGTGCAGCATCCAGACGAAGCGTGGGCTCAACGTCTTCAGTCAGGACGCGCTTAAAGAAGCGTGTCTCCTTGAGCTGAGGAATTGGCGAGGGTGTCGAAGCGGCGCTGGTGGCAGACGCGTTTGCGTTCGCGTTGGGAGACTGCGGCGTGCTGGAATTGCTGCTCTGGTTGAGGTTCGAAAAGGCGCTCAATGAGGAGGTAGAGGCGTTTGAAAGGTGTGCACTCGAAGTTGAACCGCCAAGTCCGATGAATCCACCAATGGAGGAACCGGCAGAGACACGGCTTCCGGAGCGCGGATGGGAAAGGCGAGCAAGGGCGATGAAGTCATCGTACTCTGCGATATCGGTGCGCAAGACAGGCTGGATCAGATGCGTAAAGCTAGTCGGGGGAGCCGGGGTCGATTGCGATTCGGCGTTGTGTCTCGACGGGGCTGGCGTCGGCTTCTCGGGAACAGAGTGGGCTTCATCCTTGGGCTCGAGGCCGGGGGTCGAAGGAACCGTGTTGTTGCCCTGGTCGTCGCGCTCCATCACCATGGTTTCGAGCACCTGCTTCAGCTCAGAAAGCTGCTCCTGCTGCGACTTCAGAAGGCTCTCAGAATCGGCGAGCTGGGCCTTGAGCTGATCGTTCTTCTTCGTCAGAACATCATGCTGGAACTGAGCGTCTTCCTTGGCGGCAATAACCATCTTGTTTGCCTCCTCGAACAGAGCCGTGGTCAAATTCTCCAGCTCCTGTTCGATCTTGCGCTTCTCCTTCTCTGTCTCTATCCGGCTTGTCGTCTCCTCGTTAAGTTTCTGCTGCATCGCCTTCTTCTCAGCCTGCCAGACTTTGCGCTCGTTCTCGAGCGTCGATCTGCGAATCCAGACATCGCCAGCCATCATCTCGCGCTGGGCGGCAAGCTGAGCCTCCAAATCGCGGATGCGGTCGTGGGACGTCTCCAATTCGTGACGGGTTGCTGACAGGGTATCATCGAGCGCGGTCTGGTGGTTGATGGCGTTGATGAGCTTCGTGCTGAGCGTCGCAACTTCGTCGCTGAGACCGGGATGCTGAGAAACGGTAGAAGCGCCATCGCCGTCATTCCTGTCCAGATCCGGATGCGCAGTTGAAGGCCTTTGTCCGTTGCCCGACGAGCTGGCCGTTCTTATTCGGGGATCGGGTAGTGTGCTCATCTCGTGGCTGGGAAAGTATGAGGCGGCCTTGGATGCGAACGATATTATGGGCAAATTCGAGACTGAGGGCGACTTGGGCGGCGGTCGAGGCCGGTATGATGATGAGTCGTCAACAGAGCTCGGAACTGTTGATATTGACCGGAGGTGGCTGAGGGATCTGGCTGAGGAGGGAAAGTGCTGAGACCAGCCGGCGACGTGGATAAAGCTGTGGAATAAGCTGTTAGTGGACTGTTCCATTGCTGCCTCGCATCTCGCAGGAGCAGAGAGACAATCGCGTCGCGCACCCAAGAAAGGGGATGAAGAAGGGAAGAGAGGAGAGAAAAAGGCAACGGTGTTGAAGATGGGTAAAATGGGAAAGAAAGGCTAAAAGTGGAGGGCGTATAGCATCAAACTCAAAAGTTTAAACTTCCCGTCGGAATTCAGAAATCCAAATACCATAAGACGGAAAGTACAAACAGGCTCGGGATGATGCGCGAGGCGGGCGCGAACAAGGGAAAGAGGGACGATGCATGCAGGTATGACGTACGAATCCATAGTTACAGCTTCCTCGACGTCCGAGGTCTGGTTGAGCTGCGTCTTTCCTTCCTTCTCAGTTCGCTTTCGATCGGTAGTTTCGGCAGGCGATGCCGTCACCAGTATCACCGTCGGTTCTCTCGCGTATTCGTGTTCGCTCTGTCGTTGTCTGCTGGCTGCTGGAGAGGAAAGAAGACAAAAGTGAAAATAGATGCACTGTCCTGTCGTGGAGGATAGAACACAAAATGGAATGAAGAAGAAAGGTGGATGTGAGTAGAAGGCGGGTCGATGAGGGGATGAAGATGAAGAAGTTGGCTTCGAAGACGGGCAGAAGATCGAACAAGCTAGAGTCCAGCACTGGCTTGTCGCTGGCCGCAATCGGAATAATTAAAGGTTGTAAGGTCGCGAAGATGGTATTATAGTGTACAGTTAGGGGGGGTATAACGGTAAGGATGTACTCGGTAGGTATCGAAAAGAGATAGAATCCCAAAGGAAAGCAAAGAGAAAGAAGAAGAAGGCGAAAAATGGCGCCAAGCGTTGGCTGTGTGGCGTCGAACGCGCGCAGAACGGTTTGCGGACGCCCGAATTGGGAAAGAAATATAGTGAGCGAAAGCCTGAATCTGATAGGCAAAGATCCAACAGAGAGCGACAGGAGACAGGAAGGGACGGAAGAGCGACTGGGCGATTCTTCGACTTGGGACTGGCAAGACCCGAAGGAAACTTGAAAATCAAGGAACAAAGAGAGAGCCCAGAGGCGGCGTCGTCGGCAGCCGGATTACGGAGTCGAGAGGGAATAATAAAGGAGGTCGGGCGGAAAAAGGAAGCGCGGCACACGGTATGTATGGTCGAGGCAAGATTTGGCAGCGCACAAGCTAAGGATGTGCAATTAAAACGGAAAGGGTGCTGTGCTGCGTGCCGAAAAAAAGGGTCTAGAGTCTAGGGCGCGTATACGAGTACGGCGGTGCGTCTTTGGGATCCTTGCTGGCGTCTGTCCGGGTCTCGATTTCAAAGAGTTCTCCCGCAAAGACGAGGCTTTGATATTGAAGCCAGAGGTCGAGAAGTGAGTAAGATGGACGAGATTGGGACAGATGGGAAGAACGGCTTTGGTGAGGGGTGGTTTAGGTGATTGGGAGGGAGTGAGGAGGGAACGGGCGAATAGCCTTGCGCTCTCGCTCTGCCCAGCCTCGAATGGCGTCGTTTCCTTTGCGCGGGAGGCGAGAAAAGGCGTCCCCGGAACTTGTTTCTTGGGGGCTACTTAGCAGGTACTAGTTCCTGCCTGGGAGAAACGGCTCTAGGACAGCGGCAGCGCCACGCTTTGAACATCCGTTTCCACCCAATGGCGCGGCCTTTCTGGACCAGGCCGGTGGCGGAGTGTCACTCGGCAGAATTCGAGGCCCCGGTCGAGCTGTAAGTACGAGCAGGTACAGGCAAGCACTTCTCCTCTCGGTGTTCTTGTTGATGAAGCCGTGCCCGAAGTGAGGAGAAGACGACGGCGACGACGACGACAACGACGATGACTGATGGGAGGAGCGGGAGGAACGGAGCTGGGATGTTGGATGATGTGAGACGAAGGTGGACTTGATGGTAAATAGCGTTCCCAGCAAAGTATGTGCTTTGCGAGATGTTCTACCTGTCTGTATATACGGTAAACTCGGACGACTGCCATTGATGACCATGTATGATGACCATGCCATTGGACGATTTGGCATGTTGACGTGATGCCCAATGCACGCAGGCACAGCACATAACACACACATACGTCAATCGAAAAGGGACCAAGGCGATCTGGACCTGTTTGCCAGGTTCAGGCGTCTCCTTCTCCTCACTCTGGGCTCTCACTTGGTCCTCTGGTTGGCCTCCGGGCTGGGTCAAGGGCGGGTTTGGCCTAGCTGGTGGAGAATCCGATGCACGAGGCACATGGATGTCTTCGTACATAGTACAAGATAACCGGGGGAGGGAAAGGGTGGAAACAGGGAGAGGCGAGTCAAGGGATCGCGCGTTTGCAGGCAGGGTCCCCAGCTGTCTTGTGTGTAGCTGAGCATGTTTTGATAGTTGGCTGTTTGAATGTGGTTTGTAGTATTAGGGATTCGTGAATCAGAGAGCAAAGCAGAATGCACGGGTAAGGATCGGAATGAGGCTGTCAGGAGATGATCCGGAAAGATGCTTGATTCCCGAGGCCAACAAGGAAGCAGAGGCGTGAGAATGTGATGTGCTTTCGCTACTGCAGGTGCGAGAGTGCTCAAGAATTGAAGGTACCTTTTGCTGCGACGCTCCCCGATAACCCTAACCCGGATTAGGAAGTACTTGACAAAAGCAGATGCCGTTCCGTGCCTTGTATCCGAGATGAGAGTTGAAGGCCTTTTCGCATCTCTCTGTATACAAACACATGGAAATCTGGTCTTGCAATGTCAGACATGCTTTTCACATTGTCTTGGCCCGTCTTTCTGTTGAGTAAAACTCTTTGACATCAGTTGATGCTTTCCCTTTTTCCCCCATTGAATCACGAGCTGAACAAGTCTGGGCACTAATGACGAAACGGCTGACGCTAGGGCCCGCTCCCGTACTTCCCACTTCGTACTTGTACTTTATCCGCAAGGCACTTTGCGGCTAGCGCTCCGTATTCGCACATGTATCCTGTACACAGCCGGGGCGCAAGTCTTGGCGGCAGGTCATGATCCGTTTCCTCTTTCCTCTCTCTTTTTACTTGTATTTTCTTGTATTTTATCAATCTTTCATCATATCACTCACTGCCCCTTGCAAGAAGCCTTGAAGTAACCTGACCGGGCGGCTGTAGAGGCCAAGGCTGAAGTGCAATTGCCGGCAGATTGAAAGGTGCCTCGTCTGTGCAGGTACAGGCAAGTATCTGCACCTTCCAGCAGGCAGGCGAAACCGAGCTGCAGCCATTTAAAGGGAGCATCTTGCGCATGCAGCACATCACATGTACTCCAGCAGGTACGAAGACATACATGTACTTCCGTCTCCATAAAGGTACATGTGCAGCCTCGCTGCTCCTTACAGCGCGTACAGATAGTACCTACAGCGCATCTAGGCCCTGTAGAAGCGCGTCAGGTGCTCAGCTACAGGGGGCCCCAGGCTGACCCGCCTCCAGTCTGCTGCGACTGGAATCCATGATCCAATAGCTCCAGCCCCAGAATCTTCCAAGCTTCTCTTTTGCCTCTCTCGGGCTCTGCTCTGCTGCTTCTCGGCCAGAAGCTTACAACAGCTTCAAGTCGTGAGGCGGCTTGTTACATACATGTAGGCTGTCGAGGCCGCTGAGGCTGTTGGGGCTGTTGAGGCTCGAACTACCGAGTCAGCAGCGCAATGCCCTTAGAAAGCCCCCAATTGTCTCTTACATGTTGTATTCCTGCCTCATGTCTTGTATCATCTTCTTCATGCCTCAGTCTCCTTGCTTTAAACAACGCATCAGACACGCATGCCATCGTCACCCAACGCGAGCTGGACTTGCCCCCTGGCAAAGCCTTTGTTGATCCAGCATTCATTCATTATCCGTCAGTCAATCGACAGCAAAGCCTCACAGCATCAAGCAGCAAAAGGCCCATGCCCCTCCCCCGCTGCGACCCAACCGCCCGAACCGCCACACCTGCTCCTTCGTATACGGAGTACCCAAGCGTACCTTGCAGCTTATTGTCTTCCAGCCAACGCGTATCCATCAATAAAAAGAGGCATCATCCATCACATTCGGCGGCATCGACCACTAGAAGAGCAGGTGGTATGAATACCAAGTGGTATTGCTCGTCCTGCGTCCCTCAAACGGATAAGCCTTCTTGTACTATTTGCTCGCTACCAACAATTGGATATGCACTATCGGATTACGTTCTACTACTACTATCACAGAGCCATCGATGAACATGAGCCCGCTACCTGAAACCTGACGAGGGTTGCCAGGCTCATTTCGCGCCCCGTCTCGTATCACATCAGTACCAGGCCCTCGTCATCAGGGCACATTATTTACCTAGTTCCCTTACATTACGAGCACAATCACACGTGTATCGCAGCACAAGGCACCAAGCACGCGAAGGATATGTATTGACAGGTATCGTTGGGAAGAGGTATAAAGCCTCCTCGGCAAAAAGCGGGCAGCGTCAAACAGATTGAACCAAACAATATGAAGAGTATCAGAGCTCCCTACCTCACTCAAGATGGCTCCGCACATCAAAATAGCCAGATTTGGGTACGCTGTGTCTCTTCCAACTCGGTAGGTCCCGCAAAACTGAATGGCATATTGCTGTATGAAGCCATCATCATAATTTACCGATATGAGCGCACGGCAATGTGCAATAATGCATAGTAGAGATAAGCGGATAGTAAGAAGGAACAGCCATGTCAAATATTGTTACCACAATCTGCCATCAACATCCCGTCCCACTTGTGTAATCTACATTGTTGCAAATCAACATAAAACTCGACTTCGGCTGCCGTTTTGCAGCGCTGATATCTCTTGCGAAATCGCTCGCTCGCTCGCTTTTGCAGCAATACATATGAACAAATGAGAGTGCATGGGGTATCTGAAATGACACGTGTGCTCCGCTTTGACAAACAAGTATCGAGATGAACAAAGGAACAACGAGAAACCGCTCCTCCACATCGTATCATATATACAGGTACCCATATCGACAACGAGCGACCTAGGTACTCCTTCATCAATCTTCCTTCCAATCTGCAAATTCCGGCTCGCCGAACGGATTCCATTCTTGTCCGGGATAGCTCGTCGCGCTCATCTTGGGCTCGAAGTCCTCTGGCTCGTAGTAAATCTTCTCCTCCTGTGATGCGAGTCTGATGGCTCGCTTTCGTGCTTCTTCAGTGTCTTCCAGTTCAGCTACCACACCGGTGCTGACAGGCGTGACGCCTGTCTTGGTCTCTGCCTCTCTCGAGCTTTCTGCCTCTTCCTTTGACACTATTTGAGAAACGCCTGATGCCTCGTGGCTGTTCTCGGTACCGCTGGGCACTACCTTGGGCGTAGCATCGTAAAGGTTATCCTCCACCAATTGCCGAGCTTTCTCTACATCTATGCCAAGATTCGATGCTGCAGCCGGCTCAGCTGTCACATCCGTCTTGGGCTCGAGCTTCATGCCAGGCTTCTGATCGACTCCGACTGACACAGCTGGACTTCGTGGGGCAGATCGAGTGCCATCGGCAACAGACAGATTTCCAGTTTCTGACGGCTGGGGTGTTCCTGGATGCGAGATCCCAAGGTTGCTGCCCAGGCCACTAGTGGGCCTTGGCTCATCTCTGTTGGTGCGACTATCTTGAGAGCTGTTCCTGTTGTGCTGACTCAACTGCGTATTGGAAGTATGGGTGCTACGGGCATCATGATAGTCGGCCCGTGAATCAGATGGAGCCCTCATATGAACTGACCTCTCGTTTGGCAAAGGTGCTGACACTGGGCCTTGAGTCATTCGAGGGGGTAACGACTGGATGGGCTGAGGCGGGTAGTGGGACATGAGAGGAGGATGTCCACCCTGCCATTGCTGCTGTTGCTGTACACGTGGATGAAGATGAGGGTGTTGCTGTGGTAGGGGAGCAAACTGGCCGTGCGGCATTTGGCGCCGAAGGTTCTGGTGGTACGGCGATGGAATCATGGTGCCCTCGCCATGTACCGCCGCATATCCCCTAGGGATAGGTACGGTCTCATAAAGCGGCTCTGATGAGCGAGTCTGATTTCGAGGCGGTGCACTCTGCTGTGGAGGCCCAGGAGGCATCGTTTTGGCTCTGGGAAGATTGGGCGGCGGCCCAGATGCCTGCAGGTAATGGCCATTGGCAGGCATAGCATTAGGCTGTGGTCCCTGTAATTGTCCTGCCTGCTGCTGATATCCTTGAGGATGAGGCTGGGAGCTCAGATTTTGAAGCTGCCTGGGAGATGGTTGAACGCTCCCCTGATTTTGAGTACTCTCCACCTGTTTGGACGTTCGCCTGAGAGCGCCCAGCAACTTGTTGCCCCTGATCTTGTCCGCCACAGCAGTCTTGTTCTGGCCAAGGATCAGGCCCTGTTGCTGTGGATATTGCTGCTGCTGCTGCTGCTGGGTTCTTTGGGAGATTTGCTCCGTCACTCGATTCCTGAGTCCTTTCCAACGTGATGCTTGGCCATCTTTCTGATGAGCTGCAGCCTCTGGGGTTTCTGTAGATGCTCGCCCGAACGGCCCAGGAAATCCTGGGGCAAGGTGTTGCGGCCCGGATTGGACTGGATACACTGGTGTCGACGCCTCTGAAGCAACGGACGCATTAGACATGCTCACCGAAGGCGGATATTGAGGCCGCAATTGCTGTGATGCCTGTGTACCCGCAAGCAGGGGCGATGACGAGGTAGGGAAATTCCGACGTCCTGCTGTGTCAACAAGGTGCTGCTGAGACTCAGATCTAGTGTGAGACCGAGGAGTAGTTGGCGGTTCCATATTTTGCGCATCCGGCAACTTGGCACTCGCCAAAGCCGGCGAATGTAGCTGCTGATGTTGAGAAACTGGCGTTGCGGCTTTGCTCGACACCTGAGATTTTGCAACTTGTGGCGAGGGCTCCGGAGACAGAGCCACACTACCTTCGGTCTGATGCACAGAGCTTCCTCCCTGCAAAAGGGACTTGACATCGGATTTCTCGCGGAGAGAAGAAACAGATGGGAAAGAGTGGACCGACGGTGGCACATCATTAGAAACAGTATGGTGAATGACAGGACGGCCAGCAGCAAGGTCGGCATCCGAGGCTAGCAGAGATGTCTCAGGAGGAGGGGTGATCAAGACGCCCTCTACAATCTCGTCATGCTCCGGGGTATGGCTATGAGGTTGGACGGGAGCTTGCTCTTCAGTCTTGTTGGAGGTGGATACAATGGATATATCCGGGGATACCGTCTGTGATCTCAGAACATCTTCTTCGCTCACACCATCCCCCTTAACAGGTAAGGGGGGTATTTTCTCCTGGAAGTTGAAGTCTCGAGGCCTAGGAGTCTTTTGTTCCGTCATGGAGTCTACTTGGAACTTGGGTGACTCCAAATCTATGTCTCCAGAAACCCTCTGGCCTTCTGCAGCAGCAGACTTCACGGTCTGCGGGCCCATTTGGGGGACGTTGGCACGAGCCACTGGAGTTGCGGTCGAGAGCGGCGGCTGGTGGCTCTGAGCATTCTGTCGTCCAGGGTCCAGAGCTGTCATCTGTGATGATGGCGCGAGATGAGACGATGCTAATCCTGGCGAGGCTGCTAACCTCTCCTGACCTCTAGCTGCAGGGAAGGCTTTAGAATCACCGAATGATTTCTGCGCCGAATGTTCAAAAGCATGTTGCTGCTGCTTCTTCTTCTCAGCGTCCTCGCCGTGGCCGTAGTTTTGAAAAGACTCTTCGAATCCTAGGCTCGACAGGGAGCCCAGCCGATCTGAGGCAAAATCTAAAGAGGGTAGTTGAATGGATTGTCGAGAAACAGTCGACGCCTGGTTTTGAAACTGGGGGTTTTGCCTGCGATCGTCGGTCTGCTGCCTGGGCATTGCCCCCAGTGAAGCACGATCCTGACGAGAGCGAGAGAATAGACCCGTGATTCCGGATACTTTGGCGATATCGGATATCCTTCTCTTATGCGCAGCCCCACCGTCTCGGCCATCACCACCACCACCACCAGCGGCTGACTCAAAGGCGGAGTTGGAAGTGGAAGCACGAGAGAAATGACCCGGGCCTATTTTGAACTGTCCAGCACCAAAGAAGGCGCGCTTACGCTCTTCGCGAGGATCAACCAGCGGCTCGCCCCCGGCGGATCGTGTATCTCGCTGGCGCGCTTGGTTAATCATGTCCTCTTCCGTCCGAATCGCCTGTTCAGTTGACGAAGGGCGACCGGAGAAGCCAAGGAAGCTGGCCCGCTTCTTCCTGCGATCAGCGGTATCTTCTGTGGCTACACTAGTTTCAGAAACCTCATCCCCTCGGAGCTGCACGGAGGGACGTCTGGCTTCGGTAACAGAGCCTCGGCGTTCCCTGGAAGTTGCCCTCGCAAGCCGGGTTCCAATCTCCTTGAGTATGCCCGAGCTTCTCCTACGTCCACGTTCGTCGGACTCCGGCCCTCCTTGTTGCTGTCGCGGAGCAGCCATTCCCTCTCCAGGCGGACGGTTGTGCATTTGGGGCGGGAATCCTGGACCTCGATTTTGCTGCCGTGGATCTTGCCCCGGGGATAGTTGAAATAGCTCGGGGTAGCGCCGAGCAGACGATGGAGGCACATCGCTTCGGAATCGAGCGGGCGGACCCTGGGGGGCTGGCACCGGGGCTGCTGGGAGGTCCAAGCTAAGCTCCTTCTCGTAGCCGTAGTAGGCATCCTGCTGAGAGATATCTGTGCCAGAGCGCTTTTTGGTGAGGTGAAGCGGCTCGGCCAGGTGACTCTCTTCGAGCTTCCACGGGCCCGCGGGAGGGAGCTTCTGGACCAAGCTGCCTAGCATAGGCGCGGCCGGGACAAACTGAGGCCCATGGCCACCAGGGTATTGCTGCCTGTATTGCTGCTGCTGCCATACCTGCTGAGACGGTTGAGGCTGCTGTGAATGAGGGAGCTGGGGATGATGATGATGGCCTACGTTGGTAGTTTGTTCCAGGCCATATCTCGGTCCTGCACCCGCCACTGCCTCTGAAGCATGCTGGGACGCATCAATGGCGCTGGGAGGAGAGAAGTGATGAGCGTTAATGTCAGCACCGTCACCTCCTGGGCTGCCGTCATCCTCGTCTTCGTCGTCGTCTAGGGCAAAGCGTTCCGATGCCCTCCGTGCCTTTGATTTTGTGCCAAACGTCGAGCCCCTCCTGATGGGCGGTAGGCCGATAAAGGACGAGTTGCGCTTCGGCGCACTCGACCCGTCCAGGGGCTGATTCTGGATTTGGGATTGGCCTTGAGTTTGAGTTTGTGGCTGGCCCGCGTGATGGTCGGCTCCAGGGCCAATTGCAGGTCCAGAACTAGTATTCCCCAATGCTCTGAGAGATGAGGACATTCTCTTGGCCTGGCTCCGTTCACCCTGATGCTGAACCATGACCCAATCATCTGGTGTCACGGTATCCGGACTCAAGTCAGAGAGTCTTTGGCCAGCGGAGAGCATGTTCTCTCCTTGATCTGCTGACGCATAAGGCCCATGGTGGAAATCGTCGGCGATTAGTAATTCGCCTGATCTGACGTGTTCATCGCCAGGCTGCTTCACAGCTGACAGGTCAGGGTCGGGCGTGTCATTCGAGACACTCCATGGAAAGGCGGACCCGGGGCCCGATGCAGCATCCAAGGGGGAGACCGGGGACGGGTCGGGCAGCTGTGGCGGTGTCGTGGAGATGTCATCGCTGGAATGTGGGGCAGCGTCGTCTTCTCGAGGTTTTGGTTCGAGGCTAAACCGCCAGGTCGATCGTCGCTGTGCTTTGTTCGGGGTCGGATGGTCCGGAGAAATGATATCGACCTAGTTGGTGAGAGAAGAAGCAAGTTAACATTCATTCGTCACATCATGGTAAGTTCAACAGAAAGAAATTCCCCTGGGTTAGGTAGTGGTATCGGAGAGGGGTGTGTGCGTGTAGATGGGTGTATGTATAAGTATGTATGTGCGTATGTTAGAGGTGGGTTGGGGAGGAGAAAAGAGGAATGAAGAGGGTGTTTATCGGGGAAAATGGGGTATGTGAGGGAGGAAGAATGTGTGTTCGTGTTTGCCATGTAATTCCTATCTTCATAGACATGCCACCATCACATCATGATGCCCCAATTTCTAGTCCTGAATAAAGGAAGGGCGGGTACACAAGATATCTCCATTCTCGGAGCATCCATCATTCAACACAGCCGATTCGTATCCGGAAGATGAATAAGAGTATCCAGAAAGAGGAGATGACAAGAAGAAGAGGATGAGAGAGAAGAAGAAAAAGTATTATTCTGTCGAGGGAATGAAGAGGAAAGAGAAGGGCCCACTCACTGCGAGTAGGGTCTGGAGAGAAAAATCAATCAATGAAATACCTTGTCCCCGCTTCCGCGCAGTTTGCTTTTGCCCTTGCTCAACAGTCCCTTGCCCATCTTTCCAGCTGAATGCATGAACTCCTTGCTCTTGGTGCCGATCTGGTTGCCCGAATGCCCAAACGCACTGCCAGACATCTGGGATGGCATCGACAGTCCACCCAACCTCGAGCGGCCACCACCGCCTCCGCTACCGCCAACTCCACCACCTCCGACTTGTGGCCCAGATGTGCTGGGCGAGCTGGCGTTGAGATACTGCTGGTAATAGGGCTGCTGCTGGCTCGAGGTTTCGTTGTTAGTCGCTTGCGACGTCAAGTGGCCTCCCGGAGCAGAGATGGATGCCGAAAGCTCGGGATGCTCAGTAGTCATATAAAGAAGCCAGCTCTGAAGGCCCGAGTCTCTTGCAGCCAAAGCCTGACGAGCTTCGTTGTACTTCGCGATCCTCTCTGCGGGCGTTGACAATGCCATGATATCCCGAAAGTTCATGGCTTTGGTCTGTGCATGCGGGTTAGGATTAGGGGCAGGGGCTTGTGGGGCCGGCACGGATGCTGCAGAAGTCGGTGAAGACACGGCCGGGTGAGCTTCCGGGGGCGGAGGTGGAGTTCCTGTTACCAGACTGATGGCACCCTGTTCTGCGAGCAGCTTTTCGTCGGCGATGGACAAGCGCGCCTGTTCGCGGGCAGTGGTAGAAGGTCTGTCACTCTTCACTGACACAGACACTGGAGAAGGAGGCTCGGGAAGCGATGAATCGTGTCCTGGCATAGCGCCAGATGTCTGCAGCGCCAGGGCGCCCAGGCCGGATCCCGTCGCTGTCGGCTGTGCCTGCGACAGCTGAGAAACAGGGCTATGGCTACGAGATTCGTTACCCAAGTTCGTCACAGATGGCTCAAAGGGTTTCAGATGAAGCGCCGAAGCAGAGGAGCCATCGCCCGTTGCCTGCGCCTGAGCCGGAGTCGTGGGTGTGGGGGTGCGGTGTTCCTCATCAGCCTCCCAAGAGAATCTGCGTCTAAGAGAGGATGGCGGCTGCTGCTCATCTGGCTGTTGTGGCTGATCTTGGAGCAATTGCTGAGACTGCTGAGGAGATAAGATCGAGTCAAAGGTAACCGTAGTTGCTGCCGGTGGTGGAGGCGTGGGATTGGTGGCCAGCTTCAGTCCTGGCTGGGCTGAGTGAGCGGGATCCGTCTCGGGCGGCGGCACCGGCGTACTTTCATGTTCCAGACCAGAATCTTCCGCGGTGTCTGCCCAGTAGCTGTCATAGTCCATCAGTGTATAGCTGCTCTCTCTAACAGCGCTGCGGTCCTCCGGAGGGTGCAGCTGAGGGCCGTCGCTAAGCTTGACCTCGGCAGGGGTCGCGCCAGAGGGGCTGAGAGTACGCATAATCTCATCACTCAGCACGTCACTCTCCTTCACCGGACTGTCCTTCATAGGAGACGATTCAGCCGTGCTGTAAGTCTGCACTCTGTGGAACGGTTGAGGCCCATCCAAATCAGGCAATGTTTCTCCCTTGCGAGGCTGAAGAGGCTCCGTAGGCGTGATTTTGCTGCCTTGCGAGTCAAACAAGGGATCTGCAGCCTGCGTTTCATGGGGGGTTGGGGTGCGCAAAGGGGGAATGTCCGGGATGTTCCTGCCAGGAAACAGGCTGTTGGGCTGAGAAAGAGATGCACCTCCTGGCGCTTCGGAGTGATCTTCGTCTTCGGCCAGTGCTGGAGGGGGCTGCCAACGCGACTGGACAGTACTTGGAATGTCTGGGCTAGCTTCAATCACCGGAGGAACAACAGGCGCGCTTTTGCTCGTGGAAGAAGCAAATAGGTCAGCGCCAAAGGCGGACATGCGAGCAAGGTCCGGCAGCTTGGGACTAACAGACATTCGCCCGCGGTCAATCCCAGCTTGAGACTCAATATCCAGCCGAGCTGCTTGGGTGTTGGGCTGGTCAGCATGAAGAGAATCGTCGTCGTCTCTTTCCCAAGTGTCACGTCTGTCCACGCCGGACAGGGGCTTGGGGGCAGACACAGACAAATCTTCACCTCCAATGCTTGGCGGTATAACAGGAGCCAGTGCTAAAGGCTCGTGCTCGTTATCATCGTTGAGGCGACTGTAGTTATCGGGCGAGTAGATGATGGGCGGAGTTTGGTTTGCAGGTGGTGCTGATGGCGCAGAGATCTGGGGCGAAAGAGAGCGACCGCCCACCGGAGGCGTAGGCGTGGGTTTTATAGAGCGCTCAAAGCTGGAAGTCCGTGACACATCATAGCCGCCGGGAGCTTGTTGTTGCTGGTCCTGATGCTGCATCTGCGAAGGTAGCTGGGCAATGCCGGCTAGCGACAGGTTGCTATCGCCGTCACGCCCCTGGGAGGCGGTCACGGATTGAGGTGATACAGCATGGCCGCTGGCAATGGACTCCGAGGCGCTGCGAATCGAGACGTCTGATACGTCGGGAGAAGAAACTCCTACCCGCGGTGGCTGGCTGGCTGGCGGTGGTACAGCGGCCGGTTGCTGCTGTTGTTGCTGCTGAGCCTGTGTTCGCAGCGACGGCAGCGCACTCAGGCTCGACGCTGGGCTGGGAGTGTTGTGACGGGAGTGTAGCAGGTCGGTGCCGGAGAAGGTGCGCAGCGAAGGGTTCATTGGCGGAGGCGGCATAGGCTCCTGGTCAGACTCTTGGTCGTACTCATCAGCTCCCCAGTCGTCGCCGTCGTAGTTCTGGACCTTGGCCTCGACCCATTTCCTCGTCTTCTTCCGGCTCACGTTGACTTGATAGGTCGTCGGCTGAGTCTGCGCGCTTCTGCAAAATCAAACAAAGGCTGTCAGTGGACAAGATCTCGAACGACGCGATGCCGAGGGAGACACGCGGGAGCGGGGAGAGCAGCCGTACAAAGACGTTTGGGCACGTTTCACTGGGTTGCTGTACGAGTCGTCCATTGTGTCGTCGTGAGTATGCGAAACCTCCTGATATGTCTATATCAGAGCATGCTTCCACAGAGGGAAAATGCACAGGAGGCAGCCGGAATGCCGGTTTCTCCCGCTTCCAGGCGGAGAGGTCGTGCGAGCGACGACTGTTGCCTCTCCCTCTGAGAAATGCAGGCGATGGCGCAGAGGGAGAATTGGAGACAGAGCGGACTTTGCGATTGCGAAGATTACGTGGTGGTCTGGAGCGGAGAAACTGGTCGGCAAAGGAGGCTGGAGTAGCAGAGGAACAACAGAGTATCAACAGCCCGAGGGATGACGCTGGCGAGTACAGATGAGTATGTCACGATGAGAGACAGACAAGCGCTGCGAATCCGGGAAGAAAAAAAAGTACAGGGTTCGGTGAGGAGGAGGAGGAGAGAGGAAGAAGCGCGCGATCGTCGTGGCAGTTTGAGGCCAATGCTCTTGCCTAGTACGAAATACCAGGAGGCAGGTGATATAGATGGTACGAAGTACTTCGTACTTTCCTTTCGTTAAAAGGCAGCAACTGCAGTGGCTCTTGGGGAAAGGGAAGAAAGGAAGGAGGAGCCTTGAAAGTGGACAACGAAAAAAGGCTGGCGCGTCCGAACGGTGTGGCTGGTGAGCCGGGAGCCGCTCAGGCAGGGTATCAAGTACAAAATACCTACAGAATACAGGCTTGAAGGAATGGAGAGAGCCGCATGAAGGGGTGTTTCGAGCTTGAAGGGTGCTGAACAAGGGGCAGGTGACGAATTGACCAAGCAAAGACGACGTCAACCCGGCTATTTCCATTGATTCTCTCTTCAAGGATCTCCTTCACAAGCGTTCCAAGTACTTCTACCTGTCGAGACTTGTGGCTATGCTCCTCTAGCCGTTGGCCCACCTCATGGCCAAGGTACCCTCGCCGAGGCCAATACGAAGGTATCTCCCCATACCGCCAGCCCTGTGCCGCTACTTGTGGCCGCTGTCCCGCCCCCAAGGCCGCACGTGTGGCGCCTCAGAACGCCGAAGCAACGTGGATTCATCAAATCCAATCTCAATCTCCCTGACGCTGCTAGCCGGCGACGAACCAATTCGAACCTCAACCCCATCACTTCTTCATTTGACGGCTTCGCTCCTTATACCTTTTTCGAGTCTACGTCTTACTTTGTCCAGAGCCTCTTTTAATTAATTCATCCATCCTTGCCGCCCTCAGCTGCCTGGATCGCCCGTTTCCGAAGCGACCGATTTGCTTGCTGTTGCTGGTCCCTAGTCCAGAGCTGTTCAGCCTCGATTCCCGATATTGTTATCATACGAATACTCCATCTTCGACTCTGCTCGACGACTAATCAACGAGAGGAAGCAAATCTTGCCGAAATTGCTCCCTAATCCTTGCCTCGGCTCACGACCTGATCTCGATCTCAGGGCTGAACCTCGTCCGAAATAAGTCTCACCTCGATTAATCTCCTCGCCAACAAGTCGCCAGACGCGCTGGTCGCAGTCCGGACATAGCAGCACACCCGACGAGGGAACACAAAATCAAACAGAGACATCATCGACTCTGTCCTACAGAATGGCTGTCGCCTCGATCCAGGACCGAACCGCGGAGTTCAGGTCGGTCCTTGCCCAGGCCCAACGTCGCCAGAATGCGAACAAGGTTGGCTCGCAGCGGAGATCGCTGCTCAACGACGCGCAAAAGTCTGCCGCGAACGGAGATGCTCGGACGAGGAGATCAGACTTTGCCCGAAAGGCCGCCGAGATTGGAAGAGGCATCGCGGCCACCATGGGCAAGCTGGAGAAGTTGGCGCAACGTGAGTCTCGCTGCGATGACGATGTGCTTAATGGTGAAGAACTTCAGACTAACTTTCTGGCGCAGTCGCAAAGCGTCGCACACTCTTCGATGACCGGCCGGTGGAAATCAACGAGCTCACATTCGTCATCAAGCAGGACTTGTCGTCCCTCAACCAGCAGATCGGTGCTCTCCAGGCAATGTCGAAGCAACAGCACCCCAAGGCTGACCAGGAGGGCGAGCACAACAAGAACGTGGTGTATTTGCTGCAGGGCAAGTTGACGGATGTCTCAGTCAACTTCAAGGATGTGCTGGAAGCACGAACAAAGAATATCCAGGCCTCGAGGTCGCGAACCGAGAATTTTATATCGTCCGTGTCCCAGCACGCGCAGCCGTCGCTGCACCAGTCCGCCTCGCCGCTGTACGGAACCCCCAACCGAGCATCTCCGGCGCCTGGCAGCGACACTCTCTCGCTGAACCCAGGCCCCATAGGTGACCAGCAGCTGTTGATGATGGAGGAGGCGAACCCCACCAACACGTACATCCAGCAGAGAGGCGAGGCCATTGAGGCCATCGAGCGAACAATCAACGAGCTCGGAGGCATCTTTAGCCAGCTGGCCACCATGGTTTCCGAGCAGAGCGAGATGATTGAACGGATCGATGCCAACACGGAAGACATTGTGGACAATGTGGAGGGGGCACAGCGCGAGCTGATGAAGTACTGGTCGAGAGTCTCCAGCAACCGATGGCTGATTGCAAAGATGTTTGGAGTTTTGATGATTTTCTTCCTGTAAGTGCTTCTTTTGCGGCGGTTTCCCCCTGTTTTACGGATCAAGTGACTAACTGATATGTGCGATTAGACTATGGGTTTTGGTCTCGGGGTAAAGATGCCCATTGGGTTATAGAGACGACGCAGATGCAGCTGTACGGATACCATGGGACGGTTACTTATTTATTTTACTCTTTCTGGACGTCGTTTTCCTCTTTCTTCGGCATGTATAATGTCCTGATGTACAAGGATCTTCCATGTTTTCCACGCCATTTGATTTCTATTCCTTTTTACTCTTCTTCGTTCTCTCCATTTATTCCATTCCTATCGTCCTTTGTCGTTTTCGCTCAAGGCATCGCAGGCTCTGTTGTAGAATTAGAGGCAAAACGCGGCGGCATCAAGGAGGTGCTCGAGAATCAACAGGCGTTTTAGGGATTGGAAATCCTTTGCTCTTGTCGTGTGTTTTCTCTATGCCCTTCAACGTCTTGAGACTGTAAGATATATGTAATATCACTAGGCATTGTTGACCTTGAACGCGATGCTTCGCATAGTTTCTGTCGCTGCATCCAAGTACTGCTGTTTGTCTCGCATAGGTATGAATTACATACATGTGCATACATGTCGCAGCTTAAAGAGCGTGCATGACGACGATGGCTTTTTGTTGGCTCATGACGAACAAGGTCCGAGATTATCCACCGGTTCCCCTCCTCGGCCCAAAACAGGCCGAATGTGGTGATGGAGCCCCCTTGGGCAAGACGGACTGATTTCTCCTTGGCTAGAATCTGGGCCACTGGCGCACCCCCACGCAGCCAAGGAAGCTCGCCGTCTTTATTTGAGCCATTTCGTGATGCCTTGGTGCTTGCGGTTTCGCAGCTGCTTGGCGGATTGACCGCCGAAGGGTCGCTTTTTTTTCGGGGTAGCGAGATGGGGAAACTGGGGTAGCATCTGGTTCCGTGTTTGTTTGCTTGCAGTTGGATGATGGAATAAGAGGGCCGCAGGATCCCAATGTTTGCTTTACCTGTGCAGGCCAGACGCGAGATTAACAGATCGCTTGAACAAAACTATCTTTTCAATAGCTCTCAAATTTTCTTTTTCAATCAAGAGAAGCAAAAGGAAGAGAGAACCAATTGCCAAAATGGTCGCTACTTCGTTCAAGCTCAACAACGGTCTGGAGATTCCAGCTGTTGGTCTCGGTATGTCTCAATTTCTCTCCCTATGAGGGGTCAGAGTTGCCAATGGCGGGGGAGGGCCACCTCTCGACGAGCGCGCAGTTGGAGTTTGCGAGAAAAAGAAGCAAGCAACCCAAAGGACCTCCAGAAATTGACTGGCTTTGAATCTCAGGAACATGGCAGTCCAAACCCGGCGAGGTCCAGGCGGCCGTTTCCTACGCGCTTCAGAACGGCTACAAGCTCATCGACGGAGCTTACTGCTACGGCAACGAGGACGAGGTCGGCGAGGGCCTCAAGGAGGCTTTCGCTGCGGGGGTGAAGCGCGAGGACATCTTTGTCGTGACCAAGGTCTGGGCGACGTACAACACGCGGGTTGAGCTGGGCCTGGACAAGAGCTTGAAGAGCCTGGGGCTGGACTATGTCGATCTGCTGCTGGTGGTGAGTTGCGGACTGAACCTAACGTCTCAATTGCATATAAGTTCATATGCAGTACGCTGACCGGATCGTGACAACTACAGCACTGGCCAGTTCTGCTGAACCCTGAAGGTAAGAAGAATAGATAACTCATCAGTGGGAAGTTATTCAGATCGCCTAACTCTTCACTGACAGGCAACCACGACAAGTTCCCTACCCTGCCTGACGGCAAGCGAGACGTCATCTGGGACTACAACCACGTCGACGGTTGGAAGCAGATGGAGGCTGTCCTCAAGACGGGCAAGACCAAGTCCATTGGCGTCAGCAACGTACGTCTTTTGAGAAGCGCATATTGCCGTTCCCCCCTCTACTCTACTAACACATACGACGTGATATAGTACAGCAAGAAGTATCTCGAGCAGCTCCTCCCGCATGCCACCGTCGTCCCCGCCGTCAACCAGATTGAGAACCACCCCAGCCTCCCCCAGCAGGAAATTGTCGACTTCTGCAAGGAAAAGGGCATCCACATCATGGCCTACAGCCCCCTGGGCAGCACGGGCAGCCCTCTGATCAGCGCCGATCCGGTGGTCCAGATTGCCGAGAAGAAGAAGATTTCTCCCACCACCGTCCTGCTGAGCTATCACGGTACGCTCCTTTTCATCTTACTGCTTGGGCATTCCTCTGTTCAGACGCATACTGACGTTTTTGGATGAATAGTGAACCGTGGCAGCACCGTGCTGGCAAAGTCGGTCACGCCCGCTCGCATCAAGGCCAACCTGGAGATTGTCGACCTCGACGACGAGGACATGAAGCTGCTGAACGACTACTCCAACGACCTGGCGAGCAAGGGCGAGCTGAAGCGCTACGTCTACCCTCCGTTCGGCATCGACTTTGGCTTCCCTGATAAATCATAAGACTTGCATTGGTTAGAGAAGAATTCAGTTAGCATGTACGCAGCCTGCGCAGTCGTTTTCTCATACACAATACAAGCCTCATGGTTATGCACAGCCCTTGTCATGCCATCTGAATCGTGAATTCGTTCGTTTGCTTTGTGGTCCTGTGAGGATGCCGCTATGACATGTCTACCACGACCTTGATAACCAACTTGCCCTCTCCATCCTTGACCTTGCCAGCCATTTCAAACGCATGCTTGATCTCATCCAGGCCCTTGAAGCGGTGCGTGACGAGCTTTTGCAGATTGGGTAACCCTGGCGGCTTGTTGGAGAGCATCTCGATGGCTGCAGGATACGTGTTGGCATATCGAAAGACGCCGACGAGGTCGACTTCTCGAAGGGCGGCCGCAGACATGGGCACTGTGAGAATCGGGGTGCCCATGCCGATGATCATGACTTTCCCACCGGGCTTCGTCGCCTATTTTTTTCCTGTCAGCGTCACTTACTGTATACAGAGATCTAGAGGTCAGCAAGGAGCGTCAACTCACGTAGATTGCGCTCTGCAAGCAAGTCTCCACGCCAGTGCACTCATACACAGCTCCAAACTCGCCAACCTCCTCGCCCTTCACCTTGACGCTCTTGGCCTCCTCCGCGACGTCCTCGGCATAGGCCAGCTTCTCGTCAATCGTCTCCGGCCTCGCCAGCGGCACGACGAAGCCCGCGTCTGCGAAGCCGTTGGCAATGGCGAAGTCGACGCGGTCCTTTTGAATGTCTGCTACGACGACGGCAGAAGCGCCGTTGGCCTTGCTCACGGCTGCGCACAGAAGTCCGACGGCTCCGGCGCCGAAGATGAGGACGGTGGATTCGGAGGCGAGGTTGGCGCGGCGATGAGCGTGCATGGCGACGGAGAGAGGCTCGATGAGGGCTCCCAGATCAAGGGGGATGGATTCGGGGAGTCTGTGTGCGCGGTGATTATCTCTTCTGTCAGCTCATCTCTTTCATCACCCTACAAGTGGCATTCAACGTAGGAACGTACTTGTGAACCCATCGCGCAGGATGGTTGATTCTCTCCTGCAGCGTCCCCTGCATATGAGGAAAGGCCTTGGCCGAGCTCCGGAACTTCATGCCCCTGCAGATGTTGTATCTCCCGCTGTTGCAGTACTCGCAGTTCTCGCACGGCAAGCCGACCTCGAGTGCGACCCGGTCGCCCGGCTTGAGGTTCGTGACTGCATCGCCCACGGCGACAATGGTGCCGCTGGACTCGTGGCCCAGCGTCAGCGGCTCGCGCACGAGGATATCGCCGTTGCGGAAGTGGCCGAAGTAGTGCAGGTCAGAGCCGCAGAGGCCGGTGGACTGGACGGCGACTTGGACCTCGTCTGCGGAGGGAGTTGGGAGGCTGCGCTCTTCCTGTGATGCTGAGGGGTCAGCTGGTTGAGCTTCTTAAACCAAGTTCATCTTTGGTTTTCTTCTGGTAGTGGTCTGCCGTCATTGTTCGGACTGCAGTCATCCATTGGTTTACATACCAGACGGAGATCTCTTTCGCCGTGCAAGACGGAAGCTTTGACTGTTGCAGCACACATGGTGGGAGTTGTGGGTTGTTGATCCAGAGAGCCAATTGATTGGGGTTGAGCTTTGATCTGGGGATCTATTGAAGCTGTATGAATACAAAGTACAGATATGGATCACAAGCTTGTAGCAAATCGGCAGAATGGAGAAGTCAAGAAGCTCTCATCCAAGGTACATAGACTGAGAGAATAAATCGTAGAACCACGCATGACCCCGTTCACATGGTCTCAGCTACACCATCCCCACGAGCATCCCGACTGCAAATCAGGAGACAATCCAAGTCAACAGAGAACGCCCAATGCCGAATGACATAACAGGAACCACACCACGCTCCGATATCGAACGGAGTCAGCAAGGGAATTCTCCGTCTTTGGTAACGCGATCCGGCCCTTTTCCCCAAGCCATCGGCAAGCCAGGGACTCCACTACCCCTCTAATCGAGTAAATCGATGCCGAGATACCAGAGGATCACGGGAGAACAAGCCAGCTCTAGCCGAAGCAAACGCAAAGAGAACGTGGAGAATGGCTTGTTTGCTCCAGGTGGTTCCATGTCTCCATGCCGGCAGGGGTTGCCGGAATAGGTGCGTCCTTGGTTTGTTTGCGAAATCGCGGGGCAGTTTTGAACTGAATTGAAGCTTGCCCCTCCATCTGTGCATGTTGGGATGCTTCAGCTCTTTTAGTCTGGCGGGATACTCTATAAATTTGTCCGGTCGAGAAGAGAATCCACGGATCTATTGCGAGCAGGCGTCGGCATTTGATCTCCTACTCCTCTACAGCATTCTCTTTCTCTTCTTCAACGTCCTGTCTTATTTTTCCGGCGGTTTTCGACGTCACGATGGCCTCCGTGTTCTCGCTCGAGGGCTCTACTGCTCTCATCACCGGTGCTACGAGGGGCATTGGACAAGCTGTTGCCATTGGGCTCGCCGAAGCCGGCGCAGACATTATCCTGATCCAGGTACGGCAGATTCTGAGTGCATCGGAGAGTGGGAGTGAGGGCAAGAGTGTAAGAAAGACGACATAGGATTGACAGCTTTCTGGGGTCAACAGAGAGACACGACGTCGACGGCGACAAAGGAGGCCGTCGAAAAGATTGGCCGCAAGGCATGGGTCTTCACGGCTGATCTCGCCGTCCAAGAGCAAGTCGCCAACATAGCCAAGGATGTCAAGGCCGCAGGCCACAAGGTGGACATTCTGGTCAACTGTGCCGGAATTCAGAGGAGGCATCCTTGCGAGGAGTTTCCCGACAACGACTGGAACGATGTACGTGCTGCTGCTGTCCTTTCACACCCCGTTAAAGTCTGTTGAGATTCCGGGACACTTACACATAGCTCTCCAGGTTCTCCAAGTCAACCTCAACACCGTCTTCACCCTCTGCCGCGACTTTGGCCGCGAGATGCTCTCGCTACCCCCCTCTCCCGCCACCGGTCGCCGCGGCAGCATCATCAACTTCGCCTCTCTGCTGACCTTCCAGGGCGGCTTCACCGTTCCGGCCTACGCAGCCTCCAAGGGCGCCGTTGGCCAGATCACAAAGTCGTTTGCTAACGAGTGGACGGCCAAGGGCATCACTGTCAACGCCATTGCGCCAGGTTACATCGAGACGGACATGAACACGGCGCTGCTCAATAACCCGGAGAGGCTGGCGAGCATTAGCGCCAGGATCCCCGCGGGCAGATGGGGATCGCCTGAGGACTTCAAGGGAACGGCCGTGTACCTCGCGAGCAAGGCGAGTGCGTATGTGAGCGGGCATATCTTGGTTGTAGACGGAGGATGGATGGGACGGTAGAGACCAGATGCAGTGTGCGTTTCTTTGTGGCTACTCTTTCTGATAAATGCTGATATCTGGCATAAGAAAAAATCTATTACGTGTCCAGCTACTTCTTCCCGTCCGTCTCTTGTCATGCTGGTTTGCCGTCTATTATTCATCTAGATTCCTTCTAGATTTTACTGCCTGCGCCGTGGAAAGAAACAACAAAATCATCAGCTGCTATGCATCAAAACGAAGCCACGGAGACTTTGGAAAGATGACGCGTCATTATAGGAGAAAACAGGTGTCTGTTTCCGAAGTGTCCTTTTCGAGTTGTGTGTCGTGTGTAGCATGGGGGAGGAAAGAAAGGGGGGCATTTAGTGTGATTTACTTTTGCCTCCTTCGTAGTAGTGAGCCATTTGCAGGCCTGCTCGTCGGAAGCCGCACTTGACGTAGAAGCCCTCGTTGGCGTCGCTGCAGTCGAGGATGCTCTTGTAGCAGCCAATTTTCTCGGCGACGAAGTCGAGGGCCTGGATGAGTCGGAGGCCGAGCTTCTTGCCCTGCTGGTCCTTGGCGACGGCGATGTCCTCGATGTGGCCGACCTTGCCCAAGCTGTGGATGCTAGAGAGGAGGAGAAAGGTTAGCTGGAAATTGGGCGAATTCGGGAGCTTGAAGAGAACCAATCTCCCAAGGAGACAGGAGAAAAAAGGCTCAAATACATGGCAGCAAACTCACAACTTGTGCTCGACTATCAGGGCGCCAGTGGCTACGACAGAGTTCTTCTCCCGCGTCGTGTCTTCAATGACAATGATGTAATAGTCCTCGCGCGCCACCATGTTGTCGTACTGCTTCTGGAACTTTTCCTCGCTAATGTCGCCGACCGTCGTCAGCACCCGGAGGCAGTCGAGGAAGCCGGAGTCGTAGTCGGAGCGGCGGAGGGCTCGCAATTGGTAGCCCTGAGGCAAGGCGGCGGAGACTTCTGGGGAGATGAGGTCTTCGGAGAAGAGGCCGTCCTGAGCGGCCGTGATGGTAATGGGAGGGATCGTGGAGGGTGACATTTTGGCGCTGATTGTGTGTGTTTGGAAGTCGAGGGGGTCGAAAGCGAGCGGTCGAGGAATCGATAGGATCTGAACGAGGGGAGGAGCGATGATTCCGATTGCTCGTTCGGAAGAGAGGATAGCGATTGTGGCCTCGCGCGTTGGTGTCGAAGTAGTTGGTGGACGTGATCCAATTGGATAAAATCAATCAAAAGAAGCGAATCGAGTCAAATCGCGAGTTGGTCGGGATAAGCGACGTCGAGATGCGAAGCGCGAGGAACGAATGGAGAATGGAATGACGCCACAAGGGGAAACCCAGGGAGACAGACGAGAAGAGGTAGGATTACGGTAAGGCAGAAGCGAAGTGGGATGACGAAGGACGGCGTATTGGTTTTCAAAGAAGGGAAGGTTGAAAGTGTTAAATAAACCGCAAAGGCCCCAGGAGGGTCAAGGCCAAAATTCTGCTAGGTTGGTAGTCGCTCCAGTCGGAGAGGCTGACACTGACCGCATTCGGGGGGGAGGGGAGTGCGAATAATGTCCAGATGACGCTGCAAATAGCAGTCAGACGGAGGTTATTGTGCTGTGTCTGGCCTGTGGCTGATGCATCATCCCTTCGATTGAGGATCTTATGCACCCTTTTTTTGGAGGTGGGGACAGTCCACCACATGCCCATGGTCCTGGTGCCTTCAAGGTTTTTGCTACGGGTTCCAGGGGCTGCCGAATCCCTTGTTGCTGCCCCTGAGCTGAAGCTCGGCTCAGCGGTCCAGTGCTGCCGGCGCTGTGGCTTTGGTGCTGTCTGATTTGGAAGAACGTGATGCCAACATACCCGACATATACGTGTAAGGTATGTCTGAGATTCTACCAGTGTAAATGGAGTACATGCAACAACAGTATATTGAAATTTGCCTAACTGAAGCTACAAGCAGATGTCTCTCCACCATCAATGCTCCTAAACCTCCTCCTTGTCAGTGTCTTCATGCTACGGAGCAGTCTTCTTCTTCTTCTGCTGCGCCTCCGCCTCAGCAGCAAGGTCCCGCAGCCACTAGAAGCGGGCGATTGGCGCATGCTCCAGGGCATTGGCTAGGGCTGGGCCAAGCTGTTTAGTAGCCGGGAGAGCAAAGGATGGGTGTGGCGCCTCGTGTTTATATTTGGAAACGCGCAAATGGATCTTGCAATCATTATTCGTACCTGGATATGATGGGGTGATACGAATGACTTGGAGCAGTGCCGGGGGATGCCAAAGAGGGCCCTCATATGAACTTGGGAAACCCTTTCGAAGAACACATTTGCTTGGTACTTGTATTGCCTCAATCTCATGGCGTCTTGGTCTACTCTATCTGGCCGCCTCACCAATCAAAGGGGCTGAAGGCTTCGTTGTAGTAATCTTCTTCCACATCTTTCCACTCCTCCTCCTCTCTCTGCTCCATCTCCTCCTCCTCAAACAACACCTTTAACTCTGGAAACTGGACCATCAGACTTCGATATGCCTTCTTTCTCTGCTCCGGCTGGCTGTTTTTGCCGCCCTTCTTCATCGCAGCGGCGGCCGCGGCGGCTGCCATCAGCGGCAACGCAAACGGTGCGGCCAGTCCTCCCGTTGCTGCCGCGACGAGCAGAGGACTCAGCCCAGCAGCGCCTCGCGTCGCAGCGCCGGCATGCTTTTCCCTGAGCTTGCAAAGCGATCGATAGAGCTCGACGCATCTCGTGGCCGCAGCTGGGCCGAGAACCAAGAGGCTGAGGACAACGGCAAAGTCGACGTCGTCCCAGAGCATCCTCGTGTACTTCCAGTTCTGAGACACCAGCTGGAAGCCTGTATTGTCGAGTTGATTAGCCATCGCTATCTACTACCGACTGGTTTTGCTGGTTGAAAGGTTCATGACTTACATCTGCGACATTTATTCAGGGCGTCATACTCCCCAGTTCCGAGCCCAATCACGTCGATGCCGCTGATCTGTCCGAAATCTGGCTTCTGCGTCTGCTTGTCGAATTCTCCTCGTCCGGGAGGCGACAGACTCCAGTTAGTCCCGGTCGACAGTTTGCGCCGCAGCGTTAGATGCCCGTCGTCCCATACTGTCTTCTCCACGAGTACTAAAGACAACCGAGATTCGGCGTCCCAAGAGCTAAGCACAGAGGGAACAACTGACTGCTTGCTGTCCCTCGAGTTGAAACTCCCCGGAACATCTCCCAACTGAAAGAGAGGCGCAAAAACAGGAGGGACGTCGGGAGCTCGGGGAGCCTTCACCAAGATGCCATAGTACTGTGTGAATTTGGGAGCCGGCTTCTGAGACGAGGCAGATGACGAACTCTGGCTTGCCGATGCTGGACGAGACAAAAGCGATCAACGGCCAGGTTCCATAAGTTGTATGATTGGATGGAAGATGATGCTTCACAAACCTTGAGCGCTGAGCCACTGGATGGCTTGACGAGCCCATTCCTCCAGGATGGGGCGAGCGAGCTCCCAGAGCCTCACCGCCTCGCTCGTGATGAGAGAAACCGAGTCACCGAGATGCGTCAACACATAACCAGACATTGTCTTCGGTGAGGCATCTTGTCGATTTCGCATGTGAAGAGGCTCGTTTCTTCTGCTGGCGTTACTGTAGTTGTTGTTGCTGTTGTCGTCTGCGCCGATGATCCTCTTCAGCCATGCTGGAACGCCGTCCCATGCATCCAGCGCTCCATGCTTCAGATCAAACACCAGTGCTGTCACCCAGGCCAACACGGGGACTAGACAAAGGTTCCTCAAAATGATGAACCGCTCCGGCCAAAGAATGAGGATGAGGGCCACGATGGATACGGTGGTGACGGCCTGACGCTTCGCGGCGGCCCTATTCTCCGCGAGAGGCGTCGGATTAGGCACCGGCATCACTGGCTCTGGAATGAGAGGTCAGCAAAGCAACAAGATGATGTATAAGCCAATTCTCACCATACCTTAGCTCCAGAAAATGACCAAAACAAAGAAGAGAATCTTGAGAGAGGAAAATGAACTTTGAATAATAAAAGGACGCTGCAATCCTCCAGGGATAGCAATGGGATGAAGATGGACGATGCCGCGTCGACTTCGCCTCCGTTTCGCGGGGTACTGCCCACTGACAAAATGATTCGCTCTCTCGGTTGATGCCTGTCTCTCAAACAATCCAAAGTCGACACCCAAATCTGGCACCGGTTGGGCTCTGACTTGCAGATGAGATCGATCAATCAGATAAATTAGACGCTGGAGACTTGTTGCTTGTGCCCAAGCGAGTGAGCCTTTGCCTCTCTCCAAGTCTTTATACATGCATGCAAACTCCCTACATGCAGCCGGTCACGCATCTCTTGCCTCCATGGTGGGCCGCATGCACTTCCCAATGCCTGCAAGCCTGTCCCCAGCACCGGCCAACCAGAGGCGCCAGGCTTCCCCTTCACCCTGCATCAACACGTGTAACGAAGCCGTAGGTGAGCAGAACCCTCGCTCAAACGCCTCCACTCGGTCTAGTATTGCCAGCGGATTGCCGTGCTGTTACGGGAGGGGTTCTACTCCGTACCAGGAACAAGGTATGTATGACTCTTACTGTTCGGTGTCTACGGAGTATTCTGCGTGTTTTCATGTATGCAATGTTTGACCCCACAAACCATCCATTATCAGACTTAAAGCAAGTCAATCAGGTTCCTGGCCGCTTCGTCAATGTTGGTGCCGAAATACTCTGGGATCGTCTAGTCCGGGTAGTTAGCATTCACCGCCTTGCAAAGACCACAAGGGAAAGAAATATACCTGGAGAATCAGAGTGCCGTCTTCTATGACACACTCGTTGTAGGTAGAGTGCTTCAGCTGGCCCTTGTCAACGATGCGAAAGGCGACAGTCGACCTGTCGACGGCCTCATTGAACGCCTCGTACAGCATGTCGTCCTCGCCAAATTTTTGGTACTCGAGGTAGCGTACTAAGCCCTCGAAATACATCCTGAGAAACGAGCCCAGGTTCTGCCGCCAGCATTCCGGCGCGTCTTTTGCGGTGCTCAGCTTGTCAAAGACCTGCTCAAACTGCGGCACCACCGCGATATCCTTCTTCAGAATCTCCTTGAGTTTTCTCTCGATGGCTTGTGCCTCGCCGTCCCAGTCAAGCCTTACGGCCGCGCGGGCAGCGAAACTCATGGGCCGGCCGCCGGCGGTGCTGGGCGCTTCGTTGAGGGCGGCTTCAAGGTTCTCGAGGGAGCATGCGTAGTCGATGTTGGTGCCCAGGCAGCCCTCTCGAAAGAGGATGACGAGCTGTCCGGCAGGAGAGATTTTGCAACCGCAATAGGTGAATTTCTTGTCTTCGTCTAGGTCCATGGTGATAGTTCTGGCCGAGGCGATCGTGTTAAGCTCTGAGACGCCCTCTGCTCCATGTTTGCTGATGAAGCGATCAAGCTGGTACAACACGCCATCAATGTATCTTGACAACATTAAAACGAATAATCAGCTTTTCTGTTTCTGTCGTCAACTTAGTAAAGATATCGAGTTTCAGCATACCCAGAAGTCATTGAGCCAGGTGACACCGCGGCATAGCCGTCCTGGGCATATGCGCAGACTTGGCGGAGGTCGATGTCGATCTTCCACGGCTCACCGAGCATGTCGGAGAGTCTCTGTTCATATTCCGACTTTCTATTTTCCCACTCATCGCGGACTACATAAAAGCAGTTAGTAAGTAAAAAAAGAATAAGGCCACGATGATGAAGAAGAGAAGCCCGTAATGCTGCTCTGGGGAGAAGCTTACTGTTCTTGCGGACTGCGAGTGAGAACTTTTCGATAGGAGGGAGACGACTCATGATGTCTATGTCTAGAGTAGCAACACTGACGAATGCAAAATAAAGAGAATACATCCTCCTCACTCATTCAGATTCCACATCTTTATATACTGCCGCTTAACACACAAACGGCAGGGAGAAGGACACTCGTCAATTCCGCCTGCCTGTCCGCCTGCAGCACTATCATTTCAATGGCGTACAAGGACATACGGGGCTAGACAATTCGGCTACTAACGAAAACGCCTGAGCGCCGAGAGAAGTTGGGGCTCATAATATTGGAATCGAGGTGAGCCCGGCGTGTCGTTAGCGCCCTACGGCTGAAGAGACAGAAACGGCCCCCTTGCCTGGAGGCAGACGGGAAGAGGTAGTACCATCTTTTTCAGCACATAGGTAGTAGGAAGTAGGAGGAGAAGCGGTAATCGATGGTATATATGAGCGTGACCCAAAGGCTTGAATTGATCGCCCAGCATTTCGCTGGCATACTTTCAGAGTTGAAGCATGACTTGTGGAAGGTGGATTCAGCGGCCCGTTGCTAACAGTGCCAGTCTAACCACGGTGTCATCCACCCTCATGCCATCAAAATGCGATTTAGAGGATCAATGCCATTTCTCTTATATGGTAGTCATCTCCGTGTCGAGGCTCCTTGAAGCCGTGGATGACAGCCTGAAAATCTTACGCTTACTGAGAAGGTTCATGACTTTGAATTGGAAAGAGCCATGCATGAATCACAAGCGTAATTGGTTTAGTGGTAAAATTCTCCGTTGCCATCCGAGCAACGTCGGGGAGCCCTGGGTTCGATTCCCAGATTACGCATTCGATTTTCTTTTTGACTTTTATATCAGCTTTTTATATTGCGTCCGATCACAAATAGACTTGGAGTGAAGCAGATAGACATTCGCTGCTCCTTTTGCTTCCCGATATCACAGTCAGTCACAGTGTTTCTTGAATCGTAATATTATACCCATCTTTCATTGTCTACCTTCTAAGTAGAATGCGAGGCTAAATGAGATGCAAGGCAACGAACGAGCGAGGCCACATATTCTCTACATGAAGCCCGCGGAAAAGCAAATGAAGACGATGGTAGAAACTTCAGATGGACACTGGAAATAGTCCCACTATGCTCGCAGTTCTCTTAACTCGCGGCGCCAAAAAAAAATGTCAAGTGCCCTGCCTCAGCGGCTTTGTTGCCGTGAATGTATAATAAAACGCCAATGTCCGACCCATTCCCCATTTCGCACGTGAAGCAAGGTTGCAAAGCTGCAAATTAGGGATCATCGTGATTAGTCGGTAAGGGCGTCGGAATGCTTTCGATAGGTAATGATGACAAATAAGAAATAATAGACGAAACCCCCGTGCCAGGCCAGCTCAATGAAGAGCAGTCTTCAGCAAGTGGTTCTGGTCACGCAGAGCTGTGTGACCTATTCGGTGGCCACTTCGGTAGCCTCCTCGGAAACCTCTTCAGCAACCGCGTCGCCCGTGACTTCCTTGCCTTTAAGAGAATCTTGAGCCTTTGATGGCTCGACATTCTCCTTCTTGTCATCAGCAACGCCGGGTACCACAGCAGGTTTGCCAGTGCCATCTGAGCCCGGCAGCACGAGTCCATCTTGTTCCATCATGGCAGCCAAGCGTGCAGCTCGGCCTTCTTTCTTTCGTGGAACAGGGGCTACATCACGACGCTGTCAGCAAACTGTTACATATACTCACGACAAGGGAGGATCGTATTTACCTCTGCCGTTCTCCTGGACGTAAAAGCGACGGAGAAGTGCCACGGCCTCGTCGCGGCCCCAGCCACCCTCGATTTCATAGCCTGGCTCAATGTTGCCGCCATCGCCGCCACCGGGGGGGTACGAAACACCGAGGCTGCCGCCTCCATCAGGGTGCTGGATGGGGGTGGGCTGAGGATGAGCGCTGGCCGTCTGGCCATCCGCACTGATGGGGATAGAGTTGGCATGAATGCTAAAGACTCCGCCAGTGCCTCCAAACTTGTCGTTGACGGCTCCAAAGTAGACCTTCTTGATGCCGACCTGGCGAAGAAGCGAAGCGCACATGACACAGGGTTCGACGGTGACATAGAGAGTGCACTCGCGGAAGATGGCACCGTTGACACGCTCCTCGGAAATCATCTTCTGACCATAGGGGTACAGGTGGCTCTTGCTGCCATCTTCGTTGCCCTCATCGGGAGAACGCCACTCCACGGAGGAGATGTCGGATGAGTTGTCTCCCCTGATTGGCTTCTTGGGTGGCACAGTGGGCTTAAGAGAGGTGGTCTTTGGGCCGGTCTTGCGCGCAACGGAGAGCAGAGCAGAGATGGCCATGAACTCAGCGTGGCGGGTGCCATTGCGAGTGACGTTGGTCGCGTTCATGCCACGGGCAATGATCTCGCCATTGTGGACGATGACACAACCGACAGGAGTCTCGTTGGTGCGGAGAGCGAGTTTTGCCTGCGTCGTGAGATGGTTAGCGACATGGTAGAGCAGAGAAATAGAGCGAGGGCAAAAGGAACACTCACCATGTCCAAGGCCTCGCCAATAAACTTGAGGTGCACAGCTCGCTCAGCGACCACGGCCGGATCGTCAAAACGGACAACGTTGGGGTTGTTGTCGCCCGGAACAGAGGGCTGCTGAACCACGGCGACGGCCTCGTCGCCAGAAGCAGCGCCAGAGGCAGGGTCAGCCAGGTTGACGTTGCTGATCTTGTCGGCGAGGGCAGCGAGCTGGCTGTCATCTCCAGGAGCAATGGTAGAGAGGGAGACAAGCTTGGCGTTCTCTATCTGCTGTTGCTTCTCACTATCACGCTGCTGCTGCTTGTTGACCTGCTGCTCCTCGCCCGCAGCTGCAGCGGCATCGGTAGAGGTCAGCTGTCGCATGCCGCTGACCGTGGGCACAAACAGGTTGAGGCTCATGGTGGACGAGTCGTTGTAGAAATCCTGGTCGTACGAGTCGTCGTGGCCCAGGCTGTTGTCCGAGTCGCTGATGTCCGGCACTTCGTCGTCTTCGGCGCGGTCAGAGTCTTCCTCAGTCTCCTCTTCGACCAGCGACGTTTCAGCAGGCGTGTTGGGGGGGCACGGAGGAACTGCCGCTCCGTCCTCAGGCTCAGGCTCGCCGTCGTCCGAGCTGTCGCCAGGTGGCCAGCCGCGACGGAACCACCTGCGCAAGGCCCGTCTGGCACCTGCCAGGCTCATTAACCTGACTGCTGCAGCTGCCATGATTGGGCCGCTGGAGGGTGCGTCTGGTGAATTGCTGCTGCTAACCCTGGAATCCCGCTCCGGCCTCTTTCGGCTCTCCTTGAGGGTGAATTTGGGCTTGGGATGGGTTTAGAATTGTATTATCTCGGAGAAGGAGAGATAATATGGTGAATAAAAGATTTGTGTGCCTGGGGTTGCCTTTGACGAGGGGGGGCTCGACCGCTGCTCCTTCCTCACAGCCCTGTAGCCCCTCACGATGACGGCCACTTGCCTTCTCAGGTCACGGAAGGAGCTGTTCTCCTCTATACGGCCCTTGCGTGAGTATGACGACAGGTGTTTGCCGCAGTTCAGTGGAAAGAAAGATGGAGTTGAGGCCAGATGCTGTGTGTATCCTCCTTGCTGGGCTTGCGGGAGGCCAGAGAAGCCTGTTGAAAGAGAGATGCCTTCTCTTATAGGCCTATCATGGAGGAGAATATTGCCTTTTGCGCATGTCAGTCAATGCCTTGGCCATTTCCTCACACGGAAACAGAGAGAAGAAAAGAGTTGACAACTGGATAAGGGGTCATCTTCACACCTTGTTGCCCGTTCTAAGCATCAAGATGCATCTAGCGGTTATCAAATTTCTTTCCGCAGTTTAGCCCTGCCAAGGGAAACTTTCGAGAAGGAAAAAGTGAGTGTGAGGGCCAAGTAGAAACGGGAAGTAGGGAGGATGCCTTCTTCGATTCAGGAAGAGAAGAGATATGGTCTGTAGGATAGGCGGGTGACCTCAGGTGAGAATTTGTAAATGAAGGAATGAAGTCTTTGGCTGTGTGTTTTGTTTGCGATTTTTCGACCTTCCTTCGCGGTGAGATTAGAGAGGATTAGCCAACCTTTTTATGGCGTTTGAATTTCTGTCACACGTTTTCACTGAAAAACGGTTTGCACCTAACGGATTGGCTGACTCAGCACACGCACCATCCGCTCCTGTTCCTCCGCCGCCTTCAAGACTGCTCATCACAGCGAGAATGTCTCCGTAGCTGTGATTCAGAGATATCCCTTGCCTCATTATCTAGGTTTCCCCTTGTCATCCAAAGACATAATCATCAATCGAAGTTTACTTATAATCACTACAAAAGCATGGGATCTAATAATCACCGCGTTAAAGATGGATGATGGCTTCGGAGTCTGCAGATGATTTAGGAAAGTGGGCAAAAGGGAGTAAAAATAATTCTGAGCCATCGGCCCAGTATTAGTAAATTTGCTTGACGAATTCGCCAAATAGCGAATTCTGATCCAACGCTATGATACTCTATGAAACTCCAAATGGGCAGACGAGAAAGCAAATCCCCCCCAATCTCATACCAAATGCCAACAAAATCCACGCAAAGGGGTATCATTGGCCAATAGGCTCGTAGAAGAAAAGCGTGGTGTAGATGCTCCTTTCCCACTAAATGCTCGATCCATATGCAAGTATGGTTCTAGCCCATCGAGGGATAGATCAAAGCCAACGGCCTGGCTCCCTCAAGAAAAGAGAAACGAGAGGATAGACGAGAGACCTCTTGTCGTAGTGCCGAAAATTGGTCTCTCCGTACGTAGGGCTTCTTGCCCCATGACTGAAGTCCCTCCTTGAATCTTGGACTTGACATTGTCGACGGTGTCGTCTCAAGGGGCGCCTTGGCTTCTCCAAGGCGTTGAAAGGTGGCCCTCGCGGCAACAGCCAGTGAAAGGAGGGAGAACACAAAAGAGGTTCCAGCCATGCTTGCCAACGTGGCGCCGAGCAATGTGGCGGCGAGAATGGCGACGACGGCTTGCATAGAAAGGACTTGGCGGAGAACGAATTGGCTCGACCCTTGGCCAGGCCCAAAGTACGCAGATCCTCTAGCAGCGGGCAAGCTCTCGTTGGGCAAAATCGCTTGCAGGAGGAGCGGTGACAGGGTCTGCAGACCATTGTCAACCACAGGGACGATTGGCTGCTGGTGCGCATCGCCGTTGCCGTGGAGTCGCTGGGCAGGTAGGCTGGCGAGGCTCGGGAGAGTCTCAACGCCAGACCTGTCAGACCAGACGAGGGCGGTGGGGCCGGACGAGGTGCGTTGGCTCGCGGTATCCTCGCCGGCAGCTGCGTGTGCGGTCGAACCAGGTACAGCGTAGAGCGCATCGCCGTATAATGCTTGTAAGCCGCCAGAAAGGTTGGCGGAAGTCACGTTGAGGTTGGCGGCAAGTTCGGTTTGGACCTTGAGACAGGTTAGTCGGACTGAGTGGTGTTTTGCAGGCGCTATGGCATCGCATACCCTTGACGGCGACTCTTCCGGGCCTGAGAGCTGGACTGGAGTGTGCGCGGTGGTCGCCAGCGTAGCGGCCGTGGGCCTGAGTTGGCTCGTGTGTGGGCTCGTGAGTTCCTGTTTCCGCGTGTTAGTCGTCGACGGGGCGGCGGCAGTTGTGGTCACAGCATGACATACAGTTGAGACGCCGGCTTGGCCCGAGGACAACCGAGACGAATAATCAACTGGTGATTCCTTTTTTGAAAAGTCAGTCGCTGTCTTGCAAGGTAGCTGACGGCTGGTCCAGCAGAGGAGACGTACACTTCGGAATCTGCCACGCTCTGTGGGCGATGAGTCGTATGATGGAGCTTCATCTTGTATGTCCTTTTTTCAAAGTTAGTCGCCGTTGCGCAAACTGGCCGCACACAAGAGGAGAGAAAACGTACGCCGTGGAACCGGAGCGCGGTGCTGGGTGATGGGCTTGTAACAAGCTCAACTGACGTGTCCTTTTTTGAAAAGTTAGTCGCGACTCTGCGAGGCAGCTGATGGGCGTCGACACGTACACTTCCGAGGACGGAAACCGAGACTGATCCAGATCCAGAAACATCTGAGCGTCCAGGTGGTGCCTTCCGAGGAGGTCAGTGATTGTTCATCCAACGGCAGACAGTATACAGGAAGATGATGGGGGGAATCAAAAGACATACGCTATTCGCAATCACTTCCACTCCGCGGCTTCCAGAGGCCGCAGTAACGACGACAGAGCCACCCGACGGGTAGGCTATGCGAACTTCGCCTGCCCAGCCCGCGGAGGATGTCGTACTTATACCGCCCCGCAAGTCTCCTGGTTCACCGGATTCTGGGTGACTGTGACCCGGATCATACCACGACATGTCCGTGTGGGCAGCCGCGACAAGGTTGGTGGTGTCCAGAGGAGAAACTGCCGCAGTCGTGCCATCCCAGTTAGTGCTGAGGAGATTGTCATCAACAGCGAAGTTGTCCAAGGCGAAAGATTCAGATTCGGAGACGGATGGTTGAATCGGGCTGAGCAGCCGCGTGGACGAAATCGGCACCATGCGGTCATCCTCAGAGAAGCTGGACGAGGGCGAGAACAGGTTGAAGTCGGTGTAGCTGCCGCTCGAGGTGGTGTGATTGTCTTGCAAGAACGGAAGCTGGGGTGAGGCGGATTGTGATGACAGTCCCTCACGCTCCTCAGCGCCAGCAACGGCCTGAACATCTTGCTGTGACGCCGGCGTAAACGCCTTGGGGGGCGAGGCAGACGAGGAGGAGGCGGAGGATTGGGAAGAAAAGTATCCCTCGGGGTCGAGGAAGAAGTCGTAGCTGTCGTCGACATCCGCCGGGGGGTACTGAACGAACTCCTCCCAGGACTCGAACAACTGGTCAGTGGACTCGAGGCCATCCAAGCCGGTAAATGTGAAGGTAGGATCAATGCCCAACAGCGACATCGGTATAGGGGGATTATCGTCTAACGTCGAAATCGCCACATCACCAGGCACCGTCTTCTGAGGCGCCGGTGTTGATGCTGCTGGTGCTGGTGTCGCCGCTGCCGTTGATGTTGTGCGCGCTTTCTTTGCCGGTTTCGCAGTAGACTGAGGTTGGGTTTGAGAGGCCGAACGCTTCTTGTGGTCGGGGTCACAGCGAATCTTCTTCCGTCGACAGCTATCGCAGGCCTTGATGATGCGCATCAGATGTGCATGATCTCGCTGCTCCTTTGTCTTGGAGCCTCGGGAGGCAGAGTCTGTGATGTCCTGGCCATCCTTGGTCATGATCTTCATACCGGGCAGGTGTGAAAGATCGACAGCCGGATAGCGGGCGAGACCGCTAGACTTGGAGGTCTTGCGGCTCTTGGAAGCAGAGGAGCGAGAAGACACTGATGGAGATGCAGACGCCCGGCTCCAGTCCAAAACCGAGTTGGCCGGAGATGTGTTGCTGAAGGAAGAGGCGGCGATGGAGTTGACTGGCGAGGCTGCCACCGGGCTGGAAGAGTAATAGACCGGGTAGAACTTGAATGTCTGGCCAGTGAGCTGCGAGTGCTCCAGGAAGTCGAGCGAGACGGTAGCCCGCTTCTCCTTGAGAGGAGCCGAGCCGGGGATGTAGGCGTTGATCATATCATCGAGTTCTTGTGTGCCGAGCGCAGGGAAGAACTGAAGCTGAGCGCCGAGCTGAGGCTGATAGACTGAGAAGCCCTGGGGAAGAGGGGCAGCGGATGAGTACTGAGAAGCCATTGCTGTGGTAAGATGCGGATTGAATGAGGTCGGCAAGTAAGGATTCATGAAAAGCCGAGCTGAGGCAAGGTCGAATCGAAGATGGCTGGGCTGGTCTATCGCGAGTAGTCGACGTTGTTTGCCCGACCATAGGAGTGTAAGCCCACGATACGCTTGACCCCGAGCTTCAATCTCATCGGAATACTTACACAATTGGATTTCCAGTGCGGCCTTAATTCTTAACGTTCACTTTTTTTTCTTCTTTTTTCTTTTTCGATTTGAATGAATGAATGAATAAGTGGTGGATTTGTCTGGTGAGTAGAAGAGTATGATATTCGCAGCAGCGCCAAGTGTGGGAGCGAAGAGGGGAGAGGATCTTGGCGCGCTGGAAGCAAGAGAAACAAGAACAAAGCACTGAACAAGCTCAACGATAGCTTGCAAGCTGCTAATTCTGAGTATCCAGCTTTGAGGATAGTATCAGGCTATTCGATAGTGATTACTGGTAAACCAGGAGGGTAGCGAAAAAGATGGAAAATGAAGAGCAAGAGAAACCGAGATCCTCAGGCGTCGCCGGCCGGGAGTCATGACGGTATTTCAGTCTCCGGCCAGGCGTTGAGAAGGAGCGGCCCTGGGGGAAGGAGGCCCTTGCGGGATAGTCGCAATCCTGACTCTTTCGGCGTGCTGAGAAAGGACTAGCGCAAGGCGGCCTCGGGGGCTCAGCCGGCCAATAGGGCTGTGCTATGCGATCCCGCGCTCCACTTTGTTGCCCTCTGATTGGTCCAAATCCCCCACCTGATGCGCCGCCTTTTATGGGCCTTCGGCGAGAGCTTAGCGTCGCTGATTGGCCAATGGCACCGTCTGCGCTCGGGCCACATGCAAGTGACTCAACCCTGGGGCTTGTAAAAGTTCCCTTTTTTGGGCTGGCAATCTGGAGAGCTTTGCTGAGGTTATTATCGGGGTTGTCTGGCCAGGCACAGGCTCGGTACGGAAAAGGCATGCTTGCCCAGGTACAGACGGGGGCGCGGGTACGTGTTAGATTGCGGGTTGAAAGGCGTTTTGAACTGGTTTTCGTGATGGTGCCAGTACCTGTAACGAGCAATTCATCCAGGTACTGGGCGTAGGATGACAATGCAACTCCCTCTCCGTCAGCACACCCCCTCCTCCTTGCCCGCCAGTGAGGCGAATATACCCCAGATTCTTCGAGCGAGAAGAAAGATGGGAGCAGAGCCTATCAGATACGTGTTGACATAGATCCGAGAGGAGATGGTTTGTAGATTCACGGCCAAAGGATGAAGCGAGAGATTGCTTTTGAGGACCTTAGGTATCTTACCAACCAACAACTCGAGCGACTACATAAGGATCATGTACTGCCCCTCGTCTAAGCACGCTTTGTTCTTGGATCTCTTCTGCTAGATCGTTCTGGATTATCAACGAGCGGCTTTTGGGAGTGGACACGTGCTGGACAACTCAAGCCTTTATACCGAGTTGGGCAGTGATCCCGCTCGACTTTCAGTATCTCGTACTTCCTTGATCGGTTGTTGCCGCCATCGTCTCAGTTGTCGCTACTCTCCGCAAATTCTGCCCTACCCTGCAGCCAGTCGAGAAGTCCATGTTTACTCAACGTCACCCTGCGGAAGTGTCATCAATGAGGAGCTGGAGTCAGCAACTCAACAGCTATTCGACAGAATACTTTCGCCATTCAGCCGTCACCAACACAGTTCTCATCTATTCGAGCATGGCCCCAACGATCGTCTCCTCCACTCCTTCGTTGTCACTTTATGATAATACGAGCCGCGCGAATCCTTCCGCTAGTTCAATGTCAGCAACGGTGCCACTAATGGGTAGCACCGAGTTGGAGCATAATCGCGATGGAACTCTGGTCCGAGAGAGATTCCAACGACTCAAGGGAAGGGATATCATATAATATTACAACACGTCCGACCAACTGGCCTCGTCGCATTTCGCTACCAAAACAGATAGCCGCGCAAGTACACGCCCCCCGTGCATCTCGACAGTCAGCAGCCAAGTTCGGCTCATCGACATTGCCTTGGCAAGAGCCCGCAATCAAGCCGGCGGAGCGGGTTCGAGTTTTTCGGCGAGCTCGAGAAGGCTTAGACCAACCCCACTGACGATCCCGGGCTGAGCCAGGCATCTCGATAGCGCATCTGCACTCCGAAGCCGAGACCGAAAGCCGTATCCGGGCGAGATAGACGGACCAAGAGACCGGACGTTATCCTTTTTGAAAGAGCAGTTGAAAGAAGCCAATTGTCAAATTCTCCTAGAAGTTATCCGCAACATTGGCTAATATTTACAGAAGAACCAGGGGGCTCTGTTTCCACATTGCTGCCGGGACGATGCTTCTGCGACCACAGAAACCCGACACGAAAACACGGGCTTGCGCGAAGCCTCGGACGCCATCAACTCCACCTCCACCTTGCTGAACAGAGGCCTGCATTACGGGGCTCTCCAATAGGCGCTTTGCTCTCCGCCGGAAAAAGACCCCGTTGAATTTTGTGTGTCGTTGCCTCGTTAAATACAAAATGCAGAACAACATCGCGGAATAGAACAAAGTCAAACCTGCCTCGGATGACGATCTTTATATACAAAGCAAGATCAATAATCGCCGAAGAAGAAAGATCACTCCCGCCTTGGCCGGGTCATACCCAAGAGGTCCATGGCATGCGTGCTCCATGCCCCTCCGTTTCTAGGAGGCAGAGGGACCATATTGGTTAGAGTCGCAGCCCGCGGTGGTTCGACCGCCACTGCGATCACTCTGCTCCTTTTGGCTGGATTCGAAGGAGCCGGAGCCGGAGCCGTTGATGACGAGACCTTGGCTGCAGCACTTGCACGCCTCTCCTCCACCTCCCTCACCCGCTTGCCCAGAACCTCCCCGAGGTCCTGTTCCTTGGATCCCGTGCACTCCAATACTTGTACAATGGCCATGCCCCGGTCAAGGTTCATCTCGAGGCCCTCTGTAACCTCACTCGCATCCCCCTGCCAGTGCCCGTCACCGACGAAGCCTCCACCGTCGTCATATACCATGTATTTTTGGTTGAAGGTGTGGAATTTTAGCTTGCCATCTTGCCATCTCTTTTTCTTGCGGCGAAGGTCATGCGTATACAGGCAAATAAACTCGAGAATAGGCGCAGATGCTGAGGAACTGGGGGTGTTTAACGGCACTGCGGTGGCTCTTGCGGAGCGTAATGTAGACTGCTGAGGAGTGCGAGACAGAGAGGCAGAGGGGGTATGAGTTGATACTGAAGTCCTTGGAGGCTGTATCGTCGGCTGTTGAGCCATCCTTGACACCGAAGAAGTGGAGGTATGAGCTGATAGAGCATTTCTCGTCGGCTGATGCATGGACTGCTGAGGTACTCGAGATGTTGATGCAACTGGCGTACGAGTTGGCCCAGCGTGTCTTACAGGGTGAGGTGAGGGTTGATATGCAGCAGAGGATGTTGATGTTGTTGGGGCGGTGGTTGATCCGGGATTCCGCATGCCTGGCAACAGCAATGGCCTAGAGCCGCGGTTCGCCGACGCAAGGGGAATATTACCAGACTCGAGTCCTGATGGGCCGGTATTTCTCTCGGGTTGGAGTGAGGACTGCTGAGAGATTCGGGAAGTAGATGTGGCAGCAACAGGAATATCGACTTGCCCGGCATTTGAAGCTCTCCTGGACTGTGGAATGGGTCGTTGGATGACTCGGGAGGATGATGATGATGCTGACTCAATGGAACGATTACCGGGGCCATGATTCGACTTCTTCCTAGACTGTGGGACGATTTGCTGGCGGGATGCTGGTTCAGTAGGCGTGACATCTGATTCAATGATATCGACACGTCTAGATCCGGGCCGAGAAGTAACTTGAGCTGCCGTTGTGGTAGTCGTAGCTGCTGGCTCAAGCTTTTCTCTTGCTAACAATAGGAATCTCCTAGGTCTCTGAAACATTGGTGCAGCGGATGTGTGGCTTCGGAAGGCATCGTCAGGCACTGGGTGTTGATTAGATCGAAACATGGTCGGCTGCGTGACTCGAGATGTCGAGGTAGCCTTCTGTAAAACGGATGAGGATGAAGAGCGGGGTATGAGACACGGAGTTTGGTGAGAGTTGGTGAGTTATCAGAGTCTGACGATGGTGAGATATCGGTATCCAAACTAAAGTCAGAGACCGGTGAAGATTCAAAACGGGTCCGGAATGGACCGCCAGAGCTGGAAATTGGTGATTAGGTCGAAAAAGGGGATGTAGGAGGAGCCGGAGACAAGTGCCGACAGAAAGGTGAGGTCGGAGTTGACAAACTGTTCGGAGCCATAAAGTAAACCGGCGAACAACAGACGAATGACACGTGCCTATCGATTAGGTATATACAGATCAGGTGGAGGATAACAAAGGTAGGGTACCAAGTACCTAGTGTACCCAGAAGGAATGATATGAGAATTCAGAAGGTTCAAAGCATTCTCTCATGAGAAGGAAGAGCCGAGCTGCTGAGATGCAACGAAGCTGCAGATACCTCTGATGAAGGCGTCAGGCAGGCACGACACAAGCGACGAAATGGTTTGTTAGCGAGACGCGACTTGGCCAGGAGCGACGCTGTAAGCGAAAAGGCTTAGCGAATGACGCGACGCCAAATCACGTGTGCCGCAACGAAGTACTTGCGCACCCCGTACCTTAGACCGACTCCCGTGAGCTTTGAAATTCAAAAGAAGGAGCTGTCGAAGCTTCGCTAAAACTCAAAAACTGGGGAACTCCACACCGCGTTGCTCTTGGAGAAAGAGCCATCCCGCCCAATGAGGCTTGACTCCGACAGAAGCAGTTCGCTGGGAAGGAGGAGGGGAAAATTCATCGAGCGGGCCGAATAACACACAGTGTGGGAATATCAATGTGATAGGTCAACTTGAAGCAAAAGGCGGAAGAATCAAGACGATAGGTCGCATAGACATGATTGAGGGAACACAGTCTGTTCTGTTCATCGCCTCTCGGTTAGACTGCAGTATTTTTATGCGAGTGACCGCTTGAGGCGCACGAAGGACTGTTAGTGGGTAAGGTAAGACGGTGGCTAGGTGGAAATTGACGTCTTCAGCTCGCACGTCATTGTAGCCTCACTCACGAAATGCAGGGCAAAGAGGACCCCTTAAAGTACCGAGGAGATTTCCTTCAGCCCCAGGAAGTGGCATCATTGCTATTGCAGTATATTCACGGTGGTATTATAGAAGGGGATGTTCCAAGTGATGAATAATGTTCCATTGAATGGGACAGAAGACGCCGGCGATGCTATCATTGCTAGGGCAAACTGCCGGCTGCTGTGATCTCAAGGGTATTCATGTTTCCCTTATTTTCCTTTAAAACTTGCGAGAAAAACTGTCATCGCTTGGCACCTTGCCATCCGCTGTAATCCCAAAAACCCCAAATCCCGTGTATTGAGCGGCCTTATTGATCGTGGCCATGCTCTCGCTAATATCCAAATACCCAAATCCCAATGTCGTATATCATGCCACGACCCATTTCTGTTCTATTCCGTAAAAGTAGAGGAAAAAAATCTATGATCGTAATTGCCGGGCGCCGAAAGGCGAAGCAGGCTTCACGAGTTGTCTATCAGTAAACCAGCTTCCACGTCATGGCTACTCCTATTCCACAGCGGACAGCTTCAGCGGTGGGATAGGTTCTGTTGTCGCTGTGGACCGTGGAACTATGACGGGAGTCCTGGGCCTCGGCCGGTACTTTGGGGTCCTAGGAGTCCTGGATTGGGTGGTGGGAGCCCTGCTGCTGCTTGGGATAGGATCGACGGGCCGGCCGCTCTTTTTCTGAGCCTGCCGCTTTTCCCAGACAGTGGGATAATACTTGCCCATCGAGGCAGAGCGAAAGGGTTCGCTGTCTTCATCGTCATCGCTTGGCCACCAGTAAGAATCATTATCCCTCGTGGAGTTGGACAGGTGATACTGGGATTGAGACCGGGGCTTGGGCATATCGATGTCGGCATCAGCGCCGGTGTCCACTTCCTCGACCGAGGGATCCATGCCGTAGGACTTCACGTCACGATAAAAGGGGTGCGTGTGGCGCACGCGAGTTTGGGGGTCTTCGTGAAGGGGGAAGTAACCACTGTAGCCAGAGTGTCAGTACTAAGCGACAGAACTACTTTATAAGTGTTCTCGGTCGTACCCTTGCCTTTCGCCCCTAGCGGACAGAGCCTCTGGAAGCGTGGTGGCAGATGCAGCGCTGTTTTGTCTCGATCGGGGAATGGCAATGGGACGGCTGCCCGTCGATGCGGAAGAGCTAGATCCGGCACCTGTATCTAGGTCGGCTCCTGTTAAGTAAGCGTTAGAAGATGGAGGCAAGAGATGGAGAATACACGATGCTGAGTCGTAGAAGGATGACTTTAGAGCCAGGAAGGAAGAGGCTGTGAATGACAGGGAGAAGGTGGGAGACGGGAAATGGGGAAATGGGGGGTTTTAAAAAGCAGAAGAAGAGGATGATGAATAATGATCGACACTTGATCGACTGGCGGAGAACTGTCCACATGAGAACATGGATGAATCGGAGAAGAGAACAGAAGAGAAGAGATGATCAGCCTTGGAGAAGGAAATGGCGGCAAGCAGAATCCACATCCCGCGGGTCGCGTGCCTGGACACTATTTTGCTGGAGCCCTCATGCAAGATGATGGACTCCGCGCTCCGGATACCCCGCGATGGCTCTCGTCGCCTGTGGGGTTTCGATAACCGGGCCTAGGCGACTGGCGACTTGGCGACCTACCATGGGATGGGGGATAATTGTGGACTGGGAGCTGGCGTCATCTTCAAAAGTGCTGGTCGCTGTGCGGCTTCGACAGGCCGAGACATGACTAGGGAAGAGGCAAGAAAATCTCCGACCCGTCCGTCGTACTGTACGGCAACACAGGAGGGGAAAGGAAGACGGCCTGACGACGAGCGAAGGGGGAAACCAGATCAGGACTTAACGCAGAAAGATTGGGACGAAAATTGAGATGAAGATTGACGCATGAGACAAAAGGATCGGCGACTGCAGAGAGAAAGGGTAAAGGAGCCAAAAGTGAGAGAGTCGGATGATATGGAATGTCTTTGAATCATGGATCGAAATGGACTCCAGAGTTGGCAACTTACTAATGGATCGTCGCCGCTGAGGCCGCTCGCTTTCATCGGAGCCGGAGGCCCTGCTTCCGCCGATGGTCGACGATTTGGAGGACCTGGCTGAGACTCCAAGATCGTCAGACGGGTCATCATTGAACCAGTCGTCGTCGATGCGTCGAGGCGGGAAATTGTGCTTGGGCTCCGGTTCATCGAGATACCAGCGGGTACCGAAGACGACAGACTCGGACATTTCAGAAAGGTTGGACAAGATGGACACTGAACGACCCAAGGTGCGAGACGGCGACTTGTCCCTGGATCTGCGAGAGCGGGAAGATCGTTCCATGATGCCGTCTCTCTCGTCGGAACTCCAGTTGTCGAGGCTGCCCATTCAGATTTGAGATAGACCGCAGATGGGATGAGATGCCGGCAAGACGTGGGAGGAAAAGCCGGCTAGATGTGCGACGAATGGTCCTGGCAATCAGCTGTTCTGCTTCGAGGAGGCGATGCAGCTGAACAGGGACGAAGAATTGGATTGAACGCGGACGAGGAAGAGAAGAAGAAGAAGGAGGAGGAGGAGGAGGGAAAAGAAGAAGAGGGGGATGAATGTATTCAATTGAAAGGAAAGGGTATCTGAGGAGCACTAGAAGGGTAGATATCTTGCTGGAAGAGAGTCTGAGGCTCGAAAAGAGAGCCAAAAGCGCTTTAGTACGTTGGCGCCAGACGTGTGGTGACAAGTGGCGAGGATGAAGGCCCAGGCACAAGCGAAAGAAGCAAGAATGAGATGAGATCCAGGATAACGGGGGAGATTTGTGTGTCTTTGTATACGCGGGAGACGAGAAGGTTCTTGGCTAAGATTGATGTGAAAAAAAAGGTTCCCCGGTTTGTTTGTTGCACACCAGCAGGAAAAAAAGGTTCTGGGACTGGGGGATAAATAGAGGGAATCGAAAAGCCACAGGGAAGGGGGAAGAATTAAGGCACGGTAAGGAAACTCGACCAGGTGAGCCCACCGGTTGTAGTACTTAGACGCGGCACAGAGGAAATACCTGTGTAGAAGTCGAGTTCAAACAGCATTGAGCAGCAGCACGACGGACAGCCACACAACTCACGCCATGAGGTAGGTACTCGGACACACACACAAGGCAGCCAGGTACAAGCACGAAGAACGCCTCTTTTCCCCCGCGGCTTTCGTACATTAGAGGTGCTGGGCAGCGCTTATTGCTTCTGCTGGTTTTCCAACGGCAGCCCCCCCTTTGGCACTGTACGGTACACAACAGACCTCGTACTTGGTACACGTCGTTGATTAGAAGCCTTCTTAAGCGACCACGAGAGAGAGAGAGGGAAAAAACGAGAGAGAAACACCTGGACAGGGGTGTTGCTGTTGTGAAACGCACAAATGGCTCCCTCAAGGTGCCATTCGATGCGTGAGATGGACCACTAACAGGGCGTCTCTCGCCAGGTTTGCGTGGAGCCATTGGACTTTGGTGCAGCTCCAGACGTGGGCCATCCATGAGCCTATCGCACCGGCGCCGATCCAGGTAGGGAGCGTATTAGAGAGACAGAGAGGAAGAGGGTTTTGGCTTTTGCGTTTGCTTGCTTTGCGCTTGGGCTTGGCGGGGAGGCTTTTGGGCTTCTCGCTGGGCCTTTGACTTTGGCGTCCTGCCATGGTGTGGCAGATTACAGAGTTCACCCAGCAGTAGCGTGTTGTATGTACATGTCGGTGGCTACAGAGCTAAAAAGGGTGGCTCCAAGGCCTTTCCAAGGAGCTGGCTTGGGAGCTGAACGGTGCAAAGCTTTAAGTGGTGATGTTCAAGGAGCGCAGTACTACTGGGATGATTTGGATACTCGTCTGTGGCGTCCTTGGGGAAGTCGTACCTGCTACCATCAGCTGCTGGTCTTGGGGATTTGGCTTGACGAGAGTCCAGGGGCCTTGTTTGTTTGCTCTGCTTGCTGCTGTGCGGATGGCCGGAGGACTCATGCCGAACCGGGGCAGGCGGGTGCTGGGGGGGTTGCTGGGGATCGTCGAGCAAAGCCGGGCCCCGCAGCAGTCGACATCGCTCTCAACAGGTTTCCTCGCTGTATGAAAGTACCTGACGGAGAACGAGCTGTTTGTCTGTACGAGCAAGTATCTTAGGGACGGGTTAGCATCAAGGACTGAAACACAGTAGGTTCTTACTGGTTCTCTCGCTCTTGTCTGCTCCGTCACCTACTAAAGGTACGTTTGCACGGTAGCGTACAGTACAAGTTCACAGTCTTTTCGCCTCTGATGGTCGTGGCTTGGCCTCGTCGTCATTGGGCGCGGCCAGAGCCGATGCAACATGAGATTGCCCGTCAAGCCATCATCGCTTCCTGTTTTGCTGCCTCGTCTTTCTTTGTTCTGGCTCCTTCTCACGGCCCGTCAAACCGGAAAAAAAAAAAAAAAAACTTTAACTTGTCCTTGCTTCCAGTGTTTTTTTTCCCTGTTCATCAACAGCCATTGACGTGAGATGAATCGAGACTCGTACTTGCAACGATCGTTAGAGCGGCAGGGGCTAGAGGAAGCCGGAGACTTTGGGGACCCTTGAGCTGACGACATGGACCTAGCAGCAAAGCTTCCTACCAAGGGACAGTGTCGCTCATTCTACTGAGCAATCGGGGAACGCGGCCCCCGAACGCACTCAGAAGGGAGAAAAGTCAATCGGATTGTGTGTCCCCGTCAGAGAATGAGGCGTCAAGGGACGGCCTGTCTCCTGAGAAGGATTGGATCAGTGTCATACATTACATGTACATGCGCCATGCATGGTAAGGTGTTGCCCCTGTGCCTGTAGGCTTCGTACGTGCCATCCTGGTGCTTGCAAGCCGTGCCTGTCCCAGCAGCCTTATCGCACAGACAGCCGATGAGTGGGCGACTGGCTAAGGTACCTACAAATTCGAACGATGATGGGCTCAGCTGCAGTTCTTCCGGTTGAGTGAGTGAGTATCAGGATAACTTGCCTTGCCCTGCCCTGAGAGGTAAGGTAGGGACTGATTACCATTGTAGGTAGAACTCCTTGTGGAATCGTGTTGGCCGAGAAAATCCATGGCGCTGCAGAAATACATGTATATTGAAATATGGGGATACACATGGAAATGGGAGAGCGAGCGGTACCTACTGAAGCACTGCGCGGGAGCAAGGGGCAACCTGGCGAGTGGCTGTTTGCTTCGGAGCACAATCTCGCATCAAGTGTGGAGTTGGAGATGCGAGAAATGCTGAGATTGAGTACTGTACGGAGTACGGCAGCAAAGATGAGGCCACTTTTTTCGTCTTCTTCTTGGCTGTATCCTGGTCAAGAGACGCACATTACCATGCCTCACTTCGCTTCGAGCATCTCTGTTGCTCTTTCTAATGCTGTAGCACTCGTCAATGGTCGAGACATGTTGATAGTTCGGGTTGATGCTACTCTGCCATTACCAGCGTCGGTCCTTGTACGAAGCATCAGCTTACTCCCTCGTGCAGACCAGTGAGTACTGAGCATAGTCTATTCTACTTCGTACCGTATTTGAGGTAAGACTTGAAATTATACGGCCTTGCACGCCCGTCAAGCTGTCCGCGCGCCTCTGTTCCCCTTTTCCTCCTCACCACTGCAAACACGTCCCCGTCCGTCCACTGCTCTCCCATTAGGGCCCCTCATGACAAACCGCACCTCTTGGAGACCTCTCCGATGAAATTCGCACACATGGTTGGGCTCTGTCTCTCCGCGTCTTCCCACCAGATCCCCCCTCCTCTGCTCCACGCTCCCCACGCGTCGTATCGAGGGCCAGCTTGAGATTCATCTCGTGGTCGATTCCTAGTGGCGACACGACGGCATGCTCTGCTGCGACCTACCTGCAGGCTGTGGCATCGTCCCGCACCAAGGGACCTGTTGTAGTATGCAGAATTACGGCGTAGCAGGTCCCAAGGCCCACGTTCGGAGCACGGAGCACGGAGGGCCAAGGACATATTACAAACGCGGTCCAATGCAGGTCGTCTTGTCTGCCACTCTAGGCCCTTGCCGAAGCCGGGCCTGTGGGCAACTCAACTGGGAGAAAAGGCTGTCGTAAGAGCTTGGAGATGGTGATGCTGCCAAGACAGCCCCGTCTATGCGACTTCCCGGCTCTCGGCCGTTGCCTCCTTTACTGCCTCTGCATGTTGCCGTCTCTTCCCTCCATCCGCCGTCTCCCCTTGCCTTGTGTGTGTCTGTGATGTACAATATTGGCTCGGATCAAGGTGCACGCAAACGTGAATGTGTGTGAGTGCCATTGCAGGCAGAGAGATGGTGTGTTTCTGTCTGGAGCAGATGCGAGCGTCTCAGTCGTTGATCAGCCGGAGTGGATCGCGCATTTATCCATGGGGGACGCACCCAAGTCTGGGTAATTCAGTAGGTCAGAGATACGTAGGATGAGACATTGCAGCCATCGCAGCACCGAATTTTCGGTCAAAAAGAAGAGTTGGAGAAGGATTGACAGCAAGTGATAAGCTCATGTCTCAATTGCGCATCCATTTTGTCTCTCGATGCATCCCCTTTCCTTCCCTAGTCGCGCCCATCTTTGCCATTTTGCCTTTCCCGCTCCAGAGTTGTCGATGAAAGAATACGGATGGACGAAGCCGTGTTTGTCTCTCCTCATGGGTGGTGTGACAGAGACGAGATGCAACGCCTCACCTATCACAGCCCGCTGACAAGAGTACGTTTTGGTTACCGCTGTATCACGCCGCGCTGTTGTTGCTGGGTAGGTACTTCGGTGGTGCCCCCTTGTCTGGCAGTGGATTTGACGGGCTCTCGCGCGTCTTCTCTTCAGGGATTTTTGATGCTAGAGGCCGATTTTGCGCCCTCCTAGGCCCTTGTCTGTCCTACACCAAGCCCTACTTTTTTTTTTTCCCACACAGGAACGCCTGTAATCACTGTACATTCTCCTCGTCCTTCTCGCCTCGCCTCAAGGCCGAGGAAACGGGCAGTTGTTGGGTTCCGTGCCTCAGTGTTCTGACCCCAAAGGATGCGCGAGCGGAAACGCGAAGCTCTGGGACCCGAGCAAATACTCTGAAAAGGCGCCAGCAGCTGCACCGGTGACGCCAACCACGTCATGCCACATGGGAAGCGTGGTGACGGAGAGACGCCGACGAGACTCGGGATTTTTGAAACTGGTGGGCGGGTTCCCTCCTGTTTTGTGATTTCTGATTTCCCAACTGCTTCCAGTCGCGAGACAACGGTACGTTTTTGGGGAAGATGCTATTACAATCCCCCTGGGACATACACAAATAAGAGATGCCACGAAAATGTTGACAGTAAACGGGCTGCTCTGTGCTTCGTCGACACGCGTGTCCCGGAGGTTCCAGTCGGATATTGGGCACTTGAACTTGACGTCACACTCGGCCGCCGAATATTGCTTGGAGTCCTGGGGTTTGCCATGTCGTTCCCTTCCCTTCCTCTACCTCATACGGTACTGTTCGACCGTCCCAACAGTGGTGTGCCGTTGCCGATCGGCGGCTATCATCAAAGCCCAAAGGGAATAAGCCCCCGGTCCCCTCAGTATTTCTCTCTATTCCCTCTCACCATGGCTTCGTCTATTCCCATCCATCTGTTTCCTCGCTTCTTCTCCGCACCGATCAGCTCTGTCCTCATCCCTCCCCCCATCCCCTCTCGTCACTTCGTTGGGGTCTCGGCTTGCATAATGCAATGTTAATCTGAGGGATATCGTCGGGCACCACTTTGGGTGCAACGCCAATACCGGCCGTCGTGCTGCTCCAGCGGGATTAACGAACGAGAGACTATCTCCCCCCATTTGTCTGGGGAAGAGAAACGGACAATGGGTTCCGGCAGCCGTGTCCATGGGCCGGACACGACCGGACCAAAGAGGACTTGGTCTAGCATCATTGTCTTCTTGTCGAGCTGACTGTGTATGGCATGGTGTTTCCACGCACTCACAGTCGAATCGCGAATGGACACTCGCATACTTCATACAGACGTACAGGCCATGCGCCCCCCCAACCAATACATGTACCCACCAAGGAGCACACAGACATGGCGACACATGTTGGGCGTGACTACTACGTGATGACCATGATATTGAGGGTTTACCTGCAAGCCATCCATGGAGTCAAGAGCCAAAGCTAAGGATGAAGCCAAAGGCGAAGTCGGGCCCCATCGTCGGACGTGGCTCCTGTCCAACCAAGTTGCATCTCTTCTCACATGCCACGGAGAAAACGAATGAAATGGGGCAAACCGTTGTAAATCATCGTCATCCCCACGCCAGCTACCTATTCGAACGAACCAGAGGGGTATCATATCATTAGTACATGCCGTCCAACCCAGTCTTTGTCCCCATCTCCCCGTCTCCCCCCCTTTTACCCGCGCCAGCCTCTCAGCATCCATTAGATATCTCGCCCAGCCGCCAAATTGCCGCAGACGGACGCCGCTCATGCCGTATGTGGGATAGATGCGCATGTTGAGACCGTCCATCCATCTCATGCTCGCTTAGAAGCGCCTGGTGCTGCATATCGCCTGTCCTGCCTTTGCCCTTGCCTATAAGCCGATCACCGATCCCCCGTCTTCCCCTCCTCGCTTCATCTTCCCTCGCTCTCGCTTGAGATGGAGTAGAATGAACAGCTCAAAGTGCAAAGGTTCTCTAGACCTTTGCTCGACCAGTAAAGCGGGTGCGAGTATTGCGATGCTTCCACCAGTATGCAAAGGCGGCAAGGCTTGCAATCAGCCAGAGCAGTGCACTGGTCAGGTCTACCCATACGGCGTGCTTCATGCGCTCAACGTCTCCGTTGCCATGGGCGTTCTCGTCGATGTATAGCTGGTGCGAGTTGACAAGTCAGTATCCAAAAATCGACAGTAACAACACCAGTCACAGCACGGTTCGGGTAGCTTCTGCTTTGCATCCCAGCCTCCAACAGCCCCTCCCCTTTCGTTCCTTCTTCCCCCTGGCTGGCTGTGTCGTGCAACGCGAGCTTGATCGAAAGCAAACGTACCTTGCCGAAGACTCCAAAAAGAGCGATCCACAAGACGAACAGGATCGTATCCCAGCAGGCAACGAAGATGCCGCCGGCTTCGATGATGAAAGGGATGAAGTAGAGGGCGCACGTAGCCGCTGTCAAAGCACCTACCACGACGGCATAGACCTAGGCGAGAGCAGTGTTAGCTGACGCCATTCTCTTCGTCTTTCATTCTTTCAGAAGGAGAGACGCAAGTAGGCAGAGTGACTCTTGCAACCCTCTTGATGGAGTATGGAGTACATGTCGCACACAGTACATGTTGTTTTGCTCCATCACCCCATCACCATCAGACCACTCCTCGATGACTCCATCTCTGTGCGACGCGAAGAAACAAGTGTCGGCATCTTACCCATTTGGACTTTGTGTAATTGTCAAAGTGCTTCGCCCGCTGCAAGTCGGCGCCGTAGAGGCCGCAGACGGTGATGGCGAGGGCAAAGCAGGCGAAATGGAGTGCCGTGAAGGCATAGTAGCTGGTGGAGAGGCTGGACCTTGTCATCATTGTCGCTGTTCTTTTTTTTTTTTTCTATTGCGCGCCTATCTTTGGCCGCTCGGTCGCCCTGTTTGTCTGTACAAGCACAGAGACGAGATCCTTTCGGGTGGAAAGAATAGGGCGAGGTTCAGCTCTGTGTACAGCTTCGACACCGAGGTCCAGAGACGAGTGGGGAAAGCACAGCAATTGTGATAAAAGAAGCCGGAGGATTGAGTATTCTTCGTAGCCTCAAAAAAGCTCGATCAGACAGAAACCAGAGGCCGAAATGGATCTGCAGTCTCAACGTAGGGCACTTGATAATGGTGAGAGGGGAAAGAAGATGGAAAAGAGGGAGCTGGAGAGAGACAAAAATCCTCTCTCTCCCTTGGCCTACAGCATCGTGATCGACCTTCCTAGGCTCATGATGGTGCAGGTACAGCTGCTCTCCCTGTTTTTTTTACCAACGAAAAGCTACATCATGCCTCGCGCTTCAAGCCTCTGCATCGTCTGTATAGTTACATTGGCATCATATCCAGGGGCAGCGGATGACGTCAAGTAAACAGTAAACAAAGCTTGGAATGCCAACAATGAACCCAGGCTGGATTGGGCAGGCCATCGCACGTGATGCCTCCCGCTCGTTTATCCCTCTCTTTTTGCTGCTTCTTCCATTGTCTCCCTAAGCTCGATTCTGCTTCGTCTGGTCTGGAAGGCTGCCAGCCCTACAATAATACGTCAAAACGCCAAAACTAACGAGACTATTGCCGCGATCTGCCTTGTCCCATCGACTTCTCCGTTTTTTTCTCACCCCGTCAAGGCAGGACTTTGCAGGGGGCCAAAGGACAACTAGAAGAAAGGAGGGGCAGGGGAAAAATGAAAAAGAAAAAAGAAAACGAGGCTGGAACCATCGTAGCGTCGACTACGGAGGAGGAGCAGCCTCATTTCTTCTGATTTTATCATTATTTCCCCTTCTTTCCCAGACTTCCCTCTGAGGCTCTGACAATGACGGCGGCCACCTCCGCTCCGGCTCCACAGTTTGCCTCATCTCGAGCTGCTGCCTTTTGGCAGCCTGGCCTCGGTCTGGTTTTGGGGTCAATTCTGGGCGATGCACTGCTGTTTCCGCCTCGCTGCAAACCCGTGACGTGAGTTGGGAATTTTCTATACTTTGCTCTACTTGTTAGACGCAGAAAGGGTTTCGGCTGCTAAGCCCCTCTTGTTGGTTTCTGTGTTTCTCTCAACCGCCTTGAGGCTTTACCCAAACATGGAGCCATTTCTTTGCGGCTCAAAGACTGCAGGACCCGGACCGCTAATATGGGACTGCTTTCTACAGGGGTTCGTCTAGTCCTTCCAGTTGCGTCGCCTGGGTTTTTGGGATCAACGACACGGGACCCTGTGACAAAGGAATTCGAAACAGTCGCCACAGCCAACGATCCAGCTCTCCTGCCGATGCTCGCCCGGCTGCCTGCCGTACTTCGCTGTAGCAGAGCACCGCCGGAGATGGACTCCGGAGGATCAACGGAGGATTTGGGGACGGTTCTGGCCTTCTTTTGGAACGCGGCGGGCTCCCGCCGACTGACTCCCCGGGTGTGGAATGAAGACGCAGTCGGAGATGCCCTGGGAAGGGCAAAAGAAGAGACGAGGCCTCGCTCGCTTGGAGTCGTTCAGCGAATAGGCGGATATGCAAACAGGCAAAGAAACGAGAGTTCCCAGGCCAACACATGTGGTGCGCGCCGCAGCACCGTCCCGGTCTGCTGACATCCCATCAGGCTTAGCACCGAAGCTTTGTGGAAGCTCACAGGAATGCTTGCCTGAAGCCCTGAGGCCCCGGCGCCCTTTGGCTATGCCTTGCAGGCCCTCGTCACTGCTCGCCCTATCGATGGGTCACCTCGCAAGCGTTTCCGTCGCCGCGCTCGCCCTATCAGCGGGCCAACGACCTGGTCTGATGGTCTCCTGGTTTTCTGAATCAACGCCTGCCGTCATAACTCTCGACTAAACACAAAATGACCGCCATGGAAAATCGGGGCTTTGCTCACCTTTGTTGGCCATGGGCCTGGAGCTGTTACTGGCGGCAGCCTTCGGCAACCCATCAATGGCAGGCTGTTTCCCAGGCATCTTTCAACATAGGACGTCGAGTCCACTCCCTCGCCCTAGGACTGTGAGTCAAAGCCATGGTGTGTTTTGGGCTTTCGACCTGTAGCATGGCTCGCGCTGCGTCACCGGAGGAGGGCCCAGGAGCGGTTCCTCAGGTATATATTGGACATAAAACAGTCGAGTTTAGTGTAAGTTGAAACGAAGCATCTTTGCTACTCAACTCAACCCTTTTCATACGCTTACACAAAGAGACTCAAAGACTCAAGGACTCAAAGCCTCAAGCAAGGTCTCTTTTATCCGTCTTCTCCACACAAGTCCAAGCTTCTTCTTCGAAAACCACATTTTTATCACCATGGCTCGCGGTCAAGGGTAAGATTTACCCCCTATGGTTTCTACCTCTGAACACTCGGCCTGACTAGGTGTTTTCAGCGTCGACTCTTCCAACTACTACTCCGGCAGCCGCACCCAGGGCTCTGGACGAAGCTCCTATATCTCTTCATCCAGAGACTCCAACGGAACACAGAGACCAGCCTACTGGCGATGCGTACGTCAACTAAACCCCATCTCTCATCTTGCCCCTCACTCCGTTGTCCACCGTGACAGTGAACTAACATGGTTGCTTGCAGTGCAGGTGCTCTGGCGGCTGGTACAGTTACCAGATCAACGATTCTTGCCCCATGTGCCAGGCGTGGCGTTGCCCCAACTGCGAGTACTCCATGAGCTAGAGCTTGCCAACATCTTTCATTTTCGAATGCAGCGGCTTGCCGTCACGATACTGTCTTGGCAAACCCGTTGCTGTACTACGACTTGTATTCGCTTTTTGGACTGCCCATCTAGATCAACACCAGCGGAATTCACATTCCATCACCACTACAGAGCATGAGAGGAGTTTGGGTATTTCTAGCATAGTCGGCTAAGCATGCGTCGGATATTGGGAACCTTCTTTTTGCATACCTTTCGCATTGTCAGCATTTGGAACACCACTTAGACCATTAGACTGGCGGCTTCATTGTCTTGAGCAAAAGCACTACTCGCTCCTTTCCTTGTTTGTCTTCCTATAGAACATTGACTACAGACACTTATACAGATTGAGATTTTACACATGACCATGCTTCAATCTCTCCACATGCGACGAATAGTCATCCTTGAAAACCCATTGGACGCCCTACCAAGCAAAAAAGGCCGAGAACGGTTCGTTGCCTTGCATGAGTAACACAGTCGTGTGCGTAATGGCAGAGGCATGAGGCAAGGCAACCATTTTAGGCGGCTTTGACTCGTCGAAAATAAGAGACCATTCACGGTCTATCTTTCCGCCCAAAACTTTAGGCTACACATGACCCCATGCCGGTGACCCTATTTGGGCAATCTTACTCACAGGAAGATAGCTTACCTTGTGCCGCTCGACACCTTTCGCCGGTGACTTGAGGGGCGAATCAGAAGGTTCCACCTTGCGTTGTTCTTCTCTATGGTCTGAACATGGGTGAAACGGTTTGAATTGGCCCGGCGTGAGAAGGGGGGCGAAGGAGAACTATTCGAGAGCTGGCCAATGGATTGTGGTTCTGGCGGGTGTCATGGGGAGTGGTTGAAAGGGCTTGTCGACTTTGAGTGCATTCGGAAACGAAAAGGGTAATGGTGGTGAATCGATTGCAACCAACCAGATCGTATAATCAATCGGATCGTAGAATTGTGCCGTGCGAAATTGCGGGCTAGTGGCAGGCAGTCGACAGAGCCTCAATCGCTGTGGTAGCATGGCATGATCGGCAGTTCGGGACCCCTGTCACCAGTAAGCACGAGCGGTTGACGGCATGGCGGGAATCGTCGTGACAGACTTGTTTGTTGCGTTCCCGGTTCGGAGTCCGCTTGGCAACAGCCACGATGACATGGGTTTGGATAGCTATAGCTACAGATGGTGCGTCTTGAATAATGGTGGTCTCTGGATGGACGGCTCTGCCAGCTCTACATTTACTTCGTCGGAGATGGTTGGATGGAAGCCTAGAGACTGCTTCAAGAGACTTGCATTCTGTCACATCTCTCCTTTCCCTTTGATTGATCCCTTGTAACAGTCATAGCTACTGATGCTTCCGAAAGAGGGCATATATGTGAGAATCGTGAGGAGGGCCCTGTGAGTAGAGTGCTTTGCCTTGCTGAGGAGATTGGCCTGGTCATTCGACGCTTCGGACCGAGGAGGAGCACATCACCGAACAGTCATCGAGTGAATTGGGTTCGTAGAAGATTCTTCGTTGCATGGGACAGTTGCCTTGATCTTAGCAAAGTATGTTGGCGAGCGTGGATGGGACCTCAACTCACCAAGAGATTCGGAGGCCTGAGTCATCGAGAATGTGGCAGCGACACCTGTCTCATAGTTCATGATGAGCTGTAGCATGGGCTTGGCATGTAGCTACTCGCTGTTGAGCAAGCAGGTGGCCTTGACTCTGCCTGGTAGGCTCGTTGGACCCTCAGACTCGGACTGGCATGGAGGAGCGCGTCTGCATCGACGCCTTTCTGCCTGGATGAATCACGGGAGAGGCCGATTTCTGGAATATTACTTCCTGATTTGCCCTCTGACGATGACGACCCATAGATGGTGACTAGGCAGATTGATCATGGCCTGTCTTCACTTCTTGTTGTCATGATGCAAGCGGATATCGCACACAAATCCCTTGGTCACTACACAAGGGGTAAAGATCCCTGAGAATGGCTCGCCCTAGAAGCATATCCCGCGTGCTCACCCATCAAGCAGATTGGAAACATGGAAGATTACAAAGTTCGTGTCAATTCGTCTCTGCTCTTCCTTGAGCACCATTAACCTTGTTACACACATGACTCGTGGAGTAAATGTCCAGCAAATTTCCGTACTCCATATTCCGATCCGCCACAATGCAGTCTTTGATGATGATTTCGTTCCCCGTGTCCACAAATTCCATGCTCCATGCTTCATACCTACTTCATAATCCATACTTCGTTTGACAAATTCCACGCTTCAAGTTTCATCCTTCACTCACACTGTACAGGAACTCCCGGTCAGGGTCAGACTCCAAGATCCTTAAAGTTGAAGCCGCCAACCGTGTAATAGGGATTCAGCATCATGTCCCAGTCAGGCGTCAGCTCCCTGTTAGAGAACGGTATGTCACTACCTTCCGACATCTCTAGCAAGGCAACCTCTTGCCTCTTTTTGACGAGCAAGTCTCTCATCAGCGTCCTGGCCGTCTCGAGTGCTTCAAAGGCCATGTGCGTATTGAGTATCTGCACGATGCCATCAAGCCTGGAAAGAACCCACGATACCTGGGTGAGGCTGTCACGGTTGTCGATGGCGAGCAGAACGCAGAAGAACTGGAAAGTGGTGCCCAGGACATTCCACCACGGAACGCCTCGCTGTGCCAGATCGTAAGCCGCTTCTACAGCGCTTTGGCCTATCTGGAGGATGTGAGACAGGGTGTCTTTGCTGATGCTGATCTTGAGGAGGCGCAGGCGACGGTAGAGACAGAAGCAAAGGTCTCCTCGAGTGAGGGCAGGAAAGCCCTTGACGTCTCCCAAGTCCAGGAGCTTCTGAATGGCACCCTCGAGTGACTTGCTGACCGTCACGGCGTCGGCGTTAACGTTCTCACTTGGCAGGATTCTGGCCATGCGTATCTGGAGGCCAGTCTCGCTCCTGTCGTTGAAGGGGGTGGGCCTAGAGTCTTCGCCATCAAAATGAATCTTTGTACGGCCGTACTCGTACGCGATAATGGTATTGATGCACCAAGCAAGCCAAAAGGTCCTCTTGCTTCCTTCGTCCTCCGTGGCCCGTGTCTCGCCGCTCTGGGTGACAAGGTCAGACTCAAGGTCACGGTGAAGTCCAACAGCCTCCACCAGGTGCATGACGGTGCAGGATGCAAGCCAGGTGAGATGAGGTCGGGTTGTCGAGCGGAGATAGAGGGTTCGCAAGATCCACGCGTTGACCTGGTCGATGGAGGGAATACGACTGAAAGTCGAGTCTTCAAGAACGTCCTTGACATGCTTGACAATCTGAGGCTCCAAATGATGGCCCTCACGAAAGGCAAAAAGGGAGCCGAGAGACACCACGGCTCCGATCAGGGCGCCAAGAATGAGATCCTGATTCCGTCTGTTGAAGTAGGTATCGCATTGCTGCAGAAACTTGTCCTTGTCGAAAAGATGAAACGGCACATCCACAGTCGCAAAGTAGATGTCCGCGTAGTGCCTGCACTCCTCCCAGGTAACGTAGTCGGTCAAGGGCGCATGGATAGAGCCGGGTTCCTCGGGGCGGATGCCGCAGTTCCAGGCAAACGAATGCAGACGTGGGGGATGAGCCGACTCAAGCTCGACGCCCAGCTGGTTTGGAAAGGCCACGGCTGAGTTCTGGTTCATGTAACGCCTCTTCTTAGGCTCAATGATGCCGCGGATGAGGGGAGATGGGCGGCTGATGTCCTCGGGCGTCTCCGAGACGTTTTGGGAGCCTTCACCAGGCTCGAGGAGTGCTTCATGGGGTCTCTTCTGCTGCTGGCCACTGGTCACGATTTCGCCGTCAAATCCACAGTTGTACTGATAATGAGTGCACATGGAGCAGGGAAAGACGCCGTCGCACTTGCGCTTCCGTCTGCGGCATTCTATGCACGCCTTCTTGGCACGTATGCGACCTTTCTGAGCCTGCGGCTGCGCTTGTTGGGGCTGAACTGCCGGCTGGGGCGCCGCTTGAGCCTCAGGAGCCGGGGTCAGCGTGTCTTGATCTTGGTCCGGGTCAGGATCTTGAAGCTGCTCCATGACGGCGACGTTGATGATGCTGAGAGAAGAACTAGGGAACTAGGGCAGTGTTGAAATTATACTCCATGAGTGAATGTGTTGATAGGCAATGAGGGCGCTGATGAGGAACCTATCAAGTTCAGAGGGTTTGGGGAGTGAGAGAATCCTGACAGGTTTGAGGAACGAAATAAAGGAGAGTGAGGTTCGGGGGCAGCTCAGGACGCTTCCGTCAGCAAGTCACTGCCGCTGGGCTGCTCCTGCCAGTCCTTCCAGGGAAGCTTTTTAGCTCTGACCAGCTCCTGCCACAGCACATCACCCCACTTTTCTCAAGGCTAGCTTTGGGGAAGGAAGACCTCAATCAGGTGCAGCAGTGACGAGGACGAATAGGAATTGATTGCTGTTGCCCGGCGGTGAAAGAAGGGAGGCAAGTTGTTGATACCTTCCTCTGATTTCTTTCCAAGTTACGGTGAAGCAACAGGTGCGTAAACTGTACAAGCAGAACAAGAGTAGACGCTGTATGGGTGGCTTTGGTGGGGGAAGCGACTGGGTAAGTGATGCTGTAGATGGCGCCGTCTGGTGTTTGCTTAGCAGCCGCGTTGAGTGGGAAGATTCGCCTACCTGCTATACATATTGAGCTGTTCAGGTCAAAAGAGAACAGCAGTATGATGCAGTTTGTTATCAATGTTGCAAGGGTTCGTTGGTATTCTATATTAAAGACTGCTCAAAACTGTATACCGAGTTAGGTAATTCAAGGGCTGGGGGAGAAAGGTTCGGCTGGCAATTACTAGGTAGGTGGGTATAGTCGTAAGAAGTACCGCTGAAATCAAACACGGGAAGAATATTTGAATTCGCTGCTTCTTTCTTCTGTCTTCCAAACTCCTCAAGTACAGGCAAAAACGTGGCGCCGGCATTCCCTAGAAAGGCGGAGGGAGGACCCTCTCCCGCCAGTTGCAAGTGCTTCGCCATAGCAACCGCTCTGCCATGGTTGTAAATTAGCATAGTCTCTCCGATAGATATTGTCATCAAAGAAGCGAAGTTCACTTACCGCCGACAGACCAATGACGCGAGAACCACTTGAGGTTCTCTCGCAGCTGCTTAAAGTCTTCGGGCGCGGACCCGTTGGGGCAGATCTCGTCCAGGTCTACTGCCGCACGATAGAGGCAGCCCAGCCCGGAAAAGCACAACCTATGGGCGTGCGAGCCCTTCCTCTTCTTGATGAGGGCGCCTTCGACTCGGCACATCTCGAACGCTATGTTATAGGCGAACTTGATGTCGATGTCGAGCTTCGCATCAGCAGTAGACCTGAATTTCCTGATTCTCTCCTTATAAAGTGACACGACAGCACTGGTTTTCCAGTTAGCATGGATCGCTCCTCGGAAGATGTGGGAGACGCAGAAAACGCACCTCAAAGCCATGGCCATGCCTTCGCACACGGGGTAAATGTCCTTGTTGTCAGTAGTTTCCGCATGCTGACGAACGAGATGGTGGAGGAGTTTTTCCACTGCCGCGCAGGCTGAAGCATCGGGATCGTCATGGCCAGCCGTTATAGCTTCGCCGATGCAGAGCGCTGCGTATACTCTCGCCTGAAACTTGGTCTCCGTGTTCATTACGGCATACTCGACTTGGGTCACGAAGGGAATGACATCTTCCGGCAGAAGCCCTCTGGTCGGAATGAGCAGGGCAACTTCGCCGTTCGGACAAGAGAGGACAATGGCTCTACCACACCTGATTAGAAGAGCACTTGAGAAGCAAACGAGAAGAGAAAGATCAGCTTGTGGCAAGGGGAGACCAACCGATCTAAAAAGACGATAGCAGCCCAGCACAGATTTCGCTTGCAATCATAAGAGGGCTGCCCCGTGGAACAGTTTCGCCAAGCAGACATGTCCAGCTGCCGCATGAGGCCAAAGCACGTTGCCAAGGTCGAACTGGCTTCGACGGCCATCCCATGCCCACACTCATACGTCGTCAACAGCAGACCAGCCTGTAGTTTCGCGAGTAGGTGGGAGGCATTCGCCGTGTCGACGAGAGTGAACAGCCGCCTCGTTGTCCGGTAGAGCGTGCTGTGGGGGCTATGATTCGGATGGCGGCAGTGGTGGTTCACCATGCCCATGCATAGGAGCAGCAATGCCAAGGCGTCGTCTCTAGGTCGCGCATAGCCTTGCAGAGATATGCTCTTCAGCTCGGCCGTAATCCATGCTTCGTTTACAATGGGTATCCATTCGTGGACTTTGGCAAAGTACTCAGCCGCAACCTGCTCGGTGGTAGTTCCGCCATAGGAGAAGATGTCCTTGACGAGTCCCATCAGAGTTCTGGAATTAAACTCAGGGCCCCATGGTATTCCTTCAGTCTGACATGCAGTCCACAAGAGCTGCTTCTCGCCCGCGGAAGTCAGCTCGAGGCCGCACAAGAAGCGACTGACGGCAAGGGGCTCGCTCCACTTGAGCTCCGTCTCTGGCTCTACCGTCTCGATCGGGCTGTTGTCGTCATACTCGCATCTGTTCCATTTACTGTGGCGGCTCGGACAGATCCAGAATCAGCATCCTATCCAGCCTCTCGTATCAACGGCAGTGGCGTGTCTGTCATCCACTAATTCACTTACGAGGAGCATGTCGAGCAACTGGGCAATTTCTTGTCGCATCTCCGCTTGTGGAGACGACAGTGACGACAAGCCTTGGGAGCCTTGTTCTCGAACAACCTCTCTGGTGGCATCGTGGACGAAGCTTTTGCTTACGGAGTAGATACAACAGATTGTGGTGTTGTCGAGGCTGTCTGCATGTAAGTACAGTGAGAGGTAAGTAATAGGTGACAAGGATGGGTTCGGTTAAAGAGAGGGTCTCAGGTCTAAAGGCGTATCGTCCAGAGTCCTCTTTTGTCCCTTGATTGCTAAGCTTAAACCGAGCTAGACCTGACAAGCTGCGGCCGCCCCCCTGTTCTCTGCTGTACGACTATGCCTGATCGAGGAGGGTCGGCCACTGCGGATTGGCTACCGCACACGGCGAGGTGCAGAAGTGGTCGCGCCGCTCCCTTCAATGCGTCAGCCATCGGCCGCCACCCTGCCGGGCTGTTGCATCCGTTGCCGTCAGCTTCTCCACGGCTTCGGTGGATAGAGACAGCTTCGTGCTCTTGTTGGGCACTCTCTGCGACGTTGTGAGATCGGATTGTCGATTGACGCAGCGTTCCAAAGCAGCGGAATCCTTTGAAGCTGGTATCTATCATGATTTCTAATCCGTATTCTGGGACGATGTGTAATAGGTGGCCAGAGGGACACTGAGTCGAGGCCCATTGCTTTGTGGTTTACTATATAATGGGCATCAGGGCACCCAAGGCTTCCTTCTGTTCAGCAGAAGATAACAATACGAACAATCGAAGCTTTTCCATTGTTACATCTTTCAGCCCTCAAAACCTTCCTGCTGCTGTCGAATAAGCTGACGCCCACCATGCCGGAGATTGGAAGCTTTCCCACGTATACCAAGCAGTATCACCATGAGCCGTATGCGGCAATCTCCCCTACCCGTCCCGAGCTCTCTACTCAGGGGAAAAATGTTGTCATCACTGGTGGCGGAGGCGAGATTGGGGCTGCCATGGCTCTGAGCTTCGCCCAGTCTGGTGCTTCGAGCATCGCTCTGCTGGGACGAACAGAAGCCGCCTTGTTGAAAAGCAAGAAGGCTGTCAACGCTGCATACCCTGCCACAGACGTCCACATCATCCGAGCTGACGTCGCTGACGAAGCATCTGTGCGAGCCGCACTGGAGAAGTTTGCGTCCGTAGCTGGGAGGAAGCTCGACATTCTCGTGGCCAACGCCAGTGTTCTCCCTGACCCTGGGACGGTGCTGGCATCCGATGCGTCTCAGTGGTGGTCCGGATTCGAGATCAACGTGCGAGGGCAATTCAACCTCGTCCGGGCTTTTGTGCCTCTGGCCGAGAAGAATGCGACGCTCATCAACGTGACGAGTTCAGTTGCCCAGTTCCCCTTTGTTCCGGGCTCTAGCAGCTACCACGGCTCCAAGCTGGCCGCTGTCAAGATCTTTGACTACCTGCATTTCGAGAACCCGGAGCTGAGGGTGCTGCAGTTTCATCCTGGCGTGGTGCAGAGCAGCATGTCGCAGAAGTCGTTTGATTCGGGGATTCCACGGCCTACAATGGACGATGGTGAGTGCCACGACCCTTGGATAACACTTGAACAGACGGATGTCGAACTGACACTGGTGAATAGCTTTCCTCCCTGGCAACTTTGCAGTTTGGTGTGCCAGCCCCGAGTCGGAGAGTCTTCGAGGCCGGTTTCTGTGGGCGAACTGGGATGTCGAGGAGCTCAAGGAAAAGGCGAGCGAGTTTGAGGGCGGTTCGCAGCTGACCATGGGTCTGGTTGGATGGCCGTAGATTCTCGGGAGAGGAGATTTGAACTGTTAGGCCAGTATGGATATAGACGTGAGCGAGGTTCTGACGGATGTGTATCTTTTCGATAGATTGTTGGTGTCTTGTTCAACCATTTGCCAAATACTATCTAGAGTTGATCATGGATTCAAATTGACGCCCTACTAGTATACACTGAATTGTACGGAGTGGTCACATTACGTACATGTAGTCACTTTGCACCGTGGACCTAACCTTGACTGTTCGGCCACTGAATTCCAGCATCTGCATCCGCTGTAGTAGCTACCAGTGCCCTCTGTGCATGCCCTGTAGACGCCAGACGCACTCAAGGCTTAGGTAACATGGAACCTGAATGAGAAACGCGCACCTCCATCTTCGACAACATAAACCGTAACTCAAAAATCTCCGACCATTCAAATCCCTTCCACCATATCAGGGCACATGCCTCATCGCGCCGCCACCACGCGCCTTTTCGCAATTACTCCATCGAGCTGAACAAGCTTCGTTCCTTGCACTATGATTCGAGATTTAAACCTGCGGGGATGCGGCCGCACCCCCGTCAAGCCCCCCGCCGCTATTGGAGCTTCTCCACAGCGGTGGAGAGCACCTAAAAGGCCCGGCCCCTCATACTGCTTATTTTGAGGAGTTGGACGAGGTTGAAAGACGAATGAGAAGCATTCAGGTCCTTTCTCTGTGGCCGGACATCAACGTTGTCATTATTAATGCTCTCTGCCACGGCCGATTTCAAAGCATGCTCGCGGAGTTGTGTCCGCTGCAGCACATACACTCCAGTTCCAGTCGGTGCGGTGCCGGCAGTTGAAATCGATGCTTACCGGGGAGCTACCAAGGGTCTCAGGATACATATTTATCCAGCCTGCTATCAAAAATAAATCATACTTTCCTCTGCTAACTACCTGCTGGATGGTTATTCCACAACTTCGATAAGCTAGAAATTCCCCCTACCGAGAGAATCTTCTGTGACCGCCAAAATAGGTAGCCATCTCTCGGCTCGACCCTCAGAAAAGAGCTATGGCAGATCAGAATGTCCCGCAGACGCGGAGAGCCCTTCGACGAATCGGCCCTCGAGAAGCCAAGTTTTTCGACGAAGCCATTCCTTCTAGAGGCTCATCCGATGTACTGATCCGGGTGCGCGCTGTTTCTCTCAACTACAAGGATGTGGCTATGCTGGACGACAATTTCCCATGGCCAGTTCCAACCAATATCATCATGGGCGCGGATGTTGCAGGCGAGGTTGCTTGGGTCGGCGAAAAGGTGGCCAAATTCAAGGTAAGTGCCCCTGGAGGACATACTCGGCTAATGACGGCCACTTATACTCTTTGTCATCTAGATTGGGGACAGAGTTGTTGCTATTCACAACTTGGAAAACATCACTGGACGGGAAGTGACAGCCAGAGGTATGATAACTGCCAGCGAGCTTGAGCATGCTTCGAATAATCATTGATACATAAGTGTTACGGGCCAGCCCCGGGTCAGGACGTTGACGGAACCTTGGCTACCTACGTGGTATTCCCGGAGGTCGAACTCGTGAAGTTTCCCGACAACTTGACATGGGCTGAGGTAAGCTTCTCCTCACTCCTCTGAGACCAACCCTGACGGTTCTTGTGAACCCAGGCCAGTATTGTGCCCTGCGCCGGTGTCACTGCTTGGTCAGCCTTGAACATGAGGACGAATAACCTGTGGGGGAAGACGGTGCTTGTCCAAGGTGAGTCGAGCCTGTTGGTCTCACGTACAGACGTAGATTACTGACATGGGAGGCAGGCACTGGAGGCGTGAGCATCATAGCGCTCAGCCTTGCTGCCAAAGCTGGCGCCACTGTCATTGCTACATCTTCGTCCGATGCCAAGCTGGAACGAGCAAGACAGCTCGGCGCTTCCCATGTCATCAACTACAAGCAGAATCCCAACTGGGAGCAGCAAGTGTTGGACCTCACTGGAGGCCTCGGAGTTGACATCGTCATCGAACAGGGAGGAGCGCAAACGCTGCTGCAGAGCGTACAGTCAGTGAAGCGAGAGGGTCAGATTTCGCAAGTCGGATTCCTATCTGGAAACGGCCTGGGGGACATGTTTCTCCTGGTTCAGCTGCTCATTATCAAGAAATGCAGCATTGTGTAAGTCACACTCGGGACCCTTTTTCTCTGCTCGACTTGACATGAAGCTAACATTTCCTACCCCCTTGAAGTGGCATCCAGGTCGGGTCAAAGGGCGATCTGGAAGATTTGGTGAACTTTCTTAAACAGCCGCATTTTAAGCTCGAGGCATGCATCGATCGAGTATTTAGCTTTGACAAGTCATTGGAAGCGTTGGACTATATGCGAAAGGGGGGTGCATTCGGGAAAATAGTTATTGAGTTTTGACGCGGGGGAGGAAATATGCGCACAACTTCGACCAGGCCGAACAACCCTCTGGGAGAGGAGGACAAAACGCAAGCATGCTTAGGTCTGGATTGGTGTTGAAGATGTTCCTTAAAAGCAAAGCAGATTGGTATAGTTTGATGAGCAACAAGACAGGCTTGCTAAAATGCAGTACATACATATGGTGTCTGTGCAATGCAAATGTACAATACTGCCAGTACACATAAAAGACGCAGTGTCATGGATTCACCGTTTTGGCTTTTTCTTTCCCCTCTTTCTTTTGACCAGGCCCGGATCTTAGAAGCCCTCCCCTTAATCCTTCTTGCAAGCAACAAAGTCGTCGCCGCTGGCTCCGGTGTGGGTGATGACAGAGTCGAAGTTGCCCTTGGAGTCGAAAATGACTCGGTCGGGTCCGGGGCTGCCGCCGGTGTAGACGTCGAAGGAGGACAGAATGGGGAATTCGTACCAAGGGGAAGCGGTAGGGAACTTGAAGCCCTCGTAGTCGTTGTACTGGTGAGGGTAGGAGTCTGGGGATTTGTTGTTAGCACGTGCGTCGAGGTCCTCTCCTCCGCAACACCGTCACCACACCATGGCTTGTGCCACAAGGAAGCAAACTCGAACGAACCTTCGTCATCACCAGACTTGTACAGGCTGTATCCCTTGGATAGAGCAGCGTCAATGTCGGACTGCCAGTAGCAGACAGAGCCGCAAGTGTACACGCAAGCAGCGCGCTTGTCGACCAGGGTGCTGTCGATGGCAGCGGCAGAGGCGCTGGCGACGAAGCCGACGACGGCGGCAACAGACTGCGTTGGCGGAGAGTCAGCAAGGTGTGCGTGTGTAAGTGTGAACGGTTGGAGTGCAACGCCTAGAAGCTGCAGATGACGTACCTTGAAGCTGACCATTTTGAAGACGGGGTGAGAGTCTGGTGGGAAAGAGGAAGCTGAAGACGAGAACCGGGCTTGGCTGAAGGACGAGGGACGAAGGACCACGATATGCCGGGGACGTCACAGACATGAACCGATCCTTATATATCCGTCGATCTGGACTGGATCGCCGTTTGGTTTCATCAACGGTATCCTCCAGATCCAGATCCCACAAGCTCCGTCTTCCCCTGTTGGGCAGGTCTAAGCTCTCAATCTCTTCCCGCCCGCTCCTCCACGGCCCCTCATCCTAAAAGACGATCCTCCGCAGCCCATCACCGACGGCTGTCCTCCACAGCTCCTCTCCACATCTGCGTAGGTACTGCATACCATCCAGAGTTACAGTACAAGCGACCTTCGCCTGGATGCAATCACGCTTGGCGACTGGCCCCCGTGGTCTCCACGCCACGTTTTACCAGGCCATCGCTCTCCCTCCACGTGAAGACTTCAGTGGTCGGAACAAACGTCCCCTTGGTGCCAGGGGACCTTCTTGATCGAGCTCGGTGTTCTGATAGGCCTAGGCGGGAAGGCGGTCTGTGGGACGGAATTCCGGCATCGTGAGGGTTCCAGTTTATTTTGCTCCCTTGCTGCCGTGATGGAGAGGGGCTCCGGCTATCTGAAGTGTAGCAAGTACTAGTATTTGAACTGCGCGCGAAAGGCGACCATCGCCTGGAACTTCGTCATTCGGTGTCTGCCGGCAACTGCACGGAGCTCCCCGTCTAATATAATGGTGATGGTGACACAAGTCCCTCGCCTGATTCCAATAATCGCAAAAGGCCCGGTCCAATGGGGGAAACGCTCTGAGTGTCTCGCCAAAAGCCGCGCATCTCAGCTGTTTCACATCGGGAAGGCCATGGGAGCAATCTTTCGCTATCATTGGGTGCCATTTGCGGGTTAACGGCTGTCCGATCGTCCAGTGCTAGCCTGCCGCTACCGGACAATAACCATAACGAGAAGGTAATAAAAGTGGCCGTGGTTCCGTGATGGTGTTTGGGGGTCTGTATTTCGTATGGATGAAGCTGCTGGAGCTGTGTGGGCTTTCACGAGCAGCGCTTTACTTGACTGGGGTAGGATTGCCGCCCAGCAGAAGTCGGAGGTTTATTAGCGATTGGCCTGGAGCCTTATCACCTTATCAATCTGCAAGTCTGGAGCTGACGTAACGATCTCGCTTGACTTCGATATCTTGGGGCTTGAAGGAAGTCTTGGCTGCAGGACGCAGAGGGAAGAAGGTTCTCGATACCATTTACAAATTAATTACTAGTAGTGGGATTCAGAGGAACGGAAAGAGGCCTCACTGACGATAATAGTTGACTTGTGTTCAAGTACTGTTCTTTAGTTCATAGCCGGGCCTGAAATTGACGGCGGCATTAATCCACAAACTGCTTTAGTGGGTCACCCCTGCTCCTCTATGCTATGGCTGTGTTGAGTCCAGTTACAGACCACATGCTGCTGAAAGGATGCATTGAATATTAGGACAAGGGCAGATGATATAACCGAATGTCAACGCAGTTTTTCACGTGCTTTCTTACGCCCAGCCTGGTTTTCGAGATAGGGTAGTCTCTTGAGTTTCAGCTTGGCAACAGCCGTTGATTGATACTTGCACAAGACAAGGCAGGAACTGCTGGTTGAATCCTCGCTTGCTAATCGATACACTATTCATCTACTCTACTGCCTCTCACCATCGCCTGTGATTCATCAATCCTCTTCCTATAGGCAAGATTACAACACTTCCTTTACTCCATGACAACGACATACTTTTCCCTAGTCGCCTTCTTCATCAACTTCCCATATGCATCCAGAGCTTGATCGAGTGGCACCGGCGTCCACTTGCCGTCAGGCTTCAGCTTTCCAGACTCGAACAGGCCCGTGATGGCATTCAGTCGCCGTGCCATTTCCTTTGCCGAAGGGTTCAGCGAGTTGCACCCGAAGAGACTCAAGTCAGCACGGTAAAAGTAACGCATGTCGATGGTGAGGTCTCCGGCGCCCGACTTGGGCGCGGAAATAAAGGCCAGGCGGCCACCTTTGGCCAGCTTCTTCAGTCCATTAACCGTCAGAGTAGGAGATCCGACAGTATCCAAAACGACGTCCACTCCCTTGCCATCCGTCAAAGCATCCAGGGCATGCAGCTCAGGGTCCTTGTCCGTGTTCACTTCGCCAGACTCGTCTCGAGTCGCCCTGATGACTCTCGCGCCGATATTCTGGGCGAGCTGGCTGGCAGCTGATCCAACGGCTCCATTGGCGCCTATGACAAGGACTGTGTCGGACTCTGTGACGGCCGCCCTCTCGATCATTTGCGAAGCTGTCGTGAATGGAACGCCCACAGTGGCCGCCTCAGCAAACGTCAAGTTCTTCGGCTTCAAAGCAACCTCATCCTCTTGTATCAGGGTATATTCTGCCTGGAATCCGTCCTTGGTAAAGGCGTACGCGTGCCCGCTGGTGCCGTAAACCTCTTTTCCCACAAGCTCGCGAGGCCCTTCTTCTACAACGCCCGCATAGTCCCTCCCAACAACGCGAGGATACTGCGTGTACGGGAAAGTGCCCGAAGCGTTGCCAACGTCGCTTGGGTGAATTGCTGAGGCGTGGACTCTGACGAGAACGTGATTCGGTATGAGGGCTGGCTTTGGCAGCTCATTCAAGGCCAGACGAGCGGCCTCGCTGGCGGTCTCACGGAGCACTTGAAGAGCTTTCATTGTGCCTGAAGTATGTGGTGAGCTTGATGGTTGCTTGGCGTCTCTCCTTGGTTGTTCGTTTCGAGGCTTCTATCCGTATCTTGGAGAAAGAGGGTCGAGATCGGTATAAGCTGACTTAGGGCTATCTTCCTAGTTTAGATCTGGTTGCGATTGATGACTTGCGATAGATGGCTTGCGGTAGCTTCCGAGGACACCCGCCCTTTATATGCAAACATCCGTCCTTCGATCCTCCTTACGGCCGATATACCACAGGAACCACCAGTTCACCAGAGGCAAAGGCGATGAAGTCGTTGCCAGGGACTCAAAGCGGCAATCCTTCACGACGGATAATGCGGGTCCTGCGGCCGATGCGGCTAGTGCGGTTCGTGCGGAAGAATTACTCAGGAGACGGATTCCGAGCGGGCCAAGCCAGTAGGGCGGATGGATTCCACTGATTGTTTGGTCAGCTATTTCTCAGCATGCATGACGAAAGGGTCGTGGTATAAACTGCGTGGATCCTGAATTCTGCTTCTCCTGAAAAAAACTGAACAGGCAAAAACTTTGCTTTGCAATGTATGACTTTGCAGCAATTGCTTCAGATTCGCCCAGTTCCGCTGTCGCCCAGCCTCAGTGACGGAAGAAACCGCCGGAATGGCCTCCGATTCGAGACGCGCCGACGGCGATGACGGCGTTTTAGCCTCCTCCGGCTATGCACCAAACGAGCACCCGGACCACCATCAGCCGGGATCGCTAGACGACAAATCCTCCGTAGCATCGCGGCGTGACGAGGAGGCACACAGGGACACCGATCAGGATTCGCAGCTCTCAACCTCGCAGACGGCCACATCCAACCATCTCGCACTCGCACTCACTCCCAGCAGCGTCCCGCCTCCGCAGTCTCTGGCCGTCGAGATCCCCTTCATCTTCACTCTATGCCTGGCTCAGCTGCTGGCCCAGGCCGGACTGGCTCAGTGCATTGCTCCGTTGCACATCATCGGAAACAGCTTCGGCACGCAAGATGCAGGGCAGCTGAGCTGGATGCCTGCGGCCTACAGTCTCACCGTGGGCACCTTTATCCTCATTGCAGGCCGGTTGGGTGACCTCTTTGGCCACAAGACCATCTTCATCATCGGCTTCACTTGGTATGGCCTCTGGAGTGTGGTGGCCGGCGTGAGCGTCTGGTCCAGGTCCATCATCTTCTTCGACGTGTGCAGAGCCTTCCAGGGCATGGGCCCTGCTTTTGCCGTGCCGTCAGCGGTGGCCATCATCGGCCGCACATACCCTCCCGGCAGGAGAAAGGCGATGATATTTAGCTTGTTTGGTGCCACTGCCCCCGGAGGATTCGTTGTCGGTGCCGTCTTTGCGTCGCTCTTTGCCCAGTTCGTCTGGTGGCCTTGGGCATACTTTGTCATGGCCATGGTCTGCGCCCTCGTGGCAACTGCTGGCTTTCTCGTTATCCCAGCAACTCCCGGCGCCGCAACCCTACGCTCGCAGGCACCGCTCTGGAAGATTATCGATGTCCCCGGTGCTGCCGCAGGCGTCACGGGGTTGGTTCTGATCAATTTTGCTTGGAATCAAGCCCCTGTGGTGGGATGGAGCACTCCATACGTCTATGTGCTCCTCATTATCGGCTTCCTCTTCCTAGGTCTTTTTGCTTTCATCGAATCACGAGCGACTTATCCTCTCCTACCGACGAAGCTGTTCAACGGCCATCTGGGCTTCGTGCTTGCTTGCATAGCTGCCGGATGGTCCAGCTTCGGCATTTGGCTGCTCTACCTGTGGCAAATCGTGGAAGAAATCAGGGGATATAGTCCTCTCCAGGGCAGTGCCCAGTTTAGTGCGGCGGCCGTTTCAGGGGCTTGTGCTGCTTTTACGAGTGGCCTCATTCTCGGAAAGCTGCGGCCGAGCTTTGTCATGTTCATGGCGATGACGGCGTTCACTGTCGGGGGGATCCTGGTAGCGACGGTGCCTGCTCATCAAGTATACTGGGCTCAGACTTTTGTTTCCGTCCTCGTTATGCCTTGGGGGATGTGAGTCTTATCTTGGCTCTTTCCTTCGATACACTGCGTCTTCACTTGCTAACCATATGATTATAGGGATATGTCTTTCCCAGCCGCGACCATCATCCTCAGCGAGGCTCTGCCGAAAGAACACCAAGGCCTTGCCGCATCTCTCGTCAACACCGTCATCAACTACTCCATCTCCATAGGCCTCGGCATAGCAGGCACCGTGCAATCACAAATCAGCCCCGGAAAATCCGAGCAAGAGATTCTGAAGGGCTGCAGAAGCGCCTTCTACGTGGGTATTGGCCTCAGCGGCCTCGGCATGGTGGTAGCAACGCTCTTCATCCTCGACGAGCACCGGAGGCATCTCCGGCAACGTCGAAGCGGGGAGAAGCACAATCACGAGAGTACGACTACGAATGTATAAACGTCTTCTTTTGCATATGGGTATTGCGAAAGACATATAGACTGGCAGTTTTACGACTAAACGGGTATCACGGGGTTGCATGGGAAAACTGAGCATGCCATGATTCAAGCAGCATCTCTTGTAAGACACGGTTAGATTTGATAATCATAGATAATACATTAATTTATTATAACATTATACCATTATAATTATGCTTTCAGTTTCATGATTCGTAACAGCATCACGTCTACAGAGTGAAGTACGAAATAAGGCCAAAGATTCCAGCGTAGCCCATGAAATACAGAGCTCCCATCTCGTGGTATCTTCCGATCGCGGCCGATGTCGTCGTTGCAGCCGCTTGAGACTGCGTGCCTGTCGCCGGGACAATTTTTGTTCTTGTCCCTGTCGCCGTAGATGAGGAAGCGGAAGAAGAAGAAGAGTTCGCAGCGTCTTGACGAGAAGAGGAGGAGCTGGAATCGGAGCTGGAATCCGTCGTCGGGGTTGCCTCAGCGCTGCCGAACGTAGCAGAACGAGCAGTATCAGTAGCAGCAGAACCGGAAGTAGTGGTTGCGGAAACGCCGCTGGTGAGCGGAGGGCAGCCAACAGGCTTCGTCGAGGTAAACGGCGAAGGAAACGTCGCGCCAAAGGAGATGACGGACCGCACGGGCGCCTTGAACTCGCCGCAGGACAGCGCAAACATGAGAAAGTCGCCGCCCCAGCCCGCCTGGCACGAGCCGTTGCCGTAGTCGCCGTAGTTTGCGTTGGGGATCCAGTTGGCGACGCCGTCGGTGCAGGCGCAGTCCTGGAAGAAGAGCAGCGAGGGCCGGCTGCCGTCGGGGCAGTACGGCTTCTGGTCGACGCGGAAGCTCCTCGTCAGCTGGCCGAGCGGCGACGCCACCATGCAGACGTCGAGGGGGATGGGCGCCGTCTCGGCCTTGATGAGGTCTTGGCACTTGTCGTCGGAGAAGAAGTCGAGGCTGCCGCCGCGGGAACCGGTCGCGGAGGCGCCGAGACCAAGGCCGAGGACGAGGACGGCGAGGGCCTTGGCGATGGAGGCCATTTCGGGCTGTGGGTGAGAGGAGTTGTGTGAGATAAAGAGTGACAGGAACGGGGGCTGGAGCTGATGCTGATGCTGAGCAAGCTACCGCCCGAGTCCGGATTTTGGAGCGAATGATCTGTAGAAACGAGCGTGGGGGAGAGTTGTTGCTAGGTGAAAGATCAGAAACGCGTGAGATTCATTCAGCCGCGAAGAAATTTCGTGTCGTCTCACGATCCCGCTGGAAGCAGGCCGGCCGGCCTCGTAAAAACGGAGCAAAAGCGACGCTGCAGCCTAGTCATGTTGCGGAAGTCGGTTGATGAATCTGTCTAAACCGTTGTGAGCTCGTCCTCCTGGCTCCCGAACAGGAGAGTCCCCTGTCATGATTCGGTATTCTAGCCATTTGAAGGTTAGCGAGATCCGCAGACTCGGGAGCCAAGATGTGGAGGATCTTCCATCGGATTTGATCTCATGATGCACTGGATTGGCGTGTGCTGCGAAGTCAAAGAGGGCTGAGAGTTGTTCGTTTATTACTGACAGATGTTCTCTGTAAAAACATGGGGTTGATTGCTGGGACAAGCATCTCGGGAGTCTAGACATCTTGGGCTAGAGTCTTGTCATGGGATCTGCTGCGCTGCATCGAGGGGATCACCTCGAGTAATTGACTGTCTGACGTATAAATGAGACTCAGAGTCCAAGTCTTTTCAAAATGTTCTTGTATGATCAAGGACAGAGACTTCAAATTGTCATGGCGGGCACATTTCGAAAAGTCGTCAAGGCTACATTCCTCGTCACCAAGAAGGAGGGACTCAGTGACGAGGAGTTCCGGCAGCATTACACCGATATTCACGCCCCCATGGCTCTCGGGGTCTGCAAGCGACACGGCGTTCTTGATTACTCAATTGTAAGGCTCCGAATATCCCAATCTTCCTGTTCAACGGACAGAGAAATAATGGCTGTTGAGGAGATGGAGCCCCGCGGCTGACTTTCGCTAGCACTTCAACACCGAGGCTGAGAAGGAAGTAGCCCGTGCTGCTCTTGGGGGAAACGCCAACTTTATTGACTGTGATGCCATCACAACGTTCGTCTTCCCAGACATGCAATCTCTCATTGCAGCGTTTGCGGATCCAGAATATGAGGCACGGCTGGGTCCAGACGAGGCAACGTTCTCCGATCGGCTGAAATCGCGGTTCGCCGTGAGCGATGAATTCTCGGTGCTTGTGAACGGACAGGAGCAGACCAAATGAGATGCCGAGCTCCTCGGATATTTTGAAGGCTTTGCTTAGTTTGATGAAGGTCATGTCTTACACCAGCTCGGAGTGAGTGGTGAGTTGGCGAGGAATGAAGACTCCATATCGGGGTTTTCGGAGTAGGAAACCACGAGATAGACCGCTTTTTACCGAACGAACAACCCTTATTAAATGCTGACTGATGTTGATTCTGTCCAAATGATGACCTGATAAGACCTCTGATACAGATGGTTCTGAATAGTGCCTAGGCAGTCTTAGATCTGTATTGTGTCATCCTGTGTATTTGCTTCGCTTTCTCCAAACTCTGTGGAACAGCTGTTAAGCAACATACTATCCGTATTCGGCAAACTCTGAACTAGTTTGAAGGTGGCTAAGGATTGACACAACTGTATATGCTCTATTGTCCAGAGATCCTCTGGGTGGTAAGCACATAGAGCATCACATCGGGCGTCGACCGCGATTTGTCGTAAGCCTTCATTTCAATGATTCCTCGGCTCAAAGTATTAGTATAATCTAGTCAGATCTTATATACTTTTAGTGATAAGAGCTGATGTACGTAATCTTACTTGATTGGTAGCTTTGTTGCTGGTTGTCATCTCGTACAAGAGTGCCGCTTCGGTCATGTCTTACGGCTCGGCTTACTTCTGCCGAGGAACACTAGCAACTCCTGAGCTACGGGTATCTGACGGGAGTTTAAGTTGATTTGCAACTCAAAGAAGCTTCATCCTGCCGCTGTGTAAGACGTTCGCGCGTAAGGAATCAGCACGAGGCTTCAAGCTTTCAGCCTTCAGACTGTCTAATCAGGGTCGGAGTGATCGGCCTTATGGCGTCGGTATCGGTATATAGTGGAGTTTTGGAGATTTGGCTGACCCGGACAGCCGTCGATGAGAGAGTGTGAAATAGTATATAAGTGAGAGCTTCGAACGATGGAAGAGAGGTATTGGATAGTTTGTCTAAATTGTTCCATGACGTGAGATTGAACCTCTTCTTCATTTACTGTGGTAATACCTGATCATCTACGCGGTGCCTGCATCAAAGTCATAATGGCGAATCCAGGCCTAGAAGACCAAGGCACCATCGACCTTGCAGAGTACATCTTGAGAAGATTGATCCAGCTCGGCGTTGGAACTGTTCACGGCGTTCCTGGAGATTACAACCTCACCATCCTCGACTACATCAAGCCTCTGGGCCTTACCTGGGCCGGCAATGCAAACGAGCTCAACGCAGGATACGCTTCCGATGGTTATGGAAGAATCAAGGGGATCGCAGCCATGATAACCTCCTTTGGCGTGGGAGAGCTCTCTGCTATCAATGCCATCGGAGGTGCCTTCGCTGAGAAGTCTCCCGTCGTGCACCTTGTTGGAACTGCCCCCCAGTCAGCTCAGAAGACCAAGGCCTGTGTGCATCACACCCTGGGCAATGGTGACTACAGAGCCTTTCCAGAGATGAACAAGTACGTGACTGTGGCTCAAGCAAACCTTACCGACGCCGAGTCAGCCCCGGGTCTGGTCGACGCAGCCCTCAAGGCTTGCATCTTGCACAGTCAGCCGGTATACATCCAGCTCCCAACCAACCTGGTCAAGGCTCAGGTGCGGGCTCCCACGACGCCCATTGATCTTTCACATCCCGGATACGACGAAGGATACGAAAACAAGGTGCTGGATGCCCTTGTTGAGAAACTTCAGAGCGCCAAAAAGCCAGTGATTCTCATGGACGGTTTGACCGCCCGCTTCCACATCAACGAGGTGATCAACGAGTTCGTACGGAAGACTGGCTTCCCTACACTATCCACACCATTCGGAAAAGGCATCGTCAACGAAAATCTGCCCAACTATCAGGGCAGCTATGATGGCGCCGTTGGAGACGAATCCACCAAGCAGCAAATTGACGACGCAGACCTCATACTGAACTTCGGGCCGTTGTACTCGGATGTAAATGCAATCGGCTTCAGCGCTGTGCCCAGGGCGGATGTCACAGTCGTCTTTGAGACTCACGCTGTCAAGTTTGGCCCGGAGCCGGCCGACCCCAAAGGCCGTGCCATCCAGATCAAGTCCTTCATGACGAAGCTGCTCAAGCGCCTCGAGACCACGCAGCTACCCAAGATCCAGCCATTCACCAGGGGCGCTTCTGTCTCGCCGAATCTGCTGAAAGCCCTCAAACCGGCTGCGGATGGCGATCCCCTCAAGCAGGACGAATTCTGGTTGCGCATGTCCAAGTATCTCAAGCCCGGAGACCTTCTCCTCACAGAGGCAGGGACGAGCTTTGCGGGCGCGAATACGTTCATTCTCCCGGAAAACACCATCCTTCTGAACTCTTGCCTATGGCTTTCCATCGGCTATACGCTTCCCGCCCTGCAGGGAAGCGCTCTGGCTCAACGAGAACTGCGCAAGGAGGGCCACAAGGAAGGCACTCGCTCATCGGGTCGAGCCATCCTCTTTATAGGTGATGGGAGCCTTCAAATGTCCGTCCAGGGAATCAGCGACATCATCCGGAACAGGATTGATGCTACCATTGTCGTCATAAACAATGACGGCTACACGGTCGAGCGAGTCCTTCACGGCTTTGAGGAGAGCTACAACGAAATTCAGCCCTGGAGGAACACTCTGGCCCCAGCCTTCTTCGGCGCGCCGGAGAATGATCCTAATTACCCCGTGATCACGGCTCAGGTGAGGAACTGGGGAGAGTTGTGGAGTGTGTGGGAACGCAAGGACGTCCAGGCCGGTAAAGGTCTGGCTATGATCGAGATCTTCATGAACTGGGCGGATGCTCCAAAGTTGCTCGTGGAGGTTGCTGCCTATGTAGCCAATAGAAACAAGGCGATGGAGGCATAGATGTATAAGACGAGATGATGTCGGATGAGGCTGAGGGGTCTTCTCGGTCGGCTGCTTTCATTGAAACAAAAAGAGTTCAGTTACTAGCTAGTATATGAGTACCACACATGAGGATGGAAGATGTCATTTCGTGAACTATTGATGACCCTGTACAGCCTCAATTATTGATAAATGTGTATAACCCCAGAGAAGGAGACGTAAGCAATCAATTTACCAAGGTGGGATGCTCGGCCAAACTAGCCCAAAAGTCCATCTCGAGCTCCCAAGACTGCGAATTGATGTACGGATCCCAATTATCAGCAGGGTCAGTACTGAGCAGCTGTTGTGAATCGTTGGCCCCCGAGGGCACCTTCAACGCTGTGAGCGAGTCAAGTAAGCTCTGAATCGTCCTCGTTGCCTGTGAGAAGAGCGCAAAGTTCGGCTCGCCGGGCTGGATCCATGATCCGATAGTGATTTCTGCGACGAGGACGCTTAAGGCTTGAATCATCTTGGATCGAGAGAACTGACGCGAGTCGGGGGCTGTCGAGTTGAGGAGGGCCAGGGAGATGATCCCCGCGGCTGGTAGTCCATACTGAGCCACCTGTTGCGCACATTGCTCTGGTTAGAAAACGGAGAAAATGTGGCAGTGTGATGGGGCAGATATGTTTTTTCTTTACCTTCCAAATGAGACACGTCCCCGAATTTGCCATTCGATCCCGCAAGATAATGGTCTCCACCACAATGGAGAGCATTTCGCACGCAGTCCTCAACAATGCTTCATCAGGTTCGGCCACTTTGCGCTGGGACAGGAAACCAAGGAGAAAGTGCGTATGGAGGTATTCAAGACGAGCTCCGGCTAGGAAATCTCGTGCAAAAGGCCCAAGCGGGCAATCTTTAAGGCTTGTGGTGAGGCGGTAATGAGGGGGCAAATCCTGCCATTGTTGGTCAATCTTCAGACGAAGCTCACTGCAGCACCCACAGATCAGTACAAGTACGGGGGCCTTGGAAGGAGTCTTTGGCAGCAACCAACTTGATGATGCCAGTCTCGCTGGAAACATGGCGCTTGCGAAAAAGCTGGAGTATCTCTTCCTTAATGACCGCAAAAAGCGCAGAGACAAACGTGTCGGAAGTGTAGTTCAAGACTTGTTCACTATGACACTCTTCAACGTCTGCGCTTGTGATCGTGGGAGAGTCCAGGGGGCTGTTGTTCGGCTTCTCTATGCCGCCGTCGTCTTTCCAGAGGCTCGTAAACTTGGTTGGCAGCTGGAAATAGCAAAACTCCTTCATGATGCGTGGGGGACGTCCAAGAAATACGGCGAGGCTCTTGTCGGCTGCGTAGATGCGGGCAAAGCAAGACCTCCGCAGCTCGGCTACGAACAGCGGGATGTCGTAAGAGTCTTGATCAATCTTCTCATGATATCCAAGAGCAAACAGCGAGCTGGCAACATCGCCCATGCGCCGCCATGAGTGGTAGCCTGAATATTGCAATTGTCAGTGGCGGGCGGCCCGAACGATACGCCTGATAGCCATTCAAGATCATTACGTCTACAACTTACTCTGGTCACCGTCAACCTGCGAGTGGACGATGAGATTCTCATACTGCAGAACGAGCTGCAGATCGTTGAGACAGTCCAGGGCAAGGCATGTCTCCAAGCAGCAGTCTCCAATGTAGGTCAAAGCTTTGATTAGCCCGCGACGTCCTTCGTCGCTGTTGTAGAGTGGAGCAAAGGAAGAGGTGTCTAGGGCAGCGCGGCTTGCAGCTGCGAGGAAGATGCCTAGACTCTCCCACCGCAAGTTCCTCCCCGACATCTGCGACAGATAATCGGATGGAGTCGAGTGTCTGTCAACCACAAGCGGTCTGTGAGTATTTTCCAGTAAAACCCTCGCTCTCTGGGCAATCCCAACGCCAACATCGTGAACATTAGCCCCAATAGGAGTTGAGAGCTCTCTCCAGTCAACTGCAGCTTCGGCACACGTCTCAACGAAGGGCTCCGCCAGCGCCAGGTTCACCCCCTTCTTGAGCCAGAACCGTATCAGAGACGCCAGCCTCGAGACCTGCAGCTGATCCAGCAGACTCAGGGCATGGTTGGCTCTGTCAAAGGTTGCCTGGTCGATAAACGTATCTGCTGGAGGGCTGGGGATCGGCTGCTGCATGGACTCGTCGTGCTGGACAGCGGTGACCCCTGAAGGGGCCCGCGAAGACACTTGGTTAAAGATGTTGGCATGACTCACATCGCCAAGATAGCCAGGATTGGGGTATCGACGGAGACGAGACGAAGAAGCGCCGAGGACCTCTGCAATTGGTGAAGTATCCAAGGGGGGAGTGGTCAGAGCGTCTACACGGATCGATTGTCTCGCACTAGAGCCGCAAAGCAGAGCATTCAAGCAGGTCCTGGTCAGCGGCTGAAGATTGGCAAGCCCAGTTTTCGAAGGTCACTCATCACTGCTCACTGCTCACCTCTGCTCTCTCATACGGTCACTGGGACTCTTTCTCCGGAATGGCCGAGCTCGATAGATGCAGAGGTCGATCTGGTCGCGGCTGCGACACCGGGCACAAGTGGGCCGTTCGTGGCCGCAAGCCAGCTTGGCTCGCCGACAAGGTTCACACGCAGCGTGGCGGATGCTCATCTTCCAGAGAGCTGGCAATGAGGTCTGGTGCTTGGAAGAGGAGTCGTCTCGTGAGATGGAGAGAATCATATGGGAGAAGGTGAGCTTACTCCGGTCCGTGTAGTACAAGTAGGAGGAACATGCGGCTCGGAGCATTTCACTCCGACGAGCCGGAGCCCCGATTTCTCCGGCCAGCCCCACCATACGCCGTCTTGAACTTGAGAGACTCTCTCTCTTTCTGGCTGGAGCTTCAACTTCAACTTATCACACAAATTTCGTCGTTTATCATCACACGACTGGCTCATTGAACGCTTAATTTGAACGACAGACTCAGCTGTTGGCCGGATTTCAAATTCATCTTCAATCACTCAAGCAGTCTCTGTTTTCTTCTGCAGCATCAGTGGAGTATCGACACTTTCACTAGCCAACATCTGTGCTTTGTTCCAACTGCCAACTCTCAACCGTTGGCTGCTCCACAGCGTTGCACTAAAACACGCGGGCGAAAGCGGCAAAGGCGCATTGTCATGGAGAGAATAGCCCATTGTCCTATTCATAGGTCTTGTTGGTGACTTGCGACTATTTGCCGGCACAGTGGCTGCTCGCTGTTGGGCTATTTGTCAATTCGCCTCCTCGATTGAAGCTGGGTATTGGAGCAGCAGCCAGCACGATGGTGGCCGTATGGACGTTACAGCTCCGCTGCCCTGTCTACGTTGTTCCACATGGGCCACTTGGGCAAGTTATAAAGCGACGAATCCTCCGGGATATTCAGACGGTGTGTAACAGCGGTATCCATCATCATCATCCTTCAGAAGACCAGGCAGAACCTCAAAGCAGAACCTGACAAGATGGGCAGTCTCTCCAGAGAAGTCGACGAATGGATTCAGGAGCCCAACCTCCATCCCAAGAGGAGGCCACTCACCGCTGCTCAACGAGGAGTAGCGGCAGCGAGCAGCAGCGATCAATTCAAAACCAAGAGCATCAAGTATAAGCCAAAGGCCCGACGATGGCATCGTGAGTTTCCAGAGGCATAGTGCTCCTATATATGTCCTCATCAGGCTGACCCCGTTCTCTTTTGTTTCTACAGCATACATGAGCACCGAATCCGCCAGTCGAACTGGATCGTCCCTCAAGGCCTCTGTGAAGCATCTCTCAAATCCAAACGTCATCTCCCTGGGAGGTGGTATCCCTTTGAGTGACTTTATCCCGTTCGACGAAGTCATTCTGAGACCTCCTTCTCTCGATAACCTCCGGCAAGGAAAGAAGTCTCCCTCCACATCACGGACAACTCTGCACGCTACTAAGCACGACATTGCCGATGGAACAAGCGTTTACGATCTTTCCGTAGCTTTGAATTATGGCCAAGGCTACGGCTCGGCCCAGTTCATGCGATGGATCACGGAGCACACGGAAATGGTCCACGACCCGCCTTACGCTGACTGGCAATGCTCCATGACGATTGGCAACACATCAGCCCTGGACATGTGCCTGAGGATGCTGACGGAACCCGGGGACTGTGTCCTGGCTGACAAGTACACATTTTCCACCGCCATTGAGACTGCTGTGCCCATAGGAATCAAGTTCATTGGGGTAGACATGGATCGTGAGGGTATGCTTCCCGATAGTCTTGACGAGATACTCGACAACTGGGATCCTGCGGCGCACAAGGGCGCCAGGAAGCCATCAGTTTTATACGCGATTCCGACTGGCCAGAATCCCACCGGCACCACCCAAAGCCTTCGACGCCGCAGGGCGATCTACCGAGTAGCCCAAAAGCACGACCTGATTATCCTAGAGGACGACCCCTACTACTTCCTGCAGATGGACACCTACACCTCCCTGGACCAGGATGGTCTAGTCGCTTCAGAAATTCAGTCGCCTACTGAATTCCTCAAGAGACTCATTCCTTCATACCTTCGGATGGATATCGACGGACGAGTCATTCGCATGGACTCATTCAGCAAAGTCATCAGTCCTGGAGCCCGCTTGGGCTGGATCACGGCACCGGAGCAGCTTATCGAGCGATACAAGCACCATACCGACGTTTCCACCCAGAGCCCTGCAGGCCTGAGCCAGCTGGCCATCTTCAAGCTCGTTGATGAGCACTGGGGCCATGAGGGCTACGTTAAGTGGCTGATGCACCTGCGCAGTGAGTATACTATGAGAAGGGACTTTCTTGTTTCAGCATGCGAGCGGTATCTGCCGAAGCAAGTTGTTAGCTGGGAGCCAACCGAGGCTGGCATGTTTGTAAGTGTGATTCTACGCTCTCCCAATGGCCGAGCCCCTTTTACTGACAAAGCATTCCACAGCAATGGATCAAAGTCGACTGGAAGCAACACCCCGATGCGAATAATAAGACGGCTGACGTCCTCGAGGAAGAAATATGGCTGGAAAGCATCTCTACGGGAGCCTTGGTGGGCCGCGGCTGCTGGTTCCGCGCGTCATCGGATGTGCCCCGTGACGAAGTCTTCTATCGAACCACTTTTGCGGCAGCCCCGTTGCCCAAGATTGAAGAAGCCGTAAGGCGGTTTGGCGAAACCATACGGAAGATGTTTGAGCTCGAGGAGAAGAGCGTACCAACAACAGACGGTCCAGTACAGGAGAGCCCCCTAAAGTGAGTGAACTTGTTCACGAAGCATACTTAGATTTGGACGTTTATAGCTTGATGCTGAATGTTCCTTTGTACATTCTTGTAGTCTGAGCGAAATTGAGCCTGTTTTGATACCATTAGATGTCGGTTATTGCCTGGGTAGTGTACAATTCCCTAAGAGTGTAAAATATTTGAGGGGTTTCCTCCTGTCACTTTGATTTTCTATTTCACTGCATATCATTGGACAATTATCAGAGGTACGAGGCGGACGACGAGCGTTTCAAGTTCGCCAGTCATTCAGATCGCCTCATCCATCACCAACATGGTTGACAATTGCGGCAACACGAACGACAATAGGTGATTGGCACCTTTGCTTTCGCCTCGACAGACGTGAGCACGGACTGCACTAATGAACGCCACTTTTGGGACCTGCATCTATTGTCCTACTGCAGGTGTTTGGTTCATAAACTGTTGGCTGGACACGCAAAAGCTAGATGAGGCGAGTCGTCCCGGCCGATTCCGTCCGAGCTTGCGATCGAGTTTCAAGCCCTTGCAGGTTGTCAGGACCAATACTTTTTCTGCAGCCCGAGTAATGAGCCGTTTAATTACCATCTGTCCCTGGACAACAACTGATGACATGCATCACACACACTCTGATGAACGAAACTTGCATCACAGGTCCCGTTCAGTAGAGACGTGACTTCAAGCTAGAGCTCTACGGGTTCCCGGATGACGGCTTCACAATGACCAGAAATCATTGAAATGGAAGCAAAAAATCCGATAATCCGCTCGGTCAACGAACCAAGTGCTCCCCAGATCTCACAATTTGCATTACCAATTCTGACCTCGGAATGACAAATTGCGGTATGGCACTTGAAGTCGGCTTGCCTGGATGGCGACAAGCCGAGCAATAGGCTATTGGGGTATCTCGGCCCACGCAAACAGCAGCAAGGCACCTTGTGATGTATCTTCAAATCAGATGGCAAAGACTCGAAATTTCCATTCTCATGAGGCCAGATACCTTGTTCATATAAATCGACCGCCGCCTGACTGATATCATCACCCTCAGACGACTTGACTCTTCCTGAGCTCTCAGAATGGCTTCCAAAATGCCAATTGCCAGCCCCCCGGGGCTCAGTTCAAACCCATGCCGCCGCAGTAGACTCCCGCTCTCTCTCATCCGGCATGGCGGCGGACTCATCGCCTGCGGTATGCTCTTTGGCTTCGTCGTTCCTCTGGTGCCTTACCCACGCCTTGGCCTTACAGCACACATTCAGTTCTGTGTGCAGGGCTTCACCGTGCTCCTCACTGGCCTGGTTCTCCAATCAGATCTCACAGGAAGCTCCAGCAGCCCAGACGGAGAAGATACTCAGCAGAGACGTCAGTTGGCCGACAGCCTCGGCTGGTGGCAGAAACAGGTGATATACTGGGGCTGCACAAGCATCTGGGCAACGATGATTGCTGAGGCGGGAAATGCCTGGTGGGGGACAAGGTGGACATTGCCAGTAGCACATCAGGCAGCAGGTTTACTCGGCCGTGATGTCGCTGCAAGATGGATGGAAGTGGTCGTTGCGGTTACGCACTTCCCGCTGGGTTTCCCGCTGGCCTCTGTGGTAAGTTGCATTCCTCGTGTTTCGAAGAGAGTGGCTGGGAGTTCTATACTGACGTCGTGTCTTCTTCCAGTGGCCCATCATATTGTCGACGCTGTGGTGATCTCCTTGCGTGTACAGACTCTTGCGTCTTGAAAGCGTGGCACATATTTCGCTAAGGAGATATCCAGCGCAATTTAGGTGGAAAGGTCATGATATAGGTGATCTTTTGCTCCACTGCGAAGTGGAATGGACAAAAGCCGTGCCATCTCGCTGCTAGCACTCGTTCATAGGAAGTTTTCAATTATGGTGACACAACATTCATCGCATCTTTCAGATTGCTATCTATTCGCGTTAAACGCCTGGGTTATGTCACTCTCGGATCGCAGTATACTACAGAGCTCAACCATCACCACCAAAGTTCACAAGTCGCACAATCCACCAATATGTATGAAATGAAAATCAGGATTCACAATCTACTCCTCTACCAAATGCCTTCAACAACCCGCTTCGCAAAATGCTATGCTCCAATTCAGAGCCAAGAGCAGCTCTGGAAGAGGATTCGCTGCCCGTCCAGCAATTGCCGACTCTCCTGTCCTACTCTTTCATCAGCAAGCAGCATTCGAACAATGTCCTCGTGTCCCCACAAATGAGCTTGAAGGAGTGCTCTAGACCTAGTCAAGAATGCCCTGTCAGGGTCAGTGGCTGGGTGAGAAAGCAATATGCGTACGATTTCGGTGTGCCCTCGGGAGGCTGCCATGACGATAGGCACAACCTGGTTATTATGCGCTGTAAGATTGGGATCGATGTCGGGGTGCGATACAAGAAGCCGGACCTCGTCTGGGAGGTTATTCTTGATGGCAACGATGAGGGGCGTGAAGCGAGTATCGGGGTCGACGAAGTTGACGTCGACTCTTCCGGTATCGAGGAGCAGCTTGACGATTTTGGCACCGACTCGATGTTCAACTGCAATGAAAAGCGGCGACCAGCCGCGGTTGGAGCGAGTATCCGGATCGACCAAAGGACCTTTGGCCAGCAGAAGCCGCACAATTTCTGCATCTCCTCCGCTAACAGCGAGGCTGAGAGGCGTCCGTCCGGTCTCGGACCTGGTATCAACCAGGATGCCATCCTGAGCCAGAAGTAGGTTGACGGTCTGGATGTTTTTGGACATGATCGCGAGATGTAATGCCGTCTCTTGGTGTGATCCGCTTTCATTCACGTTGACTCCAGGAACGTTGAGAAACTGGCGCATAATATCGGTTCGACCCTGCTCTGCTGCCATGGCCAAGGGGGTTAGCAGCCGGTTATACGTACAAGCATCTTCTTGGAACAATCCGTTGACTGGCATGCCATATTCTATGAGCTTCATCGAGGTACCAGTGCAGTTCCTGGAAATTGCCCAATGGAGAGCGGCGCAAACCTTGCTTTCGTGGCTGAGGCTCGATTCATAGAGAATGGGATTGCCCATCTGATACAGAGACCGGCATGTTCGAGATAGGACCGACAGGGACTTGAGTTGACCCTGGCTCTCCAAGAGTCCCATGATCATGAGGCAGAGCTCGGAGGGTAGATTGCCGAGAGACATGTTGAGAGAGCGACGGAAAATTTTGGCGCCAAAGGGGCTGAAGTTGAAGTGAATGAGTGAAAGTGATAGTGTGTGTCTGATCATCATCTTCTTCGTCTAGTCATACCAGGGTCTATATAGCCAAAGCCACAAGGTTCTCCAAAGAACCTACCAGGGTCTCTACAAACCTCGTCAGCGAACGATTTTGAGACAGAGACCAAATAGGAAACGAACAAGCATGCATCGAGCTGAGAACATCCAAGGGTGATCACGAAACCGAGGCGAATATTGAACATCGCAGATGAGTTTGTCGCCGAATTTGGCAGAGCTGAGTCGGTTTGTGCCGATGTTCAAATTGTCTTGTCAGCTATTTTCATTCAAGGTAACCAACAGTATTGAATGCATTGTAACATAATCCTCGATTGAACGCATTTCTTCTAAGTTTCTCGGGAGAGTGTGCAATACAACGTTCATCCATCCACTAGGTTCATAGACACTCTGAACGAGGCAAGGCGGCATGCCATGGGAAGTGGATAACCACTTCAACAATCGGTTCCATGGTCTAACGGTTATGACTGCGGATTCTGATTCCGCCAGCGAGGGTTCGACTCCCTCTGGAACCTTTTTTTGGGCAATTGTTTTGTTTTTCCTTCTGCGTGCTGAGGACACTGCTGTCATTTGTTTACATCCTTGGACAAATTTTTTTTCTCTATAACTTGGTCAGGAGCATGTTGTGTGTACGGAATATTTCGCACCAGTTAGAGTACCTGAGGAGCGTTGTGACAACGTTCAAGAAGAAAGGGAAGTGGATCACACAAGTTGACATAACACAACGCTCAAGAAGAAACCAACAAGGCGGCGGGAACAGCGACGAATTTCAGACTCGATAATGAACAATTTCATTCCAAATTGGCTTCCCGATACTCTGACTCCTTCCAACTTCCGTTCTGCAACTGGGCGCTGTTGCTCCTCCTGTCGTTGAGAAGACGATCACATTCCAAAGAACCCTGCGTTGTCTCCTCCCATGGATTCTCCAGCTCCAACATCCGAATCAGCTCGATACATTTCTCATTCCGCGCCGCGATGATATAACAAAAGCATTTGGAACAGCTAACCAAGTTCGAGATGTGCTTGAAGACGGCTTCGATTGGCTTCCCACTGGCATCGACCGCTCAGCTAACCGTGAAAAGTGTCAGAGTTTGCGACGCAGTGATCAAAAGATATTCCAGTGCGAAGAACCGACTGGCACATATCCGACCTCCATAAACAGACATGACGGGAGCGTCTGACTCTGTTCGAGTCGCCGGATAACGGTCGGGGTCGAACGACATCGGATGAGCAAAGGTCTTGGGGTCACGCAAAACGACCGGTGACGGGCAACAGCAGACATGTATGAGCTTTTTGACATGCGTTGCCCTAGGGAGATTACTCTCCTACTCTTCCTTGCAGGCTGTGTCGCCGGGCGGAAAGGTAAACCAACACAGCTTCTTCTTCAAGGACATTGATGGACAAGTTGAACCTCGGGGAACGGCTCGACAATGTAATCGTAGACTCGATTCAGTGAAGGAATGGCTGATTCCATTGTTGTTGTTTACAGTGTATGGATTTATCAGTGATGTATGCGAACTTCTCTGAAGCGAGAGAGCAAGACGTTCATCCAAACTGAGGATGAACAAACTTGCAGTGCCGAGTGAATCAAGATTGGGCTCTCATGAACGCACACAAAATATCGTACCCACCCACATCGTACGACTGGGAACTTGAATGTAAAGAACTTTATCGCGTAAAGAGTATATCGATCTTTAGCAGCCAGCTATCATGAGCAGAGAAAGCCAAGCGCTTCAGGAAAGAAAAGCTGGGAAAAGCGAAAAGTTGCTGAACTAGAGTATCACCACCGTTACTGTCGTCGCCTTATCCACTCATGGATAGACAGCGCCGTCATCATAACCATGAGATCGAAGTCGCGCCCTCTATCGACTTGGATCTGAAGCCATCCAGCCACTCCGATGGCCGTCACGTGAGTGAAAATCGCGAGTATGTTGCCCTGACTGTCGACGAGCTTCCTGTTCCGCAGGCTAGCCGAGTGAAGCTTCTTGCCTGGAACGCTGGCATGACGGGTGCGCTTCCAGGTGAACTCTTCGCGCTCGCCTTTGCCCGTCTCAACAATGTGTCCGTCGCCAGAGAAGGAGACGGAAATCCTGCGCTCGCGGCTGCCCATCGAGGGCCTGATGAAGTCTTCCCATACGATGGGCTCAGGGCCTGCGGGATCGCCGAATCCAACCTTGAAGTGTCGTGAGAACTTTGGCATGTGGCACACGACCAGGACGGGGGCGGTGTCGTCGGGGCCGTCGAGTAGGGCGAGATCAGGTTTGTTGCTCATGGGGTATGGCAAGTTTTTGACCCTGTAGAGAGGCTCCTCTCCGTCTGGGATTATCTGGTAGGAGCGCTTGAGGGCGGGCCGGACGATTTGGAAGAGTCGGGTCATTTTTCTTCTTCTCCTTTCTATTGCAGTGTCAGGTATTTCGATAATCGACGAGGCATATCGCTGTGGGCGTCATCAAGATGTCAAGCAGAGCCCGCGGCGGGCTTCTCTTTATGTATGCCATGCTGTAGCTGAGGATGAACATGCTCAGTCGCCTCACGATAGCTTGGGCGCGATGTCCTGGGAAGCCCAGATTGACTAGCGACCACGAGAACATGGGGCAGCGCCACCTGGAGCTCTCGTACTCATCGCATTCTTCGGATTTCGGTGCCCCTTTGCAGTAAGGCAACGAGCTAGCAGGGGTTCATGACGCAAATACCGGGTAGCCGTCGGTCGATCAGCTGGAGGAGGGCTGAGCCTGTGGGACACACGGGATTTCGTATGGACGAGGGATGGAAATGGACAGCTAATGGATGAAAATATTCCGAGAGCTTCGAGAGGAGCTTCATTGTGTCTTTGAATGAAGCTCAGTAGTGTTTTTGGAGATTATTCAAGAGAGTTTCCTGGGCTGGCGCATAATGGCTACAGTGGGAGGGATCGGGCTGTGATTTTGACCAGCCAATTTCTCAAAGGACAGCGTCTGGATCACGGAGAAGACAAATGAAATCAAGCATGGATGAAAGAATGCCACCGAGTGATACTATCTGATATTTTCATTTCATATACCTTCATGCTTACTGGGCCTTGGAGCCTGTTGGTGATTTTCAAGTTCTCCTTTGCCGACATGCCTCTTGCTACAGCGGCCAGATCGTAGACGCAGCCGGTGATTCTCTTTAGGCAGGTCCATCAGGAAACAAAGCAGCATCACTTCAACAGTCACGAAGCAGCGTAACAGCCATTGAGGACTTCCCTTGTAGTTCTCAGGGGCTTTACCATAGACGCAACAGTCTCGTGCCACTCGTGCCACTCCTGCCTCTACACAGATATACAGCCACAAACCCTTTATCATCAAATCGACCCCAGTGACGAGCCAATTTCTCAGCTCCCAACTCAAACAGTCACCCGTCCAGCGCGTCCAACCGGCTCCATCTCCTCCCCACACGCCCAACCGCGACGCGATTCTCCCATACAAAACGCGATGCCTTCACCCGGAGCTGGAGCTTCGCCGCCCTCCGGGCGATTCTGCCGGCCCGCTGGCCCTCACCGCTTTCAACCCCCTATATATACTTCGCTCGCTCCCGTCAAAGCGAAGCTTTCTTCTTCTTCTTTTCTTCTTTAGCTCTCTTTGCCTTTTGGCTTAGATCAAGTGTAGTATCTGTTCTTTTCAGTTTAATCTCTGAAAGGTCCCTAAGGGGACCAATCGTGATTATTCTTATTTTTGAAACTCGAGCAGTTTCCTCTGTGCTTGCACATGATCCTGCTCACTGTGTCCCTGGTATTACACTGCCTCCAGGCGACGCGACCTTTTCATTGTTGCTCGGGCTTGCCCAAGCAGTGAAGAAGAGTCTTGACTGAGCTACTCTACGAGTGTTGCTGTGGTACTGCTGTGGTGGTGAAGTGCTGGTGAAGCCATGACCGGAGAACCATGGAAGTCCTGGACCTGCAGCACGAAAGAAAAAAGAAGCCATTGTGCGTGGCCTTCGCGGCGGTGCAGCAAAACGTACGCAGAGGGGAATTCAAATCAAAACGCGTTTTTTGCGTACACGATCATGATCATGTTGATACTCCCAACAGCTCTTTTTATTCACCACTACATAGGATCTCATTCTCAGTATGTCGAAGTCGCGATACTCAAACGACCTCCATCCGTCAGAAGTACTGTTCCATCCACGTATCCTCCCGCCTTGCTCGTCAGATACAGCATTGCCCCAGCAAACTCTTCCTCCGTGCCCATCCTCGCCAGAGGAATAAACGACCCTGGTAGACTGCCCTCCTCTCGAATCTCCGTGCTTGAGGCTCTGATGTCTCGTTCGGTGATTTCGCTCGGATACAGCCCAGGCGCGATGGAGTTGACTCTGATCTTGTGCGGGGCCAGCATTGTCGCAAGCTGCTTGGCCAGCTGCACTGCTGCTGCCTTGCTGCTGCCGTGGGCAAACCCGGCCTTGGGGAGGCGAGCAAAGCTTGCGACAGAACCGGTGACGATGACCTGAGACTTTTGGGGAATCACGGCTCTCTTGTTTCCTTCGTCGAGCAGTTCCAGAAACGCAAGGGCAGTGTAGAAAACAGCCGTGGCATTGACGTGAAAAGACTGCGTAAACTCCTCCATGCTGTATTCCCAGAGACTCTCCAGGATATCCTTAAGATCGAGGTTGTTAATTTCCTTCATCAGATCTGAATTATCAGCCGTGATGATCCCGCTGTTCGCGAAGACGACATCGCAGTAGCCCAGCTCTGCCCGAACTCGATCAGCCGCTGCCTTGAGCGCGTCCTTGCTCGTAACATCGCAGACAATAGGCCTTATCGCCTCTGGCTTCGGACAAGTATCTCTTGTGGCCCCCAGGGCATCTTCTCGTCGTCCAAGCACGTAGACTGCCCTGGCTCCGTTGACGGCGAGGGCGTGGGCTGTGATTCTGCCTAGGCCAGAGCCTCCGCCGGTGATGACGGCGACGAGACCATCAACTCTGAAAAGAGACTCGACGCTGTAGGGACTCGGTTTCATTTTGGGTTCTTTGAACCTTTATGGGTAAACGCAAAGTCTACTGCAGAAAGCACTCTATGCTTGCTTCCACCAGTCTGTGGTCTATGAGATCGACAGTTTGAGCAAAATGGTGTCCTCAAAATGACAGAACGGAGGTTATTATTCTCCGAATATTACGCTCAGCTACCATAGGCCACCTTGTGAGATCATGCAATAACGACGCCCTCTGTGGATAAAATCATCTTCGTCTCTCTTTAGTGTGCTGACTGAACGGCCGGAGCCAAAAAAGTTGAGGTTCCAAGCTCATTGCCACATTGGGTCAGTATGTGGTCGCCCCCCCGGACGCTGAACCGAGTCTCTCAGAGGCCGTTTCAGCACAGCTGGGGCATCGCGGCTGACCTCAATCCTCTGCTAGGCGAGTCCTCAGTGGACGCTGAGCGCTGAGACAGTTCGCTAACGGAGACGCCCTCGACTATCGTAAGCGAGGGCTGGCAGTTCACCTGTTCCTCCACCTGCCCATGGTGCATTGCGTAGACTTCATGCGTGCACTTACACATGTCCTCGGCTTTCTCTCGACTGGAATCCATCGATAACCTTTTGTTGATGTCTCACCATCCGTCTTCCGCATTGCTCGGGTCTCCGTCTCAACTATCGACGTTATCGCATCTGCAAGCCATTCTTCGACAGCTCATTTCGCTCCATTCCAGCTGCGTCGGCCAGCATGTCATGCATGAACAGCACTGCAAAAAAACGCACAACCGATGGCGTGTCGCCCCCTGCTTGATACGATAGCAACCGTCGATTTGATCTAGCTTCGCGATGGAGCTGTTGGATTGGACGTGTGATGCTCCTATTGGTGCCTGATATGGACCGGCCAAGGGGGCCTGAAGAGCCGTAATCACATGTGAAACCCGACGGGCACCAAGTTGGAGATCAACATTCGCCTCGTCACCGTGGATGGCGATGTTGGGTCTGCATATGCTCTCTAATAACCAACTCAATTCTCCCTGCAGCTTTCTCGTCGACCCTCAACTACCCATCTCCAGTGCTGCGGTCCCTAGCAATGCCAATGTGCATCAATCTGCATCGTCCCACCACTTGAGTTGACTCTCCAATTGCTTCAGAAAAAAACACCATGGCGGCAGACGAGGCTGCCGTAGCCTCAAGGCAGGCCCAGCCGAAACAAGGGCCAACACTTCTCCCGTCGCCCGTCGCCCACGCCGTGAGCCTCGCCGCTCGATCGACGTCGCTTGCCATACGCATTGGATCGGTGGTCAGCAATGCCAGCCTCGATGCTGCTAGACTCACAACCCTTGGTGGCCTCGAGCTGGCCCGGGGCTTGATCGAAGGCGTAATAAGCCGAGCTGCCAAAGATACCATCGAACAATCGCGAACCGATCTGGCCATTCAAGATGCAGAGACGGTCCTGGAGCGCAGCCTCGAGAACCTGCATTACGCTGTTACTCAGGCCGTTTTCTGGACGTCGGTCAGCTTTCGACTCACAGGGACAACCATATCCACGGCTTCCGCAGGCTCGCAGCTTCTCCTTTCGTCCTTCGATCAGCTCTTCGGCTCAACTGACTCTTCCCGAGCTGTTGCCAGCATTGTCACGCTGATCCGCCGCGAGTTTGAGAATCCCGCAACGGGCCTCCAAGGAGAGAAAGTTGGTGTCATTGACCTGACTCTTGCCCTCAGCACGCTGGCCTATCTACAGCGGGCATGCCGCAAGACGGCCGAAGAAGAGCGCCGGAGACAGTCATATGAAGAAATCATCTGGGATGTGGTTGTCCTAGAAGATGGAGACAGAGTGGATATCGATGAAAAGGTGTTGAGCGAGATTCGCGGCGGCTACGGCAACACGGACAAGGACGACTCTTCATCGTCGCCCCCCGGTAGTCCCTGGACCGGCACTGAAGACGATGAGGCTGTTGTATCTCGACTGAAAAGTCAGATCATGGCCTCTCTGACTCCGGGCACCACGGTATCGGTTTCCAACTCCGTGTCTTCAGTGCAGACGATCACTGTCGATGTCCAAGGACCTCGGCTGCTCTCCCTACCAACACCTCCAGGCGCTGAGATCGTTGAGACAAAAGCTCTTGGGAGCCAGCTATCATATACATCGTCGAGTCAAAAAGACCAATCTTCAACATCATCCTACCGAGTCGTCTACAAGCTGCACCGCCAAAAGAAGGAAACTTCCTCTTTCTCAGGCGACGAGGAATACAAAGATGAGGCCCTCGAGATCATGACGGACAACCAGAGCTGCAGCAGCAGTGAAGAGACTCTTGCTCCAGGGACGCCTACTATTACTCTTCCTGAATACCAATCCCCTCCGGTATCACCAGCCCTGCTGCCGTCCTCAACTTTTGCGTTACCCTCACAGCCATCTACTTCGACTGAAACCAAACGACGCCACAAATCGCATTCTCATGATTTCAAGAAGCCAACACAGTCGAGTTCTCGCAAAAACAATGCCGATTCTGCGAAGGCAGTTTCTTCTCGCAATTCCACGATTGCCTCGAAAGAGCCAATATATCTCGAAGATCTGGAGGCCTTGGCCAACCAGAAGAAGCAACGCACACCAATGCACAGTAAATCTCACGATACGTCACATAAGCATGGTCACTCTGGGAGAAAAAGTGAGGGAGGGAGTTCCTCTCGATCATCGGATAAGAAGACAGGCTTAAGGCATGTCCTCCGAGGGAACGGCCCGTCCATCGCATCCATCTGGACGAAGGATTCCGGCACGACGGACTACATCAGTTCCAAAGACAAGTCAAGGCTCCACAAATCGTCTCACAGAGATGCGAAAGAACACCGACCAAGATCTCCAAACAGCGACTTGGTGTTACGCTCGCCCCCTGAGCACCACAGCATCTACCTTGTGCCCCCCTCTGTTGGCCACAACCGAAACCGGTCGTATGCCACCAGCATTTATAGCGTGGGAACCAACGATTCGCAGTCGTCCCTGATGCTATCGTCATACTATCAGAAGAGTTCCTATAACACAGCAGACGCTCTCCGTGCTCTCCGCGAAGAAGGATTCGTCGACGGTACCTTTCCCGAGGGTCACCTGCTCCCCAACATAACTCGCTATATGCGGTTCTCATCGGCGTGCTACGGCTCCCACTTTCTGAAACTTACCGGTATATCCAACGAAGTACCAAAGGTTGGCGCCTGGGATGGCACTCACCACGATATCCGGCATTTCCTTCACCACACCGAGTCAGAAGCCGACAACATCCTGCTCGCTTCCTTTGTCGACCCCAATGGAGGGAGCGATTCTTCTGGTCACACCGGGTCCGGTGTTCCTCTTGTCCATTATATCTCGCTCGACCACGCAGCCAAAGCCGTCGTGTTAGCTTGCAGAGGTACGCTAGGATTCGAAGACGTCCTGGCTGACTTGACATGCGACTATGACAGGCTCGTCTGGAGAGGCAAGGGCTACAGAGTGCACAAGGGCATCCACGCCTCTGCCCGGAGACTGCTGTACGGTGGCGATGGCCGTGTTTTGACGACGCTTAAAGAGGCTTTGCGCGAGTTTCCCGATTATGGACTTGTTCTATGCGGGCATTCTCTGGGAGCCGGTGTCACGTCTTTACTAGGAATCATGTTGTCCGAGCCTAACCCCCTTGGCCCTGGCTTCGTCACTTCTGCTGAACCATACACTCTCAGGCCTCCGCCAAACGAGGCTCTGGTCAATGTTAGGCTGAGCGACATCCGGCCTCCGTCCGGTCGCCGCATACATGTGTATGCATATGGCCCCCCTGCCGTCATGTCGTCGTCTCTACGCAAGATTACTCGAGGCCTCATTACCACAGTCGTTCATGGTAATGACTTGGTGCCTCATCTGTCCTTGGGTCTACTCCACGACTTTCAAGGTGTTGCTCTCGCCTTCAAACATGATGAGAACAAGACCAAATCTGAAATCCGCCAACGGATTTGGAATGCTCTTCAAGACAATGTCTCAGAAAGATGGTATCCTTATCGCAGCGCGAGCAAGGTCGCGAGCAGTGGAGGCGTCAGTGACGAGGAGAGATGGATGCTTCCGGCGCTGGAGAACCTGAGGGCGGCCATGAAGGGGAAGAAGTTGCTTCCACCGGGCGAGGTGTTTACCATTGAGACGCAGCGTGTCCTTCGCAGAGATGCCTTCCTTATGTTGGACGAGGAGCATTTTGGGCGGCCTGCGCAGAGAATTGTGCTGAAGTACATCAAAGATGTCGAGGGCCGCTTTGGAGAGGTGCGGTTTGGTACGAGCATGTTGACGGATCACAGTCCGGCAAAGTACGAAGATGCTCTGAACAAGTTGAGAGTTGGAGTCTCGACTTAGCTGAAAACGATGTCTTTCGCCTCTGGATATCTTTGATGATTGCGAGTCATGTTTCCCTTGAACTGCCAGCTGGAGTTTATCACTGAAGCGAAATGGAGGACTTTGGCCGCCATACTAGTTCGATCAATTGAGTTGTGGAAATATCTCGTTTCTTCCCTGCCCTCCTGAATATACACGTGTTATAATAGAATATCTACCCAATGCTTACACCTTCTTTCGGAGCTAGAGTTCCACACTGAAAGAAGAACAGCGCCTTGACCAATCATGCACATATACGCACAATGAACACCAACCTAGACTCAATCACTCGTTATTTGCCTTACTAACCGGAGCAGTGTGTTTCTAACAGCATCATACTCAGGATCGTGCGGCTCGAACTTTGCTATATCTGCATGAGTTCGTGGTATCGCGCACTCGAGCAGGTCGTCACCGGCCCACGGATGGCGATGAATTGCTGAAGCCCTCGACAAAACAACTCCCTTCTGAACGCTCCCATCCTTGTGCGAGTCAGTATCTGGTTCATGCAATGGAGAATCCCGATGTCTTACTTTTTGCGCGATTGCAGATTCCAGCGTCTCATAAAAACTGAAGATCCGGGTCTCATGCCTCAGAGTGAAGACTTTCATGAGCATCTGTCTCAGAATCTCAGACTCGTCTTGACTCAGCGAATCTTCGAGTTGCTGTCTGGAACCGTCTTCTGCTTCGCTACAGCACAGAGATGCTATACCCCTGCTATTGTTAGGTACGGCGAAGAAAAACACTGCTCGAATTCCATCGAGAAGAGTTTGATCCGACTCTCTTTCTGAGATAGACAAATTTACCAAGGCCTATGTCATTTTTTAGTCATGGCATATGTACTTTTTTGACATATTTGGCCCCCTACCTGTGTGATAATAAGACCTCCGACACCGTGACCAATGAGTATCGTAGGGGTAGCAACGGAGGGACTGCGTAGAGTCATGAGACTCTTGAGAAAGGCATTCCCGATAGCTTGAAAAGTCGCCGGACCACACTTTCTGTTCAACAAAGATTCAAAACCATATGTCATGACTCTCGCCATTGGCCGCCGACTTGTCTTATTGAGAAGCTGAGCGGGGAGGGCATCTCTGAGCCAGACATGATTGCTTGCCTCATCTTCGAAGGAGTCTAAGGGGCATCCACTCATGTTGCCTAGAGCAATAATACTATTCGAGTGAGTGAGATATTATTATAAAGCTGGAATTCAGATATAAGTACTCCACTTTGTGATTGTCGGCCGACGGCATGTATAGAGTAGTCATGCCGAGCAAATCATCGTCAATTGTGATGCAGTCGGTCTCGGAGGAGTGGTTCTCTCCCGACTCGCTCAATGAAATGTCCCACGGCTTCGGGCCTTGCGTCACCAATGGACGGGTCTTAAATACCACGGTAGCTGTATAGGAGCGACGACCGTCTTCAAGGGCGAAGGATCGTATGGCTGGGCTTGATGAAGGGTCATGTTCTTCCAGACAAGCTCGTAGACGGGTCACACTCCAGTCCAGAGGCACTCCTTGGACGCGGAACGTATCTCTCTCGACCATATTCTGCTGCAGCTGAAAGACTCAATAGGTTCTGATGTAAATATCGCCTAATAAAAGTTGAGGTTGATGTATCAAGAGAGGGCAGGCAACAAGAGCAGAACCGGGTGTTCTTTATAGATCCTGAACCAATTCCATAATCTTTCCAATTTTCATAATAGCTCTAATCAAGAGAGTTGTAAATCTAAATCTACATCGAAAGGATTCATGATAACTTTTGCGTCGTGCCAGTGAGAGGGGTGGTGTTTCAGCCCGATGAGTCGCAAGACTAATGCATGCTGTAGAGAGCTTTTAGCCCAACAGATTCCGCCACATTTTACCGCGGAGTCCGTAAATGCCACTAAATATCCTCCATTAGGCGCGGCAGATGGTGTTTAACTCTTTTTGGGCTACTGCCGACGAAGGAGTTCAGATGTCGGTGATATCGTTGCTGCATCTGCCGCGGCCCCGCTGTAGCCCCCGAGAAACGAGGGTCGGCGGCTATTTGCATGCTGCCGGAAGCCACCAGGCGAGGTTTCATTGCATACGGGTATGCATTCCCAAACGACAGGTTGTGAAATGGACAAACGTATTTGGCAATGTAGGCTGAGGTGCCAGAAGAAACGCTTGCCGTTTGTGTCAGTATCAATCATTAGTACTTGTGTTTCCCATCTTCAACGGGGGGCAGGGACGTCAACATACAGGTCGGAAACTCGACACGACTTCTGGGAGTTCAAACAGTCCAGTCTTGCCAGTTCTATACGACAAGCTTGTCTCTTGAAAAGGCAAATCGGGCTGCGGTAAAGAGCACAGCTCCGGCCATGAGGACAGCACCACTAAAGATGATGCCTTGAGAATAGCCGTCGTACCTATCGATCAGGGCGCCAGTGATTGGAGTGCCGCCCAAAGCACCGAAGCCGATGAGAAATGTGGACATGCCTATGTAAGTTCCAATCTATAAATGTGTGTCAGGCCGCGAAATTTTCGACATGTTGATGAGCGAACAGGCGCTTACCTTGCTGGGGTGATCTGCCGTGTGTGCGATGGTGGTATACATGAGGGCGATGATGATGCCGCTGGTCGCGCCAAACAAGATGGACAACACAACAAGTCCTGCTGTAGATGTGATCTTGAGCCAGCAAAACATGAGCAATCCGGAGGCATAACAGGCCACAGTGATGACGTTGAACTGGCCGAGATGTCTGGCAACAAAACCAGCAAATACTCGGCCCAAGAATGATCCTGCGTTGATCAAGGCGAACAGATAGGATGCAAGGCCCGGAGACATTCCATGTACTGTGCCGTAGTCGGCGAGATAAAAGTATGGCGTCCAGAGTCCTAGTATGACCATGAACAACGCGGCAACTTGGAGAGAGAAGGCGGGGATATTGAAGGCCTCTGGCAGAATGAAAGCGCCACTTCTCTTCAGAGACGTCGGCCGAATAGCTACGGCTGCAATCGCCAGCAAGAAGAGAGTCAAGAAACCACAGATCCGCTGTCCCCAGGCAAATCCGACACTGTTCTCTTCGAGCAGATTGGTCATAATCACCGGATAGATGATTCCTCCAAGGGGAGAACCAGTAGTGGCAAAAGCCATGGCAATAGGTCGCCTCCTGTGGAAATAATGGCCCACGATGGAGATTGCAGGAGTAAATATGAGGCCGGATGCAATGCCGATGAAGATGCCCTGGCAGAGGATGAACTGGTAGAGCTCGGTACAAAGGCTTGTGAGCATCATGGCGACAACCAGGAGTAAAGAGAATGGCCAAATAATAACCTATGGCGTTTAATGTCAGAAAAGATTCATGAATAGGGGGTGTTAGGTCTGGGTGACGTGCTCATCATACCATTGCTCCGTACCGATCTGCCAGCGGGCCCGCGACCAAAGCTGCTGAGAACTGGGCAAATGACTGAATAGCTCCAATCCAGGCCACATCAGACGGAGAGTGGCCAGACAAAAACGTCTTGAGATAGTAGGTTTCGTAGACTCTGTATTCAAGATGAAATGACTGTTAGCGATGACACTTTTATAAGGATGTAGTGGCTGGCCAAGTACGAACCCAAAGGAGTTCACGTAACCAAATGATGCAAAAGATGTGCACCAGCACCCCAAGACCACCAGCCAGGCCCGTAGGCCTCCCTCTGGAAACTCATGAGGGACCGAGTGACCCTTTGGTTCGCGAGATCCCTCAACAGCCTCCTCACCCCCTGAGAAGATTGCCGACTCGATCTCGGTAGTGCTACCCGACGACATGGTAACAAATGAAGGGGCCTGGCACTAAGAATTAGAGTCCCTGGTCACAGGAGGTCTGTCACACTATCACACTGCCACGACAGCCGAGCGTAGATCAACCTGCAATTCTTGATTTATATACTACATGGGCTACTGCTTGTATGGGTGTGTGAGCTTAAATATGGTCGTCAGGGCTCTCACATGCAACTTTCCATCTCCGTTTTCACCGAGCCGACGATCCACAGATGAGCTGATTCGAAGCCTTACAAAGCTGGATATCTTATCTGATGGACATGTCCCCGCTGTTCCGTGCTCGATCTACGAGCTCATTCCATGGCGGTGATTCTCGTGTGTAAAAGAGCGAGCTGAAGCGGTGGGCGATAACACCAGGAAATGGTCTCGGAGAAAGTGGAAAGAATTTTCCGTAGCGCAGAGGGTGGAGCAGAGGCGGATGACGGAGATGGTCGGTCATTTCGCAAGCCACCCAATCATAGCACCCCGGCAATATATAGACTATCTCCTTGCAATCCAGGGACGATCCTCTGCAACCCTCGATATGACGATCGAGACGCGAGCCTGACACCGAGGACACCTTCTGCCACCAGCTCAGAATGACAGACGACCCGGAACGCGCGTTTCCGGCTCCGACAATAGCCGAGGACGCGGTTGAGAGGAGGAGCGCGAGCACGCAGGCGGCCAGCGTCGAGGCTCCCGCTCCCGCTCCAGCTGCAGGCCCAGCTCCAGCTCCAGCTGAGGGCGCGAGTGCCGAGCCTCAGGAAGCGCGCTCCAGGAAGAAGCGGCTGCAGCTGAGCTGCGGTGAGTGTCGCAGGAAAAAGGTAACGGTAACGCGGTGATGAGACAGGAAACTGAAGGCGATCGCGTCTGGCATATTTGTGTTCTAACCAGCAACTCATCGCCAGCTCTCCTGCGACAGAGGCCGGCCGTGTCGCAGATGCGTCAGGACGGGCAGGGCAGACCAGTGCGAATTCGAAACCAATCCGCGCTCAGCGCAGCTGCCTATTGACCAGGGCGCGCAGCTGGAGCAGATCAAGTCCGACCAGGCCGAGCTTCAGAGCCTGCGGACTGAGATTTCCCAGCTCAAGGAGCTGCTCTCACGGCCTGTGGCGCCTCCTCCGCCACCGACTCACCCTCATTCTCATTCTCTTCCTCAGCCTATTCCTCAGCATGGCAGAGGCTCCTTCGCGGAAGAAGCGCGTGTCGGCGACTTCTCCTCCAAAAGGAGTGTCGAGGTGGAATCCAAGGACTTCGTGACCATAAACCGGTTTCCCAACAGCTCGAGCGACGGCCCGCCTGATCCAAGGGAGAAATCGCCACGAGGATACTACAGACGACACACGTTGCTGCGCTTCTTTTCAGAGGTAATCCCTCGCCTGATTTTATTGTGCTATCGTTGATTGTTTTAACCCGGCGCAACAGATTCCACAGCTGTTTCCGTTCATCAAGGAGATTGCCGACCAATGGCTGAAGCCCTATGGGATCTACATCAAGAAGAACAAGGCCGCCAAAGATGAAAGTTGGAGGATGAAGATGGCAGCCAGTGAGCAGCCACTGCTTGAAGGCCTCTTGCCACCAAAGCATGACACGGACGTTCTCATCGCAATTTACCTTGATCACTTCGAGCAGCTGCATCGCATTGTCCACATTCCAACCTTCAACAGGGAGTATATCAATTTCTGGACTCCAGGCAGACCGCGGTACCCGACAATGGCAGCAATGATACTCGCCATGATTTCCGTGTCGGTTTGTGCCTCTGTTCACCTTGTTGGTTCTTCGCCTGTCCCTACCAACTACCGGAAGATGGCTGAGATGTGGATCTCTTCCATCGACGACTGGCTGCGGCTGCAAAGCACAAAGCACCGCAAGCTTGTGCACTACCAGGTGGCCAGCTTAATGTACATTGCCAAGCGGATGAACTTGGTCGGCAAGAAGAAATTCTGGAAAGACACGGGCTCCATGATGCAGGATGCAGTCATGGACGGCTTGAATCGCGATCCTTCACTCGCCGATACCTTCTTCATTAGGGAGATGAAGAGACGGCTTTGGTACACCGTCCGCGAGCTGGAGCTCCAGAACTCCTTCGAATGCGGCTTGCCCACTCTCCTCCACACGATTGAGTCCAACGTCACAGCGCCGCTCAACCTTGCCGATGAAGATTTCGATGACACAACGAAGCTGACGCCCATGTCGAGACCGTCAAGCTCCTACACGGAATCTTCGTACCAGTTCCACAGCTTCCGAAGCTGGGAGCTGCGTCTCGAGCTGTCGCGACGGCAGTTTGGTTCCGGGGTTTTCAGGGCTCTCGACTACGACGACGTTCTGCGGTATACACACGAGATCACACGAGCTTTGAAGGATCTCCCTCCGTGGATCAATGGCCGAACAGATGGCAAAAGCGATGGAAGGGTCCTCTTGTCGTATTCGATGTTGGAGTTTCAGCTCAAAGAATGTCTTCTGGCCATCCACCGGCCGTATGTGGACAGGGATGGCAAATACCCACTCTCGGAAACAATCTGCTACCAAACAGCACGAGAAATACTGCTTTCCAACATACAGCTGGCGAATTTCGGGGTTCAAAGTTTGACACAGCTTCGCGAAGATCTTGCGATTGCCTCGTTACACATGACTCGCCTTACACTGATGCAACCAGAAGGTTGGCTCTCTTCTTCTACCGTCCTTGTCTCTCGCGCTCACGGACAAAGCTTCGAGCCGAACATCGTGGCTGACTTGCAACAGGTTCCAACAGCATCATCATGGCCAACGCCTTGGCGACTGTCGACCTGCTGGAGCAATGCCTCCCGCTCATTGAGGATAAATATCTACGTTTCTCCGATCCTTGGAACTTTTTCATCATGTGCACGGCCATCATGCTGATCAAGATACACCTCGGAAAAGAAACTCGACAAACTGCCAAGTCATCCTGTGCACGCAGATTCTTGGATCTTTATTACAAAAGTGTGTGGATGCACCACCCCTCTGATCTCGCTCAGCAGCAGGCCATTTCTCGTGATATTGCCAACCAAACAAACGTGAGTTCTGTAATGACAGTTCATTTATTGCGCTCTTTCTTCTCGCACGACCTTCCGGATCGATTTAAGCTTACTTTTACGTCTATTCAAGGCTGCCGCTGCCTGTCCCCCAGCTCCTCCTCCAGAGGGAAGCGTCCTTCCCACCTCGGTGTGGCTCGATAACAGCTATCCAGATGTACGTCCAGGGTCTTGATAATGACGTTGCATGCACTAATCACCCCGTAGATTGGAAATGACCCGTTTGATCTCTCCGTCGAAATGGACGTGTGGGACGAGGCGGGATTCCCTCTGCCGGGGTTTCCCAACTGCTAGCCAGGATCCCGATGCCTTTCGCCCAGTTATTCCCGAACAATTGTCTGCAGAGACGATAATGAGCCCACCGCAACAGGTTGAAAATATTCAACCCGTTTACCCGCACCTATAATATCATTCATTGTGGGGAGAAGTTTGGGGTTACGATAATCCACATCATCGGGTGGCACATGATGCTTCTCCGCACTCGACTTCGATATCCGTCAGGCATAAATGATGTGAACGAGCCTCTTCTCAACCTAAAACTTGAGAAGAAGACAAAAAAAATACAACATCGAGCTACAGGGCTCACGATATACTCGTTGCGTGGTAATCCTGGATCTATTTCATCAATGGCATCAACCATGCCTTTTTCCGTTGCTGGAAAAACCGCCATCATAACTGGCGCCGGCTCTGGTGCGTCTCACTCACCTTAAGGCTATTTTATGGTAAAGGATCAATAAACTTACGTATAATCCGACCCAGGTATCAATCTTGCCTTTGCGGAGCTTCTCCTCTCTCGCAACTGCAACGTCGTCTTTGCTGATCTGGAACTGCGGCCAGAGGCAGAGAATGTTGTTTCAAAATACCAGAGCGAAGACGGAGGTCGGGCGGCATATGTTCGGACAGACGTAACCTCGTGGTCTGATCTCTCCAAAATGTTCGATTTTGCCCTCGAAACCTTTGGGGACTTTGACATTGTTTGTCCAGGAGCCGGCGTATACGAGCCCAACTGGTCCAACTTCTGGCATCCTCCCGGGTCGAGCCAAAGTAGAGACGCGGTTGACAAAGACCACTATGCGCTGCTCGACATCAATCTGACGCATCCCATTCGCGCAACCCAGATGGCCATATCCCACTGGCTGTATCCTCGTCCTCCGGCGGAAGGTTCCAAGTTCGACAAGGCTCCTCCCAAAGTGTCTCTCGACAATCCTAAGAGAGTGATTCACATCACTTCAGTAGCCGCCCAGGTCCCTACCTTTAGAGCGCCCCTCTACGGAGCATCCAAATTCGGCCTCCAAGGCTTCATCCGCTGCCTCACGCAGCTGGAACCTCGAATCGGCGTGCGAATTAACGGGGTCGCGCCTGGAATAGTCCGCACTCCTCTGTGGACGGAGCATCCAGAAAAGCTGATGAACGTTAATGATGCCCAGGACGCGTGGGTCACTCCTCAAGAGGTAGCTCAAGCAATGCTGCAGTGCGTTGAGGATAATGAGAATATTGGGGGGACGATTCTGGAGGTTGGCGCTGGAAATACTAGGAGAGTAAAGGTTTTCAACGACGAAGGCCCCGATCGAGATCCCGCAAAGGGCCTGATTACCAGCAACAATGACCTTGGCGATGGAGAAGTGGTTGAGTGGCTGCAGCAAGGGGCCATCTGGGGACCTCAAGCATAGGGTCCTTTGAGCCCTCGCGTATCGCTATGTGCTGATTACGCACCTTCCATCGTCCAGTGTTCCCAACGGAATCAATTCTCAGCCTTATGGGGAGCCAGAACTGCATGAACCCAGGCACATGGCCTCAGCCACTCCCTGCGGCACAAAAATAGAATGAAGCGTGCCGAATACAGGTATCGTGAATGAAAGTATGGATGCCTTGTGTTGTCTAGTGCGAATGAGAGGTTGAGAAACTATTCGGTTCGGCGTCACGGGCTCCACCATACCAGATAGTGTGCATGATTCCAAAGCCAGGAACACCAAGCGCTTACAGCTGAAGCAGGCCCCACGGGCTTGCAGATATTACCCGCGATCATCAGAAACCAGAAGCTAATTATGCCTCCTATCATGTGCGATTCCAGGCTCGCCTACCCCTGTCAGCGTTATCCGTGTGCTTATCCTTGCACCTCGCAACCAACTCGGACCGGGGTGGGATGTGGCGCAGAGCACTTGTACCTGGAGAACATGATGCTATAGCCTGGAATCAGGAGTTGAAGTATTTGGCATGAGTTCCTTGAGAAGAAAGCCCCGGAACTTCACTGTAAGTCGCGCCAAGGAAACAGCGCCGACAAGATGGGATGCAGGGCATAAATAGGGGGAGCATTTCCGCCGCTTGAACAGAAGAGAAAGACTCAAACCGCATTGAGATCTCTCATTGATTGACTCGGCCTTGCAAACCTATTTCAAGTCATCAACTCTGTTCAAAGAAACGTTCAGCCCGCTGTCCATCTCACAACTCAATAACTCTTTTCCACTTGCACCAATGGCTTCCATTCTCCGCAGACTCTTCCGACGGCAGAAGCAGCCCCCGCTGGTCTGTGCCGTCAACCTGGATGCCGATGGAAACCCTGTTGGCGAGCATCCGGACCATGTGCACACGGATGCCTGCTTCATCAACTTCGAGCCTCTTGCCGTTGCAGAGCTCTTCCAGTCGCAGTCGTGCCAATCGTGCCCTCCGGCCCTGCCCGGCATCCACGCCGCCACCTCAGACCCCAACGTGCTCCTCCTGACGTATCCCGTCACCCTCTTCGACCACACGGGCTGGAAGGACACCTTCTCGAGCCTCGCCAACGACGCCCGGCAGCGCGCCTACGCCAAGCGGTGGGCTCGCACAAACTTGTTTACGCCCCAAATCGTCGTCAACGGCGTGGCCGACGGTACTGGCCGGACCAAGGAGGAGATCCAGCAGATCATCCAGCAGGGCAGAGACATTGTCAAGGCCCGCGACTGGCACATTTACGTAGACGCAAACGACACCGACGTCCGCGTCGACACGGACAAGCAGGAGGCGCCTCCCCACGAGGTCTCCCTCGTCATCTACGCCAACCACGACCAGATGGTCAAGGTCGGCAAGGGCGTCAACAAGGGCAAGAAGATCAACCACCGCAACATCGTTACTTCAGTGACCAAGATTGGTGACTGGGTTGGCGGAAACGCGACCTGGCCTCTGCCCACGCCCAGAAGTGCCTTGGGTCCTGATCAGGGCGCCGCGATCATCATCACAGAGGGAGGCCTTGGAGGCCCCATCATTGCAGCGGCAAAGATCTGAGTGATGGAATCATGATGATGGAAAGTTTTAGAGAAGGCGAGGAGTTAGGGTGTATGTAATGTATGTCGAGTTTGAAAGATACCAGAAGGAGTCCCGTGGCTCCTATTTGTATTTACTGCTACCTCAGTATGCGAGATTGCTTAATCACCGTCTTCCCCTTGTGTCTTTGCCTCGGATTGTCTCCTGCTTCTTCCTTGGGACTGGTGCCCAATTGTGTGATTGACTATGACAGCGTGGTTTCCTGCGCGCAGACCGATTATCCGAACGGGCAGACCGCGGATTTGTCACGTTTGCAGATGGATGTGCAGTGCTAGGAGGGAAAGAGAAGCTACGGAAACCAGCAACGGCTTCGTTTTACGGTGTAATTGGTTTCAGGTGTCGTGTTCAGTCATCTACTATACGAAGGTGATATACGAAGATTGAATCTTGGTGGTGATTGTAAGCACATGCTGGGAGATCGAGTGAGGCTTCTCACGATGCACATAAGGCAGTCACTGTAAACCACGGCGGTTGCCATCAGTCGTCGTAGGAAGGTCTATAGCAGTGACAAAATGAGCAACTGTGGCGGTACTCCGTACAGGACCAAACAATCAATTCACAACCGCACAGTCTCTCCCACCGGTGTGGAAAGACCGTATATTCAGGGGCTTCATGGAACGATGTGGGCATCGCACTGTGCAAGCGCTTATTCCTAGACTCTGGGGCATCTATTACCTCAGGATTTGTAAACCGACTATCTTTCGGTAAATGGGCAAAGCATTTCCGTCAATAGGAGTTGTGTGACTGAGTCGCTGTTAGAACGGCGGTGGATCGCCGAGGGTGTAGTAAACGTTAGGAAAGGGCTTTCCCCTCTACTGCTTATTTTGCTAAATATCTAGCCTATCTCCAACCAGACATCTGCAGAGATTAACTGCTGGACCTGATGTCGAGACGGCGCCCAAAGAGAAGACGATTAACAGATGTCGCCATAGCATCGGACGAGCTCTAAGCGACTTGGACGAGGTCGGCAAATAGTTCCGTGATGTGGTAAGCAATCCCCTGTAGCTTACAGATCAATATGGGGTTGTCGGTTAAAAGCTCTTCGTATTCAACAAAGTTGAGACTCCAAGCGAGTTCCATGCCGCTTTAGTTGCCTAGTGTTGCTGGACGAGACTACTAACAGAAACTCGACTTCATGGGTCCTTGAGAGAGACTCTATTCGGCTTGCTCGAATGGGAAATGAATGTTACCTACCACCCGCTGCCCTATTCGGCGATAGATAGACCGGCGTGTGTGTATCATTGAAAAACGAAGCTCGTCTCCAAGGCGAGCGGTCCGCTGTATCCACTCGGCGATGTCGAAACGGCAATAGCACGACATATCGGAATCCCACTCTTGGGTTAAGTCGGTAGTGTAGAGGCCTGGTATTTACAGTGCATCGAAGGACTCACTTGAGTGTCAAGCTCGCAAGACTCGCGACCATCAGTTGAAACGTCACCAGTGTGCAACTCTGAGCCCAAGCTCAATCGGTAGCGCGGGCTTTAACTGAGATTAAGCAGTTGATTGTCTGTCTCCTTGCACGATCAATTGTAAGGGACAATAGAGATCATTACAGACCCAAGGTATGAGTGAATAGATGAGCTACTAATCAGTGAGCACGTCTGAAGCAAATGACGTTCTTTACTTGAGTCTCTTCAGCTCTTGTCATTCGAAGGTGAGGAGTCGCTCTATTGGTTCTTCCCCCGAGTTTCAGTCACCCCGCCGAAGAGCCTGATGATCGTATTGTCCGGGCTTTCAATGATGCAGCCTGCCGCAAGCTTGGTGAGAAGATTGGTGATGCATTCATCTGAATGGATGCTTTTCCCATTCACAAGTGAGATTCCCTTTATGTAGTCATGCGCCCTCTTCCTCTCTGGTTACTTTATAGCGGTCGTGATGCTCGCCAACTTGGAACTTACAAGTGTGATTCCTCCACAAGAGGTCATCTCAGCGATGCGCTCCAAAGATTCGATGCAAAAGACGAAAGAAGCAAAAACGGTCATGATGGTGCACTTCGTTCACTGTCATGAAGAGCATCATCTCATTGCGTCGCATCTGTCAAAACATCACGAATGTCCTGCCAATCAGACCTTCTGCGGCACCTTCTGCGGCACCTTCTGTCTCGAGCGGCGTCCATTCGAGCTTCCAAAAGCTCAGATCGCGATTCATCAAGCGGGGTGCACGATTCATCTACGGGGAAAATCATGCATGCAAGCCATATAAGAGCTTCCGCTAACGGGGACGCAATTGCTTCTAGCGCGGTGGTCGATGCTTCTACTGGGTCGCAGCCGCCAAAACTTGGACCAGCCCAGCCCCGGGGCTCTGGAAATTGCAGTCTCATCAAGCCGAAATTCGACCATTGCGTTCCCAGACGGGGCAAAACCATCGCGACTTGCCTCCCAACTTCAGGGTTGGTGATGCTGAACGTGGTGGTTAACCCTCGGGCGCTCCCATTTTCTGAACGCGATTCAGGGTTACGAGGACCAAATCGGACCTGCCATCTCAATTCTGGTCACCTCATCAACCCGATTTTGCATTATCACGATGCCTTTCGACAGCAAAATCGGCCAAGATGAAGCCGGAAATCGAGGGTTCGTGATAATTTCTGGCGATTTCAGCAACCCCAATCCCCAAATCCAGGACAGATTCGGGTCAGGTCAGGACCATCTCGACCCCCCTCGACTCGATTTTGGCCACCTCATCAAGGTGGTTTTGCTTCATCACGATGCTTTTCAAGTCCAATTCTCGCCCACATGAAGCTCGAAATCATGCGTTCGTGATAACTTCTGGCGATTTCATATCGTGAAATCTCCAACTTCAAGACAGATCCAGGTCAGATCATGACAGTCCTGGGTCCCCTCGAGTCGATTTTGGGCACCTCATGAAGGCGGTTTGCCTTCATCTTGAGATTTCTTGCCTCCTGATTTTGCCAAATCACTGCCAACTTGAAGCTTGAAAATGGCATCTCGTGATGATTTCTGGCGATCTCATCCTGCTCTTCTCGCCGTTCCATTGACTCCTCTGGGCAAACCCTCACCAACTGGGACCCCTTGGCTTGATTTTGGCCAGCTCATGAAGCTGATTTTCATCTATTCCGAGATCTTTTGCCTCTCGATTTCCCCAAATCCTTACCAACTTGAAGCTCGAAATCAGAGTTGGTGATGATTTTTGGTGGTTTCATTGACCCCTTGTCGCCATCTCATCCAGCTCTTGAGTCGAGGTCATCACCAACTTGGATCTGTTGACTTGCTTTTGGTGTCTCATCAAGCCAATTTGCCTCCATCAAGATCCTCCATACTCTCAATTTCCTCCCAGATGACTCCAGTCGCGATCGTGTCGTGATATTCCTTGGTGTTTTCACCTTCTTGATCTGCATTTCCTTTCCTCGTGAGTCGGATGCTTGGTGTTTTCATCGCCCACCTGCTGCCACCTGGCGCAGCTTTTGGCACACCTGATGAAGCCCATTTTCGACCATTGCACCCCATATGTTGGTGTTTCTACCCAACTGGACCCTATTCACCATCACGATCGCCCGTGCACCTGATTCTTGGTGTTTTCCCCCATCACCTCCCGCCATCCGTCCCGCCAAAATGCCCCAGCAGCGCTCGGTCACTTGAAGCCCGGCATCACCACATCACCACAGGTTTGATGGTGTTTTTCGTCATGCATGCAGGATCGTGTGCACGATGCATTCTAAAGATGCCACGCACCATTGTATTATCTCCTCTTTGCTTTAGCATTGGAGCATGATTTTCGACGTGGTTTTCTGTGCAGACTTTTGCTCATCTGTTCTTCCCTATGCGCCAGCTGCTGCTGCTGCATGCTTTTTCTATGCGTACAGAGGTGCGTGTGCACGCAGATGAAGCTATTCGCAGTGCACGCTATCTTGTTTACGATACAAAAGTCGATGCTGCATATCAAGATGCACATAACTGGGCATCGAAAGGTGCGATAGTTCCAAATTGTGGCTGTTTTCAGGATATTGGCCAGCAAATTTCTACAGCTAAACATCACCCGAAGAGCCAATTTTGTCTCTCATGATACCATAGAGCGTATGCATGCAGCCGAAGTGATCTCACTTCACATGGTCGCTGCACCCTGAACCAGACATCGCTGAATGCGCATCTGTACCAACCCCCGAAGAAGCCATCCTGCTTCTCTGGTACTCAGCCAGAACGCCTGTATAACCAATGCGCTGCTGGGTGTTCTGTATCCAAATGGCAGACGCAATTCGTATCGCCGATTCCATCGCCTCTTACTGGGCAACTGAGTCCCTTCCCACGTTGAACATAGCTCGCAGCCTCTTTTCCACCCTTGGCTGCTCAAAGCCGAGTTGTGATTCCTTATGTGCCAAAAGGTGCGACGTCTTCCGGAGGATACCAGCGACCGATATTGGCAAGTATGCTCATGTCGACATTGAAGCAAGAAGAGTTGAGATGGTCTATTCGAAGAATCTATCGTGGGTATCGTATCGCATCACCGGTATCGCTAGACAAACCTCTTCATCAATAACTGATTGACGAGTCGCTGCAGTACTTGTAAATCAGATAGGACGCACACTCACCAGAACAGCTTCCTGAACCCATTGCATCACCTTGGCCCGTGGTTTCTCCAGCCAAACTGCTTGATAGCCGTAACCGCGACCCAAGCAAACGCAACGATCGCGACGGTAATGCGAACCTCTCGCGCCAGCTGCGCCGTCGACTGCGGGAGCAAGAACGTGTGCGCGTGATTGATCGCGCCGGAGTGCTGCGCCTGGAGGACAAACTGCTCCATTGCGCCGAAAGATGTCGTCGATCGAGCCAAGGCTGAAGATAGATAAGGTAGTATCTTAAGGTGTGCCTCTAAAAAATTCCGGTCGGGGTGGTGATGATGATCTGCCGATAAGGATGAGGGGCTAAGCCTATCGCGGACTGCCTAGCTTCATGATAGTGCAGACCCTGTTTTCGCCTGCCTGCGCGAAGTAATACTACAAAGAACCAGATGATCAATTTTCATGGAGATAAATAGATGAGCTCTCGCTGAAAGTGCAAATGAAGAAACACGGTTATGCAGCTAGTCAAACAATAGAACATGGCAGACTAAAAGAACCGCTGCTTGTAATGAGCGAGTGGCCGTTCAGACTAGTAACTGCCCGTGGACTGTAAAATCCATTACAGCTCGACTCTTGTGATAGTGTCAGAATGCTCTGTACATGTACAAAGTACGAGACACTCTGTCGCTCCCTGTGGCTGAGCTGAACCATCCTCTTCAGCCCTCGAGTAACCGAGACCAAACCCTTGAAACTTCACCGGATGCACCTCTTCACTTCCCCGTCGACAAACCTCGTCGACGCACCATAATTCTGCAGGGCTTCTACCAATCCTAAACACCAAAACCCCTCTCACGTTGCACGGACAGGGAAAAATCTGCCTCATGCAATGCACAGGAACAGCATCCGACTGGAAGAGTTCTACCGGAATACCGGCCCGGGTTTCCGTTGAAAAAAATGAATTCCAACAAGGATCTGCTCGAGGTCGATGATGCTCAATGTCTTGCATTGTTTGTCGAGCGGGCATGAGGTGGCAACTGGAGAGACCTGCATGCTGCAGAGCCATGCTCGCTGGTTGGTTCGAGCCGGGATCGCCAGGCCGGAGGGTTACATGCCTTGCATGCAAGCGCTGTCTCGCACATTGATGCTGCAAATCGCATCTATGCTTGAATGTACATGCGAAATGCTGGCGCTGTAGTACGAGGCATGCAGAGATTAAGCCCATGTCTCAACTTACACCACCCTCAAACGATGTGATAGCCTCAACTGTTAGTAACAACAATCAGATGCAAATTGAAACGATTCGACCTCTCCACTGCTCTTCCGGCCTGTGGATTCTTTTACGTCTTATATTCATCGTCAATTGCCTTTTTCGCTGCCATCACAAGCTTAGTCAAGGCGTCCTCCGGGCCTTGTCGGCCGGCTCCGATGACCAGCCCCGGCCTCCATCGCCTGTTTAGCTTTGGTGCCCCTCCCCCTCATGCCATTTTCGGCCTCGTGAAGAACAATGGTCCTCTAGATTCCTTGGTTTCTTCGATTCACGATTCGCATCTTGCCGAGATGCAGGGAAAATATGAGCAGACGACAACCGAGTTAAGCCTCACTAGCTTTCTTCCTGAAGCAAAAGAAAAACTTTTCTTTTTCCTCTTCGTGACCCCAGTCTTGTTCAAGTCTTGAATTCTTTCCCGTTCGCCTTCTCGTATTACTCTCGTCCTTTGCTGCACCTCTTACAACCTGCGCGAATAAGCATCCCACAGAAGCCTCACCCACCATGGCGACGACGACAACCGAAGCGCAGCCTCAGAGCCTCCCCATGGACCTCCCCATCATCGACCTCGACATCTACCTCAACAACCCTCCCACCTCCCCCGCCGTCCAGGCCGAGTGCGCCCGCGCCGCCTCCGCCCTCATCACCTACGGCGCCCTCCTGCTGCACGACTCCCGCGTCTCCGAGGCCGACAACGACACCTTCCTCGACCTGCTCGAGGACTACTTCGCCCAGCCCGAGGCCGACCTCCGCCGCGACGAGCGCCCCGAGCTGAGCTACCAGATCGGCGTCACGCTCGAGAACACCGAGAAGCCGAAATGCGCCGTCGACGAGCCCTGCCTGGCCGTCATCCAGAGGCTCGACCCCAGCCAGCGGCCGCTCGACATCTCGGCGCACTCGCCCGACCCAAAGTGCCGCTTCTTCTGGCGCATGGTCGAGCTGCCGCCGTACGAGACACAGTTCCCGGGGCTGAACGCCGAGAACGTCACGCCCGAGGCGCCGCATATCAAGGAGAGATGGGCGCCGACAATGGACCAGTGGGGGAGCTCCATGAAGAATGCGTTGGTCCCCCCTCTGGCACATCCAGTCAAATATCAGCTCGGCTAACACAGACATAACACAGCGTCTCTAAGCTGTCTGAGATGACAGCCCTCGGCCTTGGCCTCGAAGCCGACCACTTCAGCTCCGCCGCCCGCTACGGGTTCGTTCCCCCATTGTCTTTCCCCTCGATCCCTTGCCCTTGTCGATCGCAAGCTGACATCTACTCGCGGCACAACGCAATAGCCCCCATCTCCTCGCCCCGACAGCCTCCGACCTGACCAAGTACGGCGCAAAGGACACCATCCTCGCCGGCTTCCACACCGACCTCAACTTCCTCACCATCCACGGCCGCTCGCGCTACCCGGGCCTCAACATCTGGGCCCGCAACACGGGCGCCCGCATCCCCGTCAAGATCCCGCCCGGCAACTACCTCCTCGTCCAGGCCGGCAAGCAGATCGAGTACATCACCGGCGGCCTCATCAAGGCCGGCTACCACGAGGTCGTCGTTAACGAGCGCACCCTCGAGGCAGTCGAAGCCCGCAAGGTCCGCTTCCCCGACCGGCCCCTCATCAGGATCTCCAGCACCCTATTCTGGCATCTCAACTCGGACTACGACCTGGCGCCCATCCCGGCACTGGCGGACAGGGCCAAGAAGGTCCGCGAGGAACAGGCTAAGCTGGGCCGAGACGAGGGCGCGGAGGTAGAGTATCCTGCCACCAAGGTGGGATACCAGGTGCAAGAGTGAGTGCTTCCTTTGCGGCTGTTGCCGATGCTCTATTGGCCCTATTTATGTGGTCTGTCGCAGATTGACTGACTTTTCCGCAGTGAGCTGAAACATATTGCTTTGATGGCGTAAAGAGCATCTGGAGTGTTCATTGCTGCGGCTGGCATTTGGGTACATTCAAAGATATCATGATGATATGAAGTTACGAAATACACTTGATGACGAGCAAGCCGTTTCTCTTTCGTCAAGCATGTGGTGATTAGCCCATCATCTTCATCACAATAATCACTGCATCTAGCAAGTGGACGTCTCAGGGATTGAAGACCTCAAGAAAGGTTGATTCTTCCGCAAAACAAAGCATAGGTATCATGGCATGCTAACTCCAACCTCTCCTCCAGGTGTATCTCCATTCGATGCTCCCTCTAGATTTCATACCCATCATTCATTATATTCGAACATTTTATACTCTGGAAATCCCATAAACGCAAGGCAAATTTTCGACATATCTCGCCGACATTCCGAACAACGCTTCCACCAGCCCCGGCCTACAACTTGACTTCGGCCGTCTCAGAGGTACGGGTGACGTCGGCGTTGCCATGATCTTCCGAGTTGGCGTCTTGCTCCTTATGCAGCACATGCTCTTCGACAACGATGTCCTCCCGCCAGAAGTCCTTCTTGCCGTGGAACAAGCGAACCAGCCAGGGAGGGAAGAAGCCGCCGGGAATGCGATATGTCCAGGGCTCCTTGTCGGCGTGGTTGGGAGGCACGATGCGGCCGCGAGAGACAAAGTTGATGATTCCCACGGTGGAGTTGATGATGATGTACGACATGACACCTGCAATGAGGCCGTTTGCGATCGAGTACGTGAAGGGCATGACGGCGATGGCGAGGAAGGCGGGGACGGCATCGCCCATGTACTTCCAGTTGATCTCGGTGACGGACGTGGCCATCATGGAGCCGACGAGGATCAGGACACTGCCAGTGGCCCACGGCGGGATGGAGGCGAAGATGGGAGCAAAGAAGACGCTGATGAAGAAGCAGAGGCCCGTCACAACGGACGTGAGGCCGGTCTTGCCACCCTCAGAGATGCCAGCACCCGACTCGACAAAGGCCGTGACGGGAGGAACACCAAAGAGAGCGCCGATGGAGATGCTGATGGCGTCGACCATGTAGGCTACGGCAGAGCCCTCAAAGTCCTGGGTGACGGGGTCGATGAGATTGGCGAAACGGGCCATACCGTAAAGGGTTCCCGTGCAGTCGAGAATGTCCGTGTACAAGAAGGTGATGAGGGCAAGGCCAAACTGGCCACCGTACTCACTGACGTTCCACTCCTGCACGTTGAGCGTGTTCTCGATGCGGTGGAAGTCGACAACCTTCTTGAAGAAGTTGAACGAGTCGTCGCCAACGGCGGTGTGAGGGAAGTAGGTGATGGGCGTGGTACGAGGCCAGGAGATGATGCTGACGAGGATGATGCCGGCAATGACGGCGCCCTTGACACGGTACATCATGAGAAGCACAGTGAAGATGCCACCGCAGAAGATACCGATCCACATGGCCGGAAAGCGCATCTTGTCCCAGCTGGGGCAAGTGCCGTCGTCAAGCAGGTTGCCGGGCGAGCATCCGGCCAGGGCCAGGGGAGTGTCGGTGGCACCGGTAATGATACCGAGACCCTCGCTGTATGTGAAACCGATGAGCGTCAGGAAGAGGCCAATGCCCACACCCGTCGCTACCTTGATGGAGTGAGGAATCGCTCGAGCGAGCCATTGTCGCATGCCAAAGATGGTCAGGCCCAGGAAGATGAAGCCCTCAACAAAGATGGCAGTCAGGGCCACTCGGTAAGGAACAGGACCGGATCCGTGGAAGCCAACTGCGCAAACGAGTTAGATATCGGACTCCCCATGGGGCTGCAGCAAGGAGTGAATAATCTTCGACTTACCGACAGTATAAGCAAAGTAGGCATTTAGACCTGCAATCACGATGAGTCAGTACGAGTTTCGGCCGAGGTACGAGCTGGTGTCACCCGGGACAGCAACGAAGATTCGACATACCCATTCCAGGAGCGAGACCGACGGGGCTATGGGAGAGTGTCATTTAAATAATTCCATATGGCGATGTCGACAATAGAGGCGGGGTTCCTTACAGGTTGGCCAGGAGGCCCATGAAGAAGGTGGACAGAGCAGAGATGGCGGCAGTCGCGGTGACGGCATCACGCTTGATGGCCTGGACACACAAGCTGTACTCGGTGTTGTTGTTGCAGATGGGATCAGCGGCGCCGCCGTTGCAGACGCAGGTACCGCCCGAGTCGGAGACGATGGAGGAGTTGACGGCGATAATGTAGGCCATGGCGAAGAAGGTGGCCAGGCCGCCGCGGATCTCGGTGAAGAAGAGCGAACCCTTGCGCTCCTTGGGCTAGAGACGTGGAACAAGACATGGTGAGCAAATGCCATGGCTGGTATGAGACAGCTGCTTCATTGTCTCGGAAGCTTCCCCGCGGTGTTGGCGGTGTTGTCAGGGCCACGAGGCTCTCTCGTGGCGTGGGAAAGCCAAGACACGAGACCAGACAACCCGCAAAAAAGGAAAGCAAAAAAGAGGCCGACTTACATGGCCAGAGCCGTCCAAATGGAACCACCAGCCAACCGGACTGGCGGCGACCTTCTTGTTGATGCTGTCCATCCACTTCATGACTGCGATTGTCCTTGGAGACCTGGGACGACTTTAAAGGGCCAAAAAGGCTGAAAGGACCGGATACGTCCTCTGAGAAGAGAAGAAAAGAGAAGACGAGAAATCGAAGGATTTAATGGAAAAAAACCTCTTGTATTTTTTCGCGTGTTCGTCGTGGTGGGGAAGCTAGTGATAGCGGTGGCGGCGAGCAGAGATAGTAGAAAAAAGCCGACCAGGGGCGACGCTGCGGGGTGGGAATTTGATAGGGATGCCGGACTTTTTGGGTGCTGATTGGCGTCGTCGGGAAGGGAGACGCCTCTTTTCTGTGTTTCTGGTGCCTGTTGGCCAAAGGTGCTTCGTGCTGCGCTGTGCGATGCTGTGCGATGCCGTGCTGTCGATGCAGCGGTAGTGGTGGCAGCAGCGTTTCGAGGCGTGGGCGTACGGAGAAGTCGTACCTCGTCGGGCTCGAGTGAGGGCGAGATCGATCAATGGTCAATGCAGAGTCGCACAAATGCAAGCATCCAGATATGCATGCGACGCCCACGATCTGCAGAGGGAGCCGGATCGGATCGGTGCGCCTTGTCGGTTGGTCGGTGCGGCGGTCGTGGGATTTATAGCGGGATGATGCCGGTTGGAGATGAAGACGAAGCAGAGGTAGGATCGATGATACTTGTATGTGTGACCATCTATTTAATAGATGCTGCGTCGAGCTCTGCTAGTATCTGCAGCTGAGTCCGTTGGAGACGGCACAGCATAAGCACAACAACTAGCTGAGAAGGGCTGCAGATTGTCGATGCCCCGGACATTACACGGAAGGTGGGAGCGATTCCATTAATCGAGCAATGACTTGATCAAATTGCCCGCGCTGAGGCGAAGCGAGTGGGCCGGAGCTGGAGAAGGGAAGGAACCACCGTCTATCTATGGAGCTGTAGGTACATGAACCTGCCGGCAGATGACGGCGGCGCGCATGAACGAGGTAACTCGTACAAGCATTGATAACGAGATGCTCTTGCCGTGCTCTATCGGTGATCTATCAATGGATGACCTCAGTCGCTGCCAAAGCTGGACAAGCCTCGGGTCATCGTGATGATGTATTGAAGCCTCAGCAACAAAAGTGCATGATTCCTCACTTCAATCCCAATAATCCAGACAATTCTCATCCAAGCCCGGGCACTAGCCTAGCCCAGACCTAGCTGAACCTCGTCCGCATTCAAATCACAGCCGCTAGCACAAGACCCTTCTCCATCGTCCCTCGGTCCGTCTTGCTAGCGCCCACACTCGCACACGCACATGCTGTCCCGGATCGAGCCTCGATCGTCCGCTTCAATGAAGAGGATAACGCGATGCGAAGGTGGTCAGATACCATGCCGCTGTGCTCCAGGTGCCTTCAAAGATGCTTATAGCCACCTCTTCTCGCAATTCATCAAGATACACGCTCGCATACCCATATACCAGGCAGTATAGTAGTAGCATCTTTTCAGCAGACGTACAATGACACTTCACTCCATGGTCTATTACTTCATGCAAGTCCTGGCAGCCTAGAACCACAAATTCCAGAGCAAAAAGCGTCTAGAATAAATCTCGGGTTGTCGGCAGCCCTCCTTATCTTCTGGTGCCCCCAAAATTTCTCTGGCATCCCCCATTCTTCATCAGCCCACGAGTCACGACCTCAAAGAGGCAGCATGGCCGTGGCGTTGCCCAATCAGGCCTGGCGCTTTTCGAGAATAACATCATGGAAAAAGTGGCGTAGAAAAGAGGCGCCGTGAAAGAAGAACATTCTGGCCAATCGCATCGATTGGATAAGAAAACTAATGGCCGGGACCTGATTCCGCACCGCGAGATAAAACAAGTCCGGTCCGGGGTCGCCGTTAAGGCTCCAAGTCCGTTATCAGCATCCATGTGTGCCTGAGAATTGGTGCTTTCCGACTATCTTCTCCGCGTTATCGAGTTATCGGGACAGCATCTTTCCCGTATCTGATCCTGCATCGCTATCTGGGGTGGGAGTCGCCCTCCGCATTATAAACCATCCCGTCTCCCCAGATTCTCGGGAACCTGCGAGATGGAAAGCGGCGACTCCCGCCAGGCGAAAGCTTGGTTCGTGCCTGATATGTTGTGCAGCAATCACTCTCTGATGCTGCTCAAGAAGCTCTTCCAGCAAAGCTTAAGCAAGCCGAAAGCACGGACCAAGCCTGCCGGCGATACCAATATCCAGGTACTCCATACGGAGTACAGTTCACATGTCATCGCTACGATATATCAGTAGCCCAGGTATCGAATGGCTGTTTCGTATACTATTTCGTATTGTTGGTTGGAGCACCGTTGTCCTCCTACAGAACGCTTGGTGACGTTGCCCTTCGAGGCTTCAGACAAGCTATTGTCCAGCAACTGGCCATATCAGCAGCTGACCAATTCAAGTTGCCACACCGAACACCTCTTACTGGGGGCGGCTCTCGATTGCTACCTGAATGTCCAAGAGTGCGATACCATTTGGCATGTGTTATTAAGTACATGTGCTTCACACTATAGTCGACAAATCCGCCTCATCTTGCAACCAGCAATCTTCAGCAGAGCCTACGACGCAGTAGTCTCAAAGGACACATCGGCTGAGAGATGCCCAGGGTGCGTTGCTCAGCATCTGAAAACTCTGGGGAGCACTGCCTTTGTGAGACCGTCTCCTCCCTGTGTCTGTACTCCGTAGTATTCATTATGTGTATAAGTCAGATTACCTACCAAGTAGCCATGGCATAGAGAGCGGCCACCAGCCACTTTCTAAGTCAAAAGACAATGGCCATATCCTTGACCCATAAGGTGGTCACTTGGTATTAGATAGTACCAAGAGATTGAGTTAACCTCGTTCAAAATTTACCATAGTCCCTCACCCCATGGGACAAGCAGCCGTTGCTTCCTCTGCCATTGTCACCGACGCAGAACAGCATCTCCAAAACCATAAGACAGCCGCCCAGTTGAACGCCGATTACGAGAATACCGTCGTAAATATAAATAAGTATTTAGTATTGAAGTAAAGGAGATTTAGTCAGAGAGCGATCGCCGGCTGTATGGTACGGCGCAATACCTCGACCATCTATATACTACCAAGAGATCGAGTCAATTCGATGCGTTTCGGCACAATCTCACCTCATCAGCTCAGCAACCAACTCCTGTTATATCTCCGTCATTACGGAGCACTTTCTCTACCATTCTTGAGTGACACGAACAAAGTCCCACAACTCAAGGACAGCCATCTGTGTCGTTCAGCACCGATCAACATGATCCAGACAGCTGGCACCTGTATGGTAAGACAACATGGTGCAGGCACGCATTATTGAACTCTCACGTGTTTCGACTATCGATGCCGTACGACATGGACAGAGAAAGGGGCTTCATATGATACATAACGTAATACGGCCATCAAGTTCATGCACATCGTACTCAAAGCGCAGATCTTGTGAGTATGAGACACCGCAGGTATTATGTATGTGTCACTCTCCAATAGCATGTAGAGATGTACACGTATCCCCACACACGTTGCATCCATTCGCCAAGACGTCAACCATAAGCATCCCTCTCCTCTTGTATTATCCTTTCCGTCCGTCCATCATACTTAGCAGCTCACCTAATGTTGCTTTATAGCCTCACCATAGGCCGAGCAGCAAGAGACTCAAAAAGTCAATCTCCCCGAATCGCTCCATCTCGAATACCTCGAACAAACGGGCTAGTACTAACAGTACTAACCACCTCAACACTAAATACCTAAGCCCTATCAGCCCTCCCGCCCGTGCCGTACCCACGGGATCGAAAGTGAATCTTGTGGCGCCAATGATAAATGATAGACAGAATCACCCCGCTCACTCATCTTCAAACTCCAGGTGAAGTGATAGTTCGAGATGGCCGTGATCAACCGCCTGTACACTGATCCAACTTGATGTAATGGAAACTCGTTGAACTTGCCGGAGGATAAGACACAACGTTGCCTGCTCGCAACCTCGCATGAAAACCACACGAATTCGAAACACTCAATTAGCAAGACTATGTATGTACATACATAATCTCATCACATTACTACCCTCAACTCGCAAAGTGAACGAAGAGGAACGGGAGGTCCCTGCAAGGCAATGTGCTCAAACATGGGATACCCTTCATCGCCAAGCATGCCCTTACCCAGACCAATACCACATATGTTATACAAAAGCACTTCATATTGGTACAAGGCCTGAACCCAGCCAAAAGAATAAGAATGAGGCATCCCTCACACCCCAGAAAGCTCGGCCAAAAGCCGGGCTTCCGCGACCTTCCTTCACAGTGTACGATATACTACTACTACGTACATCAGCCATCCATCCCCGGCTGCCAAGGGTCTTGCTGACGCTGCTGGCGGATGGGGGAAAGAGGGGAAAAGTTCTGCCAACTTATTCTCTTTGGGGAACCACCTGGCCAGCCCTCAAGCTACGTACGTGTACTGTGGCACTGTAGGTTCCGGGTTCTGTCCGCGAAACTTTTCCCCCCTTTCTCCCTTGTCGGCTTGGCTCGTCTTTGATGATCCTTTGTCTTTTCTCTTCCACCATGGAAATCCCTGGAATAAACATCTTTTTGCGAGAGCGGAGGCGGGGCTTTCGATCGCCCGGGGTTCCCATGCGTAGCGAGAAATGACCATCTCAGGGGGGGAGGGTTCCCGGTTCGATGGTCAGCACTAGGCATCATGCAGATCGCCATAGAGAAGAGCGAAACGCGAGAAGAGATGCCGAAACGATGAACGGATTACAAGGCGATGCGAGTGAGGCCGAACCACGAGGAATCGATCCACATGCCTTTCGAAAGAAATGGCTCTTTTCCCCTTGTCCTTATTCTTGTTCCTTTCTATTTCGCCGGGATAGAGGTCCCATTGCGGGAGGCTGGGTCGATCAATGAAGGAGCGCTTGGGTCAAGCCAGGGCCCAGTTCCTCTCGAATATATCGCCGATGAATAGTCGTAGAAGGTTTGACTGTGAAATTGTGTTTCGTGTCATTAAAGGCTGATATATAGTAGTAGAAATATTCCCTCCCAATATAAGTTTGCGCCTGCCATCCATGCAGAGGAAGAAACCTTTGTTTCATTCGTTCTGCATCCCGTTCCCATTGTATGTAGTCATAACGGCCCAAGAGCCATGAAATAGAATGAAAAGAAACTATCGACCCAACTTTCTGACTTTGGTAAGGACATAACTGAAGCGGGCGTGCAATCGAGAGAAAAAGGAAATAGAGATCAACATCAAAGCGTCTCTTCGGATCGATTCGAGAGATGGCTTTCGGCGGCATTTGCCTTGATGTCAGTCCCGATGCTCGACACCAGGCCTGCCTCGTCATGCCCCAACTCAAGGGCACTCTCGTCTACGCCCTTGTCTGCGCGCGATCTGTCGACATGGTATGATCGCGTCAGCATAATTTCGCCACGTCCGGTGACGCTGGACTGGCCGGGATTCTTGAAGTATGACGAGCCTCGCATCCGCTGCACGTAGAGGGCGCTGACGGCCGGGAGACAGGCACAGATTAGGCCGATGCCAACTTCGGCGTTGCTGGGATTATGGAAGTCATGTTAGCCTGTAAGTCTGAGGGCAACAGCAGGAAAGTGTATATTCGCGGGGGGGGGGGGGCTTTACCCTGACAGTATGACCTTGATGAAAACAATAGTCATGTTGGTAGAGTTGCGCTGGTCAACAATCATGGCCAGACGATAGATACTGAAGCCTGTGGCAACTCCACCGGCGCATAACAGTCCCGTAACACGGAGGCGTTTCCGACGAGGCAGCTGGAGCGACCAGGTAAGGGGCGTCGGCAGCAGCAGGATGGCCAAGTCGCTGATGACGCTGATGATGGAGTCGGCCGTGACAATGGCGCTCTGGTTCAAGCACTTGCCAGAGTCTCCCGTCCAATAGGCGCTGATGGGCCAGCAGATGAAGATTTTGATGAAGAGGCCGGAGACGTAGTATGCCACAATCATGCCGATGAAGATGTAGATTCCGATAAGCGTTCGGCGGTGGACGGATCCAAAGACTCGAATGATGATGACAAGCAGGGCCAGTTTGACCGTCATGGCCATCGGGGCATAGAAGATGGTGGCGGCATAGCAAGACTATTTTTTTCGAGAACTGGACGTTAGTTTCCGTCAGGAGGTTGGAAAGGGGGGAAGGTTGTAGAGATGATTCGCACCTTGAAGTATTGCTCAACCTGTCCCGGTGACACTTCCCATATATTCAGGCCTCCGCCATGCGCACCAGCTATCATGTAATCAGAAAGACGAATCACAAAGTCGTAAAGGGGCAGAAAGCTTACCGAAAACTGCAGTGATGCAGTAACCCAGCATGAGCACCTATGATCCAGATCAGCCTTTCAGGTTCTTCCACCACCACATCGACCTTTTTGTCGTCGAAACATCGTAGATCGGGGTACGGAGCATACATAAGCTGCATATGTTGCATCTATTTTCCTCAGATTAGCTTCTGTCAGTGCGCTTGGATAGAGTCACTTACAATCGTCTGGTGTAAATCCTCCTCCCAAGACTCTGGATTTGGCATAGAATCGGATAGCAACGAAGATGGAGACAAAGAAGACGGTCAGTCCTTGCGTGATGTAGTTGACGGTCCTCAGGACATCGTGCGGATGAGCCAGGTCAGGGACAACGCCCTCAGGCGGCGGAGCAGCACCGGGAAAGCTCATGATAGGCAACTCTTCATGACTTCTGCAGTTGGACAAACAAAGTTTGACAAATGCCGGGAGCCAAAGTTAAATCGACACCCACTCTCGAGACAAATGGGGGGAAAGAATCATCAGGTAAAGGGCTAATGCAGGTGTAGGACACGGCAATTCTTTTAAATGGTCGGCAACTCGGCAAGGAAGAGAACGGACGAGAGGGAAGAAGAGCATAGAAACGTGGTATAGATTGAGAAGTATACAGATACCCTTGTCTGACTCGGCTACCGCTCTCAGAGTATCATCCACCACCCTCTGGACATGACCAGCTTCAGAAACTGCATCTTGTGGTGGTATCAGGCCCTCTCGGGAGCCTTGGTCCACGCCTCAAGGCTGCAGCGTCAGTCAAAGAAAGAAGCTTCAAGGTGGACCGAGCCAGGGGACCCGAGCCGTAGTGGGCCTGCCAGCCAACGGAGGATGATTTAGGATGGTCACGGCGGCGCTGAAGAAACGCAATGACAGGGGGGGTCGCCGGTGACGAAGATTGCTGAAGAGAGCACCTGTGCGAATCGGAAGCCGAAACCAAGCTGCCGGAGAGGGGCGAAACACTGCCAGCCAACAGCCAATTCGCAGTAATACGAAGTACTTTGTATGTAGGTACTTCGTACATGACAATAGACTCACATGCCAACGAACCAACAGCATGAACGCTGAGCCACTGTGTCCATCCTGGTTACATGACAACCGCACAAACGTCTCGCATTTATCAGGATCTCCTGCAAGTCCTTTATGCACTTACAGACATGCTACACACACACAACAATTGACAAGTCAACTCGACAAGCCACGAGAGGCTCGCATGTAGTAGGTGGGACCTCAGACTGTAACTCGGACAGGGGTCGAGTCTTGATGACCGCGCCCGACGCTATCATGGACAAGACGGACGGGGTGGAAGCCCACCGTCATGAAGATCGCTTGCCCGTTCAGCAGAAGATCGAGTGTCCGGCAAAAGACAGGGCCCGCGATGCCACTGCTGTGGAGTCGCCTCCATGCAGCTGGACGGAGCTCGGTGGAGCGGCCTGCAACAAATTTCTCAAATCCATGTCGAGGCCTTGCCATGTGCGTTCTCAAGATTCAGCCGTCGGTTGCTGTCAGGGGTGCTTGGCCGTTGACACAAGCAAATCACGTCCTCGGTTTCTGTCGCATTCGGCGAAGTAACTGCACTCTTAGTATGGCATACAGCCACTCCAGAGTACATACCACAGGAGGCCGAAGACAACCGTATGTAATCATGGGGTTGCAGTAGATACCAGGGGTCGCACTCTCTTCTTTTGGAAAATGAGTGCTAATCCTCCCCTTTTCTTCTTTTACTTTGGACTGGTCCCTAGCCTAAGGCATTCGGTCAAAGGATTGCTCTGCAGCTCTAATCTGGTTGAAGAGGTAGCATTGCATGTCGTGCTGCCTGGCCAAGCTGTTCACGTAAAGCGCAAGAGACAGGAAGAAGAGCCATTGATTTCTCATCGCAGGCCAAGATGGGTTCCCAAGTCAAGGTCGGAAAGGAGTCGAAGCTGTTCGAGCCGCTTACGATTGGTAATGGCAAGATCACGCTCAAGCATCGCGTCGTGCTCGCGCCCCTGACGAGAAACCGTGGCACGCCGCTTCGAGAGACGTCGACGGCTGAGAATCCGAATCGCATCTGGCTTCCCAACGATGTCATGGCCGAGTACTATGCGCAGCGTGCAACTGATGGCGGCTTGCTCATCAGCGAGGGCATCCCACCTTCGCTAGAGGTATGTGACGTCTTGGATGGTTGTGTATAGCGTGCAAAGGAAAGACGTGGTAGAAGGTTGACACTGAATCTGATTGCTTCCAGGGAAATGCCATGCCTGGCGTGCCGGGAATTTTTTTGGAGGAGCAGGCCAAGGGCTGGAAGAAGGTGGTCGACGCAGTCCATGCCAAAGGCGCCTTCATTTATGCACAGCTCTGGCATTCTGGCCGCGCCAACATCCCGCAGCTGACGGGAACGCCCATCGTGGCGCCGTCGAGCATCCCGTGGGACGATCCCAATGAGTGCTTCATGTATCCGGCGCCTCACTCGACGACGCCCGTCAAGTACAGCGAGCAGCTGCCCCTGGAGCTGACCGTCGACCACATCCGCAAGACGATTCGCGACTACTGCGCGGCGGCAAAGACGGCCATGGAGGTGGGCTTCGACGGCGTCGAGCTCCACGGCGGAAACGGATACCTGCCGGAGCAGTTCCTGAGCTCCAACATCAACAAGCGGACGGACGAGTACGGCGGCTCGCCGGAAAAGCGCTGCAAGTTTGTCCTGGACCTGATGGCGGAGCTGGCCTCGACGGTGGGCGAAGACAATCTGGCGATCCGGCTGACTCCCTTTGGCCTCTTCAACCAGGCCCGCAGCGAGCAGCGGCTCGAGACCTGGGGCCACCTGTGCCGCGAGCTGAAGAAGCGGCACCCCGGCCTGTCGTACGTGAGCTTCATCGAGCCGCGGTACGAGCAGATCTTCTCCGAGGCCGAGAAGCAGAAGTTCCTCGACTCGTGGGGCCTCCCCAACGTCGACCTGTCGCTGTTCCGCCAGATCTTCGGCGACACGCCCTTCTTCTCGGCCGGCGGCTTCGACCACACGAACTCGTGGGGCGTGCTGGAGAGCGGCCGTTACGACGCGCTGCTGTACGGGCGATACTTTATCAGCAACCCGGACCTGGTGGAGAGGCTGCGCAACGGCTGGCCGCTGGCTGCGTACGACCGGTCTCGCTTCTATGGGCCGTTTGAGGATCCGACCATCGGCTATACGGATTACCCGACGTACGAGGCCAAGAAGGAGTCGAGCTGAGTGCCGAGCTCGAGTCAGCAGAGGACGAGACATGTGCCGGGATTTGGCATTAGAGATACCTTAGCTTAGTTGTTAATGACGGCAGATGTTCCATGACATGGAGCCATTTGTCGGGTTCAGCCTTTAGTCGGGTCCATACCGAGTGCCATCGCGAGTCATGCTGAGGCTAGGCCGGTCAACCGCGGATCGTCCGTCAATCTGTGCCCGCAAAATATCGGCATCACACGTGTTTCCGAGCCCTTGCAGCCAGCTGGAAGACACGCTGAAGGATACGTAGCTGCAAGCTTGTGACGGCCGGTGATGAGCGGACGGCCGAGCTCGTCTTGGAGTTAAAGCCGCCGACCCCGAGCTTCCAGAAGTCGGGCATCTGTTACCGGACTAGCGGTTGACCAGGTCCAAGATCCACGGTGTCTTGATGAACTGACAGGGTACGCGATTGCGTTGATGGGGTCGTCAAGGGCGTATTGAACTGAGACTTGCGGACTCGCTTGCCAGGTTGTTTGATTGCTTTTTCTGATGACTCGATTGAGCTCGCGTGGTGACGGGGACGCGATATCAGATCTGACCTCATACCTCCCTACCCTTCGTGTGTTTCACGGAAGGCGCAGACTTGACGTCCTTCCCCGCGATTTGCGAGAGAGATCCAGCATTGACTGAAACACAATCAACGTCAGCCAACCCTTGCCTGGCCAATGAACATGGCAAAGCAATCGAGTAAGCTACTTGCCAGCAAGGCCACGAAAGAGGAAGATCAGGAATCCAGTATGCACGCATCGGGGCGCTGCGAGACACCAGAACGGCGACAAGATATCCGGATATTACAGGGTAGCTGTCAAACATCAGGTTACCTCATAACACAGCTCATCCACCAACCATTTGCCACATGTCAATGTGTCGAAATGTCAAGATATGCAGCCAAGATGAGCAGCAAACCGGTATGGATGATGTGTAACAATGCAAGGAAAGAGGAAGGATTGAAACGGCACCTGTTGGGGTAGTTGCTAAAATGAAAGGCAGACAAACTACCTTAGTCTACAACTAACCACTTGAGCCTCGATTGATTGATGTAGGGAGTAGCACCAGCTATTTATGAACTGTAATAATCGACTCAGCGGCCGTTGTTTGGAATCTCATCAACAGAACAATCAAACCAACAATTTCTCTCCGAGATTCTCATTGGTGTATCCGATCACGATCGATGGCCCATTTTCATATTGCATCAGATAACTGAATAGATGTTTGTTGGCATGTTACACATACAGAGTATAGACACGCACATCAGACGCTATTACTGGATTTTATCTCGCCGAAGCCCTGATGATCCCCCAATCAGATCGTTGATCCCTGCAACCAAACATGAACTTCCACGCCTGTTGGATAGACTTTTTGAGCAGTTTGTCTTCTTCTCTTTTTCTCCTGCTCCGCCACCTGCAGCAACAGCAATCAAGTATCTGTGCCTTGACGTCAGGCGACTCTTGCTCCCATCAGGCGCTCCGTCGCAGTCGCCCATTGGCCCGCGTGACGTCAGGAGGCCTGCAAACCCCTGCAAAACCGTCGTCGCCAATCGCTGAGGTGCGCTGAGAAGCTCGCCCTGATCCGCTGGAAGGCTCGCTGGAACCTGGAGGCCTGCCCTCCATGTTCTCGCTGGGAGCCGCTGCCAGATGCCTGGAGCTTCGGAAGCCCACCCTGCTGACCTGCAGAGCAAACCCGCTGTAAATTGATCCATCAATTGAAGGTCAGCGGGGCTTATCGCAAGGACATGCAAGGCATCATCATCCATCGTAAGACATCTTATACATAAACCTGCGTGATTCCTCCTCCAGCCGAATGCCCGCCTCTCGCTTCCCACCCGTAATGTCTGTCCTTTGCCTTTGAGATATTTCTCTTCTTCTGCACATCTTGTTCGTCTTTGCTTCTTTCCTTCTTGCACATACAGCAAAGCTCAAGCTGCCATTACCATGCCTCACTATCCGTCGTCACGACGCTCTGAGCCAGAGTCGCCGCCAGGCCTCAACAGTTCCTACTACAATCCAGACGAGCCTCTCGGCCCCTCGTCGTCTCGTCGTTCCAAGTCCGAAAAGGGCCGCCGAAATGCCTCTCCCGGCTACTCCTCCTCCCCCGACGATCGCAGATCCCGCCACAGCAGCCGTCGCGAGCCGTCGCCAGGTTATGCGAGCTCGAGGCCGTCCCGCAGTCGTCGGCACCTGTATCCGAGCCCGCCTCCATTTGCCGCACCAACTCCCCCGCCTCAGCCCGACTATCGCGCCTCTGGCCGTGACCGCGACCGAGTCCGTGATCGCGATCGCGACACCTATTCGCCGCGGGACTCACCGAGGGACTCACCGAGAGATTCGTACAGAGACTCTCCGAGGGACTCGCGCTACCGAGATGCTGACCGACGCTCACGAGACTATCCCCCTCCTCCTCCGCCGGAGCCACGTGAGCGCCGTCACAGGTCCTCCCGCCGCGAGCCGTCTCCGGAGCCCAGGGGCGCTTCCTCACGAGCCTACCCTACTCCCCCGTATGACGACCGCAGCGACAGGGACCCTCGCTCCTCTCGTCGGTCCCGTGGAGCATCAGCGCCGTCGCCGCCGCCTCAGCAGTCGTCACGCTCTCGCGGCGCTGTAGCTTTGGATCGCGATGGAGCGAGAGACGATCGGGATCGACGCCATCGCTCAAAGCCTCGCGACACGGACCTCGTCCGAGGCTCAAGTCGTGACCGGGACAGGGCTCGGGACAAGGACCGCGACCGCGACCGCGACCGCAATCGAGACCAGCACCGCACCCGGGATCGCGCCGCGCCGCCATCACTCAAGCGCCGGAACACGATGCCCGCAGGCGGCAGCAGCCCCTGGTGGAAGAACCCCCTGATCCAGGCCGGCGCTCGCACCGCCTTGGCCGCCGGTGCCCAGGCCGCTATGCAGAGCCGCAAGGACGCCGGCCCCTGGCTGGGCGCAAAGGGGGCCAAGGTTGCTACAGCTGCCCTGACAGCTGCCCTAGCTGATGGGTTGGCCAACGGTGGCAAGAAGAAGCGATGATGACGTTAATGACGACGACAACTTGCGATGACCCTCGGTGACTTTTTTTTCTCGTACGACGTTTATGATTGACGATAACATGGCTGCCCTTTTCCTTATCCTTCGTTTTCATTTCTTTTTCTCTCCCTCTTCCTGTGGATGAATTTGCGGACGAAACGCACGTGGTAATGCTTTGTGTTGGCTGTGGTTCAGCTTCTTTTCTTGCTTGTTTAGACGTGGGAATGACTGGCTTTGGAGGACGACACTCACCTACTTTACCTCACCTCATGATGCGGGAACTGCAAATCAGTTCATGGTGTTATTGGAATGCTCTCAGTACCTGCTTGCTTTGCTTTTCCTCATCTCCTCATCCCTTCTTGTTTGCTCGCACGAGAACACGATAGATGGTGGCTATGTCCCTGGTACCTACAATACAACAACCCCCCTTCTCAGGATACACCTCCTTTCTTTCTCATGACTTGTGACTCCATCCTTCTTCTTTTATGATGATATCTGTCGATGAACTCAACTCTTCTCACATCTTCTTCATTTGGTCTACTCGTTATCTCACATGTCATCGACGTCTCATACCAATTCTCACCAACTCGACCCCCCGCCCCCCAATGTGACCGCCATCGTCGCCGTCGTGCCCTCAACCTCCTTGACATTCAATAACCACCCATCTCCTTCATCAAAAGGCACTTTGGCCGAGCGGTCTAAGGCGCCGTGTTCAGGAATAGCTCACACTGTGAGCGCATCCCTCTTCGCGGTCTAGAAATAGGCGAGGGTTCGAATCCCTCAGGTGTCATGACTTTTCTTTTTTTGGGTTTCTTTTTGCTCACCAATGTCTCTTGTGAAGAAACAGTCCATCAAGAACAGTCTCACGCAGAATCGTAGTATACCAAGTTGATAAAAGGCTATCCTCGATGGTTGTATTAGTATCGTCAACTGTCAAGCTCAGCCAAAGAAGTACACGCTTTTGCTCATCCCGTCACCAGACCAAACAAAGATCGCCCAAGAAACAAATCGCCGTTCAGATCCAATCGCATGCACCTCGAAAATCACAGTTCCAGTCTTGACTCAACCACAGCTGAATCAACGCCAACGATTCACATTCTGGCAGCCCCCCTCTTAAGCGGACTGGCCAATGTTCCAGGGCTTGCAGCGAGACGCAACACAAAGACCGTTGCAGCAGGCTCCCACGTACTGGCCGTCTGGGGCATAGCAGGCGCCTGTTTTACGTGTCAGTATACTCATATCTCGTACGACTATATCTCCATCTCACGGAGCACAAAGATACTCACCATAAGTCTCGACACAGGTTCCCTGGCAGCTGATGCTGGTAACCGCCTGCGGGGGGTCAATCACGACCTGCTGCGTCACACCGTCGGCCGCAATCGTGCTGCTGAGGTTCTTGGCGCCGGCGGTCTCGATCACGCAGGCCTGGAGGACGTTGAAGTCGGGGGCGTCAATCAGCGCAATGGGAAGAGTGCTGTGAGTCAAGACGGCCGTGCCGTCGGCCGGGACGGTCAGAGGATAGGAGTGGTCGTCGCCCTCGGAGCGGAGAGTGACGTGGGCAGTCTGCACAGGAGCGTCCTGGGCCAGAGAGGCGCCGGCAAAGAGGCCAATGGCAAAGATGGTGGTGAAGAACTTCATGTTGATGATGTTGGGAGAGATGGATTAATGCTCGAGATGCTGATGCTGAGTCGATTGAATAAATATGTACTTTCAAAAGGTTTGCTTGTTGAGTGTTTGCTTTCTTGTTGTTTGCTGCTAGGCTTCCAAATCGTCTTCCAGAGCCGGCGGCATCACCTGCTTATATCGTCTTTGCAGCCTCAACCCATCCTGCTTAGTTCGGTAAGCAGCCCGTCGATCTTGCTACGGCATCTCACCCCATGTGTCAATGCAGAGCCCCCGACGTCATTCGCCCCTTTGCCCAGAATCGAAATACGAGAAAAAAAGAAGACCAAATGTCATCAACAGAAGCGGTCAGTGCTGGCCTGTGTCTTCGCCTTTGCTGTTGCTGTACCCGTGATGGTGGATGCATCAGCGCCCAATGGTCGAAGCCCCTTGCTGTCCGTCACCTTGATTCCATCACGATCCTCCTTGTCAAAGCCGAGCCAACAAGGTTGACAACAAGCGTTATGCAGGTAACCTCCTGACTCCTGACGGCCGAGAGCCGGATCTCCATCCACCGGTTACCGACACGGCAGAGACGATTAAACCCGTCTGCAAGTCAGGTGGCTCACTTTTGACAAAGGATATTCGGCATCATTTCCCGACTTGATGAAGCTCATATGGACAGCAGGTCGGGCAAGAGTTGCCGTGGATCAGATTCGGACCAGTTGCTGCCGATCTGTCGCTTGCAGGTGCATCAAAGTATTACTTCACCTTCGCAAGACGGCGCCGACGAGCCGGACCTGAACAGTGCACTCCCTGAGCACCGCACCAACCAACCCCTTGGGAAAGACATATTTGATCGTATATATAGGATGACTGCTAATTGCTGCTTCATGATTCATAACCTGTTTCCATATTGACAGGCGGAGCGTCATACACAGACGGAGGCGGTCAAGCGTCTATACCCGAGAGTTTGATATCAGACGTTGTTGAGGGTTCAGCGCTTTGTTCACTCACCAATTATCGCGCAGACATCATAAACAAGATCGCCAACCTTCGTATCACCAAGAGACAGGAGAAATCTTGGCTGACAAAAAGGAAACCAGAATTCCCAGGGAGGAAAAAATTGACCGAGACAGGGGTCGAACCTGCAACCTCCTGATGTACTTAATCGTAGTCAGACGCTCTGCCATTGAGCCACACGGCCGATCCTAGGAATTGATTGGTGGACCTTGAAATATTCCAGCCTATGAAAATCGACATGACGGCAATTCACGGACAAGAGCACAACTTTTCGTCAAACTGTGTAGAATCAAAGCCATACTCCATGGACTCTGATTATAGCAGCCGCAAGCAAAGGCTCATGTTGCTTGTAGTTCCTGATGATTTCAAAAATGCGTAGTGATCGTGCCGTAATACCGACGACACTTACCAACTGACCGGGTAGACTCCTCCCTCATAAGGATGCAAGGCTCCCTCATCAGCTTTGCCATCATACAAAGACATGATTGGAACGAACCTGCTCTTGGCGTCGTCATCATTTCAAGCTCCTCGGCGTGAGCGTCTCCCACTTCTTCTCTTCGCCAGTAAAATTGAGCGCAACAACCGCCTTGGCCGATCTGCCGGATGGCGGCTTCTTGACAAAGGTATAAGTCTCCTTGTCCTCCTCTCGCAGGGCCTGGTAGTCGCCATATGCGAGCAGATCGGCATATTTCTTTCGGAAAAGCACGGCCTTTCGCCAATGGGCCAAGACGCTGTGCGGGTCGTCGAGCTGCGAAGCGACGTCAATTTACCCAGCTAGGGGATGAGGGTTCATCCAGGGCTCTTTGACCTCCTTTCCCGACCTTTCTGCTTCCTCAGAGAAGCCTCCGTACTTGGCCTTCCCATTCCCACCATGGGGACTCGTGCATGTTCTCGTGAAAAATGTGCCAACGAAGTGAGGGCCTGGTTCATGTCCTCGCCGTTGCGATGCTCTCGGATAAAATCAAGGACCATCTGGCGCGTTGATGGATTCGATCTCCTGTCCCTGATGTATGAACAGCGTGCTACTTAGACATACCTGCAGAAGGGCCAGCATCTTGCTGCCTGCAACGCCATAAGCGGGCTGTCGTCTGCGAAGCGTCCAATTGATCGCGCCCGGTCATGACTCTCCAGAAAGACCGTGCTCGAAGCATCAGTGCCTTTGATCAAAGTCTGGGTTCGAGCGATGGCCTCCTTGAAATCGGGCAATTGCCAGTCCTTCGGCTTTGCGTCGTATCTCAGTGGCTTGTTGAGCTCAACATTGACAATGTCGAAATGGAATACCATGTCCAGATGCTTGGCTTCCGCGGTCACATATTGCAACATGCGGGCCATGTCCGGCGTCGAAGGAAGCTTTCCGACAGTGATGGCGCCGTATTTGGCCAGAATCTGGTTCATCTCGCCGAGAAACTCGTGCATTCCGGGGTTATTGCAGTAGAGCATGTCGGCCACCTGATAGGGAGCTCCGGGGTATGAATATGGTGCAACTGGGAGTCCTGGCGGCTTGCTGTACATGTTGACGGTGTCGATGCGGAAGCTGTCTACACCGCGCTCAAGCCAACTCACCATTGCTGAGGCACAGACCGCTTTGCGGGTGATGGGATTCTCCCCGTTCAGGTCCGGTTGCTCTTTGGCGAACAAGTGCAGATAGTACTCGCTCGACTGCTCATCCCACTCCCACACGCTGCCGCCGCCGAACTTGCAACGCCAGTTGCTGCAAAGGAAGATGCTCTCCTAGGAATACTTGGCAGATTTCCAGATGTACCAGTCGCGCTTGGAGCTGTCTTTGCTGGCACGGGACTCCTGGAACCAAGGATGTTTTTCCGATTCATGACTGATGACAAGATGCAGTATGGCCTTTATGCCCCAAGCATGGGCCTCGTGGATGAGAGTCTCCATGTCTTGCAGAAAGTCGTAGGGAGGGTAGACGTCCTCATACTTGGACATGCCATAGCTCATGTCTGCCTGAGGGCTGTCATACATGGGACAAATCCAGACGGCGTCAACTCCAAGACGAGCTATGTAGTCAAGCTTGGAGGTGATGCCCGGAAGGTCTCCGATCCGTCACCATTGAAGTCACCAGAATGGCGCCGGTTAAGTTTGGTAGATGGTGGCATGCTTCCACCACACTTTGACGCGTTCAGAGATAGTCATCTTGCGTATGAATGAAGAGTTGAGATAATGGCGAGGTGGAAGATCAAGATGCGAACAGTGTCTCTTTCATTGAACGGGTGCAACGAAGCGAGGATAGTGCCCGGTCTCAAGAGTGAACAAAACGGAAAAATGAAGAGGGAGATGGAAGGGAATGAGATCAATCTCGAATCAGGAAATGAGTGATTCGGCGTTTTGGACCGATCTCTCCGTTGATAGAAGCAACTGACATCTGCCGACTTTCCACACAACTCATGCTTGGGGTAAGCTTCGTCTTATCAATTCTTGATAGTCGGCCGAGATCATCCTTTCGTGCTGCTAGCTAGCATGCTCTTTGTGCCAATACACTCCCTAGAAAGGGGTAAAAACCGTTGTCTGGACTGGTTAGAGGGGAAGAATGATGTTCTCGAGTTTTGATTAGTTGAATGTCGGACCGACGAAGAACGAGTTAAGAAGCGCATTGGACGACTGTCGGCCCGATGCTATGCCTCTTCGGTGCCCGGTCGTCAAGCCGCTCTGACAATTGACCTGATGGTTCTTGAGCAATTTCCAACAAGCTGGCAACGGGTCTTTGACTGTATGCTTTGCCAATCTCAAAAGCACTAGCGTTCTGATAGACGGCACGGTAGGCAGAGACAGGCTTGAAGTCCATTGCGTGCCGTTGGGGCAAGGCAGCAGCCACTCCGGCGGGTTCTGCCAGGTTCGCCTGGACTTGGAATCACTTTCAGGCATGCCTTTTTGAGAGTGCCAGACAGCTCAGCGCCAACAGTCGAATCAGCTGAAAAATGGCTCCACGTTGACGCCCAACAATCAGGACGTCTGCCAGCGCTCGAGGCCAAATATGTCGGAACGACGCTTTCATGTGCGGACAATGGTGACCAGACGGTTGTCGACCAGAACATGGTGAGTTCCAATCGACATCCCTGCCCTGGTACATCGCGGGGTGGTATCGGCGAGCAAGGGAACATCTGGACTCTGCGGTTCTTTGCAGGCGCCATTCCATGTAAGCAGACTGAGATGGTAATACCTCCGTACTCTGTCCAGGTATTCCTCCCCCATTAACGGACTCTCCATGTCTCGGCCCGACGCTGCAGTTTAGGCTGTGTTAACCAGTACTGCAATCAAAGCCCGCAGAGTCAGCGGGCTTCCCATGCCTCCTCCACGTTTACCCCCCGGACGGGATCAGACGACAAGCGAGTCTTCGAATCGCACCCAAAACAGCTTGGTTCAAGTTCAGCGGAGGTGAGTGCGTATCTGCATCTACCGCGTCATCCCGTCGATAGTCACGATTTGCTTCCCTTTTCTACCTCTTCTCACCAGCAAGTGAGTCCAGTCATCCAATCTTCTGGTCTCGGTGTTGGTGACTCGAAAACTTCTACCCCCTATCAAGGCCCATTCTTCCTCTCTTTTCACTTCTTCTTTTCTTGTGATGTCACAATTCAGTCAGGACGGCGGAGGACGAAGACATATCGCCGGACGATGTCTCGGACCCCGTGCCTATCAAAATCGACATTTCAACTGTTCGTTGAATGGAATCCCGGGCTTCATCTTCATCCTCTTGTTCTCGAAAACGCTGCTTAGGCTCACGTTGGGGAGATCCTGGCCGGCATTCCCTTGCTCGTCTGACACGCCGTGACACGTCGCAGCGTCGAAGGCGCCGATTTCAGCATTGACGAATCGGATTCATAAAGTCTTACACCAACGACATGGAGAGAGACTGCTGCCGGCCCGACGTCCTGGGGCCTCTTTGCATGGTGTGAATGGTCCGGACCCTGTCCGGGTTGAACTTGATCAGATCTCAACGTAATGTTTCCACCGGCAGGCCGAGCAGGCTGTCAACAACTCCTTCAGCATGGCCCTTAGGCAGTACGGCATAGGCATTGTCGGCACCATTCTGTCTTGGTTCTGATGGTCTGGATCCGTCGTAGAACGTTGTTCTTCACTGGTCACATATGTGCGTGCCTTATTCTCTTTACCATTGGCTGCGCGTCCTTTGCACGCTCAACCAATGCCGGCGCGCTAAATGGCATCGGGTCCTTGCTGCTTGTGTATACGTCTGTGTGTGATACCTCTCTTGGTATGTCTCTGTGCCTCGTACCCCCTTCCACTCTTTTCCTACTTCCATCCTGGACAGCATAGTGACACGCATCACCAGGCCCCATCTGCTTCTCCCCTATCGCCGAGCTCACGTCGACTCATCTGCGAACAAAGCGGTTGCGTTGGCCCGCAACATGTACGACATTGCCAGCATTATCGCCAGCTTTCTGACGCCGTACATGCTCAACCCCACCGCGTGGGGCTGGGGTGCAAAGATGGGCTTCTTCTGGGCCTTGTGCTGTGCGACATGGACATTCTTCTATCTTCCGGAGCCCAAGGGTAGGACATACGGTGAGCCGGATACCATGTTTGAGCAGGGAGTGAGCGCACGCAAGCTTGCCACCACGGCCGGGGGGAGGATTGATGCCAGCTTTGGGTCTGTTTCGATTTGAAAAGACAAAGGTTCCGCGGCCGAGATTGAGCGTATGGCGCCCAGAACGTGAAGGGAACGTAGAACGTAAAGGCGATCCATACGTCGTCAAGAAAGCTGCCAAGGACCCCAATTGTTGTTTTTGATCATCGCGGATTCCGCCATTTGCCTATTTCCGCTTATTCTCTTATATGTAACGCAATAGCCAAAAGACCGCCAACCAGTTGCAAACATCCGGTCTAGAGGCTTCTTTTCAGGCCTGCCGTATTGAGCACTTGCACTCGTGATCGCGCTCCGCAATAGCCGCCCAATCTGCTCTCTCCAAGTCCGTATCCCGGACTCCGTTGCTCCATAATGGAATCACCTCTCCAAAGTCAGAAAGACAGCCCAAGCATGAGGACGGGATGCAGACAGAGAGAGAGCAAACACGTGGGGGCGAAAAGCCACGTTCTCCCCCAAAAGCTGGAAAAGCGGCCATAAACCGCGAGGCCTGCCGCTTCTTCTCTTGCACCCCACCTTTCTCTCCGCCATCCACAAGTTACAGCCAGCCGGTGGAGAGAGGCCGATAAATCGAGGTCCTGTGATTTTCTGATCGTCATTCTTTATTTCTTCCGCATCGTCTTCCCCTTGACTGACACTGCCGTGTGTGTGTGCGTGTGCGTCCGGCCATCACGATCCGTGTCAAGCTCCATCCGTAGTCTGTCTCTTTCTCCCCCCCCTGCACCGACAATCCCGGCCGGGGCGGCCAAAGCTGTTCCTTTTCCTCTTCTTGCTTCGCTTTTGTTCGGTTCTCCTCTTGCTTCCCTTTCCCCTCTCTCACTCGCATCCGGCCGCTGGACCCATTCCTAAGGCTCGGAGCAGTGCCGCCATGAGCTAAAGACCCCCGATTCAATCCCATGCGCATCCTCCATGAGTACCAGAGCGGCTCAAGCTTGCGATGGATGCAGGGTGCGCAAGGTGAAATGCAACAGCACTCAGCCTTGCTCGCAATGCTCACATCTAGGCCTTGGGTGCATCTACTCGCCTTCGACCAAGCGCAAGCCAAGCGTTCGGAATCGACTCGTGACACAGCTTCGCAACAAGTCGAACATTGCAGCGTCCTTGCCCAGCCATGGAAGCACTTCGCTGATCGAACGCCGAGAAAGGCCGCCAGCTCCAGCGGTGACGTCCATTGCTGGCATCGTGAACCCCGTCAACTCAGAGCATGATGCTCCTCCAGCTAGCATTGGTCCTGGTGCCGGAAGAGGCAGCGAGGAAATAGGTCATCGAGCTGGCTTTCCTGCAGAACCTGCCTCGGACAATCAGGCCTTCACCGCAGGCTTCTTCATCGGCATGCTCCCCAAATACGAAGAGCAGGTGTATCCGGTCAGCCCCATCATCACGAGCTATGAGGTGCGCCAGGCCATTGACAACATGCACATCAGCCTCGACGACGCTGCCTTTGTCTACGCAGCGGGGGCGGTGACGATCAACCTCACGACTCCCACGGTGCATGGCGAGGCGGGAGCCAAGATGACGGAGCTGATCCGACTTGGCCTTAGCGCGTATCGACGAGCAGATTCCATGTCAGACGTCAAAAACGGGAGGTTGACTGAGATGCGGACCACTTTCAAGCGCATCATGACGTGCATCTTCCTCGAGGTGTCCATGATGGCCTTCAACCGCTTCGACCGCAGCTTCTCCACGCTGCGCGAGGCCATGACCATGGTGCAGATGATCCACGTCCAGCAGTGCTCACACAATGCAGTGCCCCTTGAGCCGCGCGACGTGCCCAAGTTCCAACGCGTGTACTGGGAGGTCTTTATTCACGAACGCTTCTTGACCATCCTGTCCGGGTTTCCGTGCATCATGACGCCGCTGCCTGCGGGCTTACCGGCGCGGGACACGTCGATTCCGGCACATATCGACGTCGGGTTCAACCGCCTCATCCGTCTGTTTCAAATCATGGACGGGCCATTTTTGCTGTACTGGAATGCGCAGCAGAACCCGGCGCAGCCCATGCCGGGGGTGTCGCCGCAATGGATCGAGAGCAAGCAGGCTCAGCTGGACCAGGATGAAATTGGAGCCTCCGAGGCCGAACAGGCGCTGATTGAGAGTGGCCGGGGGTCGTTCACGGAGCTGCAGCACGTCGATCTGATTGTCACCAGGCTGTGGATGCGCACGCTGCTCTGGCAGTTTGGCCTCACCCACGGCTTTCTTCGCTCGGCACCGTCACAGAACGTCCACGAAGGCCTGTCCAACCACTTCCCGGCGCACAGGCTGTCTGTGCAATTGCGAGCCCTGGTAATCCAGCTCGAGAATGTGTCCACCATCGTCACACACGGGATGGGGCTCTTGCAGAAGATCTTTGAGATCACGAGCACTGTGGCGGATGTGCTTGCGCTGCCACTGGGCTATGGCCAGACGCAAGAGGACGTGCAGAGCCGGATAGAGGACTTTGCTTTCTTGGTCAAGTTCCTGTTCAGCTCCGAGAGGGCCGAGAAGGAGCAGCGAGACTACCTGCGGGACAAGCTCGAGGTCCTCCAGCAGCAGTACACCATGGTCAACTTTGCGGACATGGTTGGGCTGAGCCCGACTGTGCACGCTCCATATCCAGTCTGAGTATGGGGCTGAGCATGAGTAATACAAGCTGGCTCGACTGTCTCTGTGTGCGCCTGTGGGAAAACGGACATGTGGTTAGCATGCTTTTCTCTCTCTTCTGTTGTTTTGATGTTCATCGCCCCCCTTGCATGAGTTCGGGATGCTCGCAGCACCTGGTATGACTCGAGACTGCAATGTATGAAGCATACGACAGCGGATCCTGGAACCTACTGCGTTGCTTCTTGTTGCCTTATTCCGAGATCTCCCATGTTTGTGTAAGGCGTTGTGCTCGTGTCACCGATGTGAGACCACCAGCCGCACCGCACCTTATGGCCAGTCACTTTGAGATTTGTACGAAGAACGGCCGTGTTGTACATAAAGGCTAGTCCAGTTGAGAATGTGGGAGTCCTGGGGGACAAGAGAAGACAGGAGAAGGACGAAAGGTGAAGTTGAAGGTGAAGACGCATTGTCCGTGACCGGAGGAGCGCTGCAGTGAGATAGCGTATCCGTTGGATAGGCAGGAAAGCTTGCAAGAGGGATCGATGTTCGGTTGACTGACTGATTGATGGACTGACACACGGGGTCCACGCAAATAGACTTGAGTCCTTGGATGTATTCACAGTGATTTGGTTGCATCTCTTGTGAGTGGACAGGACAGACTAGGATCGCCGGCAAGTCGGAGCAGCAGGCCAAAGCGGGAGCGGCGTGGCGGGGCCGAGCGCTTAGAGGCTCCAGTTGAGGTTGATCGTTTCGTCTTGTGCTCCCTTGCGTCCCACATGGAAATGGTGGTGGACTACTCCGTGGGAGAGAGAGAGAGATTCAAGTAAGGTAAGGTAGAGAGGAAGATGATGATGCTTCAACTACTATATGGCATTTGGTGTCTCTTTCCACCTTTGTGAGTCTTGCCTTGGATCACGGGACTCAGTCTGGAGGGAGTCTGGCAGTTGATGGAAGGCATCATCGACAATCGACCGCCAGTCTGATGCAATATGAAAGGCTGCATCTTCCCAATTATTCTGAACTCTAACTCAGAGATCATCGCCATTGCGATTGCAGGTGCATATTACGAGAATCCAGGTACAGGCAGGCGCTCTCCACAGCTTCATGCAAACAACCCCGAAGTGCATACGCGTTCAGATAGAGTATGTCAGGTGACACCAAGAGGCTTTTCCCCAGGTCTTGGTGTTGCGTTTTTGTTTAGGGAAGGATTGAAAAGGCGAGCAAAAGAGCAGAAACATGTAGGAGGAAACTCCAAGCGACGTGGAGTGTTGCTTCTTGCTGCTAGTACTTGCTGCGAGCAAATCACATCTCCCCCCTTGCATGTGCTAGTCTTGCATTCTTGAGTTATCACTTCGTCCTTGCGTCAGTCAGCTTCTTCGTAGTAGAAGGGTTTGGAAGGAAAGAATCGTGTTATTTGTAAGGAACTACGAGCAGGTAAGGTTGTATGTAAGTCTGATGCTGGGGAAATAGGACGGAGAGAAAGACTCGGATAAGCGGCCGCGAGTCTAAGAAAGGAAACAGAAGGTGCAACCATTCCATGGCGGTCGAGGCCCTGAGAGGCTCCTGCTTGGCGCCCGCAGATGACTCCCAAGGTAGATCGGCATCGCTGCTGCGGCAGGCGCGGCCCTATTCGGACTTGGCAAATGGTAGGTAGGTACGAGTTACTTGCAGTATTACAGCATCAACTAAGGTACCGGCAATTCTGCGAGCTTCTCTCACCGCCAAAGCCGTCAGCGATAGAGCAATGCCAAGCAACAAGCTTATAGGTACGAGGTTGATCGTCCTGTTTAATTTCGATCGCTGTGTCTCATCAATTCCAGGCTCTTTCCCGTTTTCCCATTCTCCCTTCTTTTGCTTTGAAGTGGCAAATTGCAAAGGAGAGTAGGTATCTAGGTACCTAGGTCTAGTACTTCGTGTTTGCTGCAGCTTACACCGGTCCACGATGGCTTCAGCAGGGCAAGCCAATAGTGAACAGCCACTTCATGCACTGCCAGCCAGCATCTGTCTGTCTTGCTTGTCCCGCATGAGAATGAGTTGCATGCGAGGGGGCCGATGTTCTGAATGGGTTGTGTTTCTCGTGTCCGCAGTGCTGTTTCTACTCTTCTGATGCCTCTCTTCTTGCTCTACTTCTTCTACTTCTTCTGCTGCTTCCTGTGACAGTTTGACTATTACTGGTTTACCATCAACCAGCGTGAACTAAATAAGCCCGCCTCCGCATTTGTGAGGTCTCACAGATATTAACCGTACGAGTATCCCCTCGCAAGGCCACAGAGAGGGGCTCCTGATTCGATATCCATGCACTGTCATGAGCCGAGATCCCAGGGCCTGCTCTTGTCTTATCCACTCCAGCCTCGTGCAGGGACCCAGTTCTCCGGCTCGCTCACACTCGGGGCTTTTCGATGCCAGTAGTGCTGCGTAGCCTGGATGCTGGCTGCTTGTGCTTCGTCCTAGTGTTGTGTCAAATGTCTCTGTCTCCTGTCAAGTCTCGGATTCTCACGCCCTCTCCTTGTCTCGGCTTCGGCTCGCCCTCGCATTTTTTTTCAGGGTCCCCCCCAAAAGCAGAAATCTAGGCGCCTCCACTCACGATAGTGGCATGGCATGGCTTGACTAAGGCATCAACGCCACGATTAATCACTGCGGCCGGGCAAATTGCACCCGTAACAGCCGCTCGGCCGCCTCGTGCACCACTTTCTCTGGGGGAAGCTCGCTCTAGGTCCTGCCGGCCGCTAGAGACTCGGCCCAGGTCCTCTCTTTTGATTTTCTTTCACCTCGTGCCCTTTTCCTCTGACCTTGTCTCGCATCCTCGTCATCCTCCCCCCTCCTCCCGCCTCAGTCAGACCCATGCCTGTTCAGTCCGCCTATCCAAAAACCCAAACCCGAGCATTTCCCTGCTGGAGGCTTCCTGAGAGACTGTACCTTGCGGGACCACCACCCACGACCGCTGATCCCCTCGTACTGCAGTCCCTCAACCTCGCCTGACCCTGTGGTTCCGCCCTATCCTGTAACCCGTCGGGTCCCTGTGCCCTGCCCTGCATCATCTCATCTGTCATCTTCTTTTCCATCTTTCCATCCTCCATCTCGCCTCTGACTGGTGCATACGAGTGCATACACTCTGGCACACGCTCGAGAGCCTCAGGCCTGTCAACAAACCGTCGCTGGCCTGGTAGCAGCAGCAACTGGACAGGTCGGGCGCTGTCGAGAGAGCAAAAAGCTTCCCTCTCTCTTCTCTCTGGTCCCGTGAATCCCGCCAAGTCGACGTAGCATTGCAGCTCCATTTGCAAGGGGCTGTTGCAGCATTTTTCCTTCCCCTCGGTGTGCGTCTGGCAACTCGGGAGCAGCGCCTGGCTGCACGCCCTCATTCGGCCAGCCTCCCAACCTCAAGGGCGGAACCTCCAGTCTGTACGACCTCAGGATAAGAGGAGCGACGGTGCATCTTGCTCTGATTTCTCACTCAACGCCATTGGCACGTCGGATAGACGCAGCACCAGACGATGGATGGGCGCCCCTTGCCGCTTTACAGGGCCGTGTCCGAAGCAACGCGCCAGCGCGAGACGTTCAAGTCAGTTCATCGTTGCCATGATAGCTAAGCACTTTGCCCGATCCCATATCCATTCTCTCTTGCCCTTGACTACAGCGAAGGGGGGATGCTGAAGTCGTTGGACGAAATTATCTGGAAACCTCATTTGGACCCAAGACGCGGAGCCTCCATCACTTGACAACTACGATTTCCCTGAGGTTTGTGGGAGAAACCCCCCTGCTAACGCAATGGCTGAATCCAGATATGACCCAACTCTCTTGTCCGCCACCAAGGTGAACAGCACCGGCATCGCTCTGCCAAGCTCTGAGCTGACGCCCTCGCGAGACTTGGTCTTGACCGCCCTCGCCCAGCTGGCTGTTTTCCAGACGGGCACCGAGAGAGCCTTTATCTCGCTCTTTGACGCGGAGCATCAGTATTTTGTCGCTGAAGCAACTAGGACGATGCTTACTTCACCAGACGATGCCGATCTAGGCCTTGTCATGGTTGGCACAGCCATTCCTCGCTCCCAGAGCACGTGCGAGTATACCCTTCTTGAGTCGGATCGCCTCGACAAAGCACGGGAGAATTCTGCTGCCCCCAACTTGGGCCCAACCCAGTTTGACCTCTGCGAGAGCGAGGGCGATGCAAACCAGCTGCCGTGCCTCGTGGTCCCGGATCTCTCCACCGACCCGCGTTTCGCGGCCAAGCCGTACTGCCGACCCGGAGGCGGCCACCGGTTCTACGCATCCGTGCCTATCAGGACGCAGAGAGGCATCAACATTGGCGTGCTCTGTGTCGTCAGCCCCCAGCCTCAGCGAAGATGGGGCGACCAGTATACGAATCTGATGCGCAGGCTCTCCATGGCCATTATGGACCATCTCGAGGCCAACTTCTCAAAGGTGGCATACCGCCGTAGCGAGCGCATGATCCGAGGCCTCGGCTACTTCGTCGAAGGCAAGGCAACCGAGTCCTCGTGGGCTTCTGTTGCCGGCCGGGAGACGTTTACGGAGACTCCGAATGCGCTGCTTCTGGCTCGACAGGGCCTCATGGGAGAGGCCGAGAAAGCCAACGGGCAGCCCGCCTCCGAAGCAACCGCTCGTTCGACGCCCGCCTCGGAACGATCCCTCTCGCCAGATGGGGAGCGGCCCGACCCCAATCGCAAAAACGATCGCTCGGGAAAGCCGGCAGCAGAGACGAAGTGGGCTGACAACTTCGTTCCTGGCCCGAACCCCGTCATCGACACGTTTTCTGAAGCCGCCCACATCATCCGCGAGTCTCTGGAAACGGACGGTTGCCTCTTCCTCGACTCGACCCCTGGATCATTTGGTGAATACGATAGTCGCCCTGGAGGAGCCAGAAAGGGCCGCTCCACAGGTCACCCCTCGTTCCGAGACGTCGAAACTACTAGTGATGACGAAGACGATGAGAGCGGCAGTGACAATGAGCACGACGACCAACAGCCCGAGCCTCAGTCTCAGCCTGGAGATGCTGGTGCCAACAACGT